AATTATTGCACGCTAGTACAATATGTATAGGATCAATGGAAGAACGAGGAAGTCGCGTGATTGCCCCATCCCGCTGATATCGCGTTCGACACAAACACATGAAACACCCTATTTTATTCCCGTGTTTATCACCTGTTCCGCTGCCGTTATTAACTAGAGGAGCATCTAATGGATGCTCCGTAATGTCATTAACAGCTCAGAAAGCCGATCGAAACGAAACATCGAGGCGCTTCGGTAACGCCTAGAGGGAAATTTCATTCGATTATTCGCTTTACTAACTGTCATTTTGATGTCGTAATCATCGTTTAACGGAAGACGAGATTCCCCGGCGAAACCCCAATTTATCGTCAACTTACCTTACATTACTATACCCTTATAAATTAAGTTCGATTTTAATCCGATGAATTATTATCTAAATAACGAACCGTTAATGTTGCATTAACAACTACAGTCTACTTTAGGTTTAGGTATACCGCTGATTTCGATAAAACAGAAACGAAAAACGGTTACAGCTTTTAAAGCTTAATTAACGTTAACATCGGGGGAGAAAAATTAAAACGTCTGGAATAATCGGGACGGCTCGTTCCGTTTCCGCCGCGAAATGGTTAATTGAAATTCCATTTTCCGGGCCGGGCCTCGCCTTCGGGCCGCATTATATAATGGCCGGCGGCCGGGCCCGGTTCTGTTCCTGTTATTAATCCGGGCAAGACGCCGCGCCGGCAGGAAATTAAAAATCAGGAACCGGAAACCGTCGGCTCTCGCCAACGGTAATTCGATCCAGCGACTGACTAATGGCGAGGAGGCCGGGCAGTGGAAGAGTAAAAGGCGATCGCTATCGGTATTGTCAGTCTTTAAGATGCAAAAACGGCCCCTTTTTTTAGCCCGGTTGATTTATCGACGACGTTAGTCAACTGTCTCGTTTCGGATCCTTCGCCGGAAAGTTTCCTTTTTGGATATATATCGAGGTAGCTGAGGAGCTTTTCCGTTTCGCGAAATTGCTCTCTATACAATTATACATTGAATAGAAGGAAACGCGTATACAAGTAATAACGAAATTTGTCGTGTAGTTTCCAGTTGTCCCATCAGCATCAGACGAGAAGAGGGAAACTAATAAAAATCAACCGGGCACAACAGTCGGTCGGGTAGTTAAGAGCGTGTCGGTGAAATAAATTTCACGCATGTCTTGCATTATTAAAACGAGTCCGGGTTTTTCGGGGCCGCCTTGGTGCTGCTGCTGCTGCTGCTGCTGCTCGCACACACACATGCACACACGTTGTAGTGACAGTTAGTTTGAAATATTATTATCGTCTCGTAGTGGACCCGACAGGTTTCAACACGTTCGTTGCGAATGCGTAAATCAAGCAACCGGCGTACTTTGTAATCATTTTCGTTTGTTCGGTATTAGGTCGGATGCAGTCCCGGGGGGCATTTTTCTCCCGCTATAGATCACACCCGTAAATGGGGTTTTCCCGACGCTATTTTCTCGAGTATTAGAAAGTGTAGCCGGCGGTCATCCGCAAACTAGGAAGTGTCAGTTCGGGCTCCGCAAACTAGTTATTTATCGCCGTCTCCGAGGCAAGATCATTAGCTGCACGGGCCGACGGTCAACCAGCAGTTAATAAAGCTATCCCGGACTACTTATTCCTATTACTACTTCTTTTTTTTTTCTCTCCTCGCCGTTCGCCTCTAACGTTCTCGTTTATCTTCCGCTCCGAGCGAGGACTCATTCGCTATAGTTTAGTGATTTAGGGTGTTTCATTCACCGACCCATCTCGTTGCTTACAATTCGATAAAAATATCGAAATAATAGAATATATAGTATCTACAATAAGTATATAACGCTACTCTACTCTAATCTACAAATTACTTTTTTTATATATAAAAATAATTGACATTTATGACATTAATGACATTGCATATGACAGAAGTTTAATAGAGGTGGGATTTTTTTTTGTATAGAGGTGCAGTAACGACTATTACAAAATAAGCGTTATTTTTTTCAAATGTCGTTTTCCTAATTACTTTACTCGTTTCTATTTGATATCTAATTTACCTTATCCTACAATGTAAATTCTATTTCTTTCAAAGTTTGCAATGAACTCAAATAATCCACTTTTCTACCTGAAACATTCTCTAGTCCCATTTACTTACAGGATTAAAATATCCTTTAATCAAATCTCAAGTAAATATATTTCTGCACCTAATTTACCACCACCGGTATAATCAAATGCCTCTCTAGAATCCTGCTATATATTTTAAAATTGTTAAAAATTGGCTACTTATTTCAAACTTCAAAACAAGTCATATGGTAGAAAAAATATAGTGAGTGAGTTACACTCGCGTGGAACGAAAATTTTAGCATTCGGAGATATTCCGGAGGTGTATGTGCTCGGTATAATACGTCGGTGTACAGGTAAAATCTAATAATGTCGTCCAAATGTATCTGTTTCAGTTATTTCTCATGGAGACTGGGAACTCGCAGGTGTGCTGGATATTGAAAAATGTCACATGGCACTGAAATATTTTCTAATTCGAAAAATGAGGACGTGAATCGCTATAGAACGGGTATTTTATCTACAGAAAATTATTAAGTTCGATTTTTTACAATAACCAATGTAATTTTGAGTTGCCATATAACTTTTTTGCACAAATGTATCTCTCAAAAACCCCTCTTTTGGAACAATTCCATTGGAATTAAACGACATTTTTCATTTAGCCCAGCCCATATAAGGGTTCTAAATTTTCTTGGGTACATTCTAATCTACTAGACGTATTTATGGCCAGCATAAATCTTGCGGGGATATAGACAAGTAAATGGAGTGTTTTGGTGTGTGTGTTTACGTGTGAATTTCGTTCGTATTTACCCGTATTTTCAGCCTGTCGACGATATAAAGCGAGATTTAAATCTAGCATACAGGTAGTTTCGTCAGATTTCCAATAAAACAACAACGTTTAATTTTAAACGAACTATATACGCGACGTGGAATCGGGGAATTAGAGAGACATACATCTCCCCTCAACCGATTCCCATCCCAGCGGAACATTTAATATGTTAATATGATTTGCTTATATCTCAACATTAATCAACGTGTCTGTTTCTGCTTTATCTTTCCTCTTCGACGCCGTTACTTCCAAATGATCATTTATCAGAGATCTACTCGTGATCACCAATTTCGCCTCGGATAAATAAACCAGCGTCGCAGGAATTTATACATTCACCGCCACAGCGGAAACGTTTTAGTATCGCACTACAATAGAGTATAGCAGTTCCTTTTCCACGAGAATTGTAAATAATATGTACACGTATTCGGGAGAGGGTTCGTCGGATTAGAAGACATGTTCGTTTAGTTTAATTGTTGATTCTCCGCCGCGTTCGAGTCGTCCCCGGCTCGAATAAATAACGGGCGTACATCGCACGCGACACTTTCTGGATTGTTATCCAGGAGATGCGGACGGATTTAGGTGGGACGCGGTGAAAATTCGCAACGGCGAAACGAAGAATTATGTAAAATTAATGCTGAAGCGTCGGTTTCGGTTTCCTTCGGAATTAATTACCCCGGGAATTGGGTCGGAAAGCGAGCATCAGTTGTTGGGTTTCTATTGAGGAAATTCATCCGATATGTTATATTGTTGTCGGTGCGGGGTTTTCTCGGTAGTTTTCATTAGCGCGTCACGTTGAATAATGTAATTTAAGTTCGGAGGAAAACGGCAACGAAAACGAATTTCTGCCCCGGGTTTTAATTAATCGCTTTTCTCCTATACATTACATTTTAATCATTTATTCCTATATACACACACACAAATTCCTAAATCTTAACAAGACTAGAATAAAATTATACTTCTCATCACGATAATCCCACGAGTTTTCCACCGAAAATATTTGCAGTCTCCGTAATCTTCTTCCCGAATTCTTTTCCAACAACAAACGGTAACTACAATACACAAAACAACCCACCGCAATTACATTTCCACTAAACAATAACTAAATTATTTACCTCTACAGCCGCGTTGATGCCATTAGAGAATCCTTCCAAGCCTCCCACGACGGCGGTGGCGACTTTCCTGGAGCCCCGCGCGTCGTTTCCGTACTTCTGGCGCTCCTCGGTAACGTCCACCACGGGCTTGGGATTGAAAACTCCCGCCACGAAGCCCTGCAGGCCGGCGTATTTGCGATCCAACTGGATGGGCAGCGACTCCTTCGCGCCCAGCTCTAGCACGGCCCGCCGTCGGCCCGAATCGGGGAAATTCCTCGCTGGAGTCTGCAGGATTGCGATATTAGTTTACCGCCGCTATTGGTAAATGCAAATTGGAACCTACCTTTGTTTTGAAGAAGTTTTTCACGAGGTTCTCGGCGACGTCGCCGACGCCTGCTAGGGGCTTTACGATGCCGCTGTCTTCCGAAGGATGGGCGTGCGATAACGCTAATAAAGCGAAACAGTAAAGGAGTCTCATCCTGGAATAAAATTTCACAGTAAAAAGTTATTATTTTATAAGGCGAATCGACTTACTTTTGTGCGGTTTGGCGCGCTCGCGGTCGCTGGAATTCTTCGACAACGAGTTGCAAATCCACCGCCACATGTCGGTGATAATAGACTAGAAATATTGCCCAATATTCGGCAGCGCGTATTTGCCAACGAAATGAAGCAATATTACACGTAGGAGCGTTTCCATTGCCTTGACAAGGTGAATTATGCGGCGTTTATGCGCCTACTTTCACCGGATTAATCGTAGCAGACCAATTAATTCGATGATTATTGTTGTATAATATGTGTATAAAAATTGGGGTAATTTATTCCGGTTGTTATTGATGAATCTCCGGGTATAGTAAGGAAGAGTTGTAGTTGGAGGTGTCACGGTGGAGACATCTTTCGGAAAAATATCTAAGTGTCGAGGAGAAGGAGTGAAGGATTCGAAAGGAATCGCTGGCGAAATATAACGAAATTCGATTGCGCTTAATAGTTTATTTGTACTAGAAATTACATCAACAATTATTTTTATATATAAATAAAATTGTTTGTTCGCGCTCGCTGGAGGATAAATATAAATAAAGAAAATCACATCACATTCAATTATTGTACATCGTGGTTGAGTTAACGCGGATCGTCGTTTTTTATTAGATTTTCGATCGTGAACAAGCTGGAGTTTTTGGACTTTTTGTCGGTTTGCGCGGAAACTGCCGGCTCCCGTTTCACCAGCGGCATCGGCTCCTCCTGCAACGAAGAAAAAACAACGTGATTTTCGCGATTTTCGATGGCCCGCTATTTCGGATTTTATAGCATTTCAAACAAGTGAAGCCTCGAAAATAAACTAACATCTGGTTTAATGCGGGAGGATCGGATATGGGATGGGCGTACATCGAAAAACACATAAGAGTTATTCTCGATGATTAAATAAACTCCATTGATCTCTCCACGAACCTAGTGAATAATAACCAGTTACTTTTAGCTGTAAAACTATATAGGAGTTTCCGACCTACTTACAAATTTTACACCATATAAAAAGACATTACATGATATTAAATATATTTTATTAATAATAAATTTCTTTGGTATAAGAAAGAAGTCGAGGCAATTCCTAATTCCTGGTCGGAAATCAAATTACTATCCTTTTATGTTTCCGCCGGTGCGTTTTCCCCTTTTATGTCTATATATCCATTTAAAGCGTTTAAGAAAATAACAAAGGCGCGATCTCTCGGCTTGCTCCACTCGAATCGCTCCGGAAGGCCTCCGGGCACAAAGCGAAATGCAGCGTAAACATTCTTTCCGCTATAATTGCAATTAAACTGGCGCGTTCCGAACGGTTTTCCATGCTTTAATTATATGCAAATATTTGAGGAGGGGCGATTAAAAATGAATTTTGATTTTCCAGCGTTGCTAGTACGGTTAAATCCGGGCGGTTTTGTAGCTATTTTCGGGGTAGGTGTTCGTTGTAGCGCGACTTTTCACCTCGTTATTTTTTCGCGTTTATAAAAGGGAGAAAAGCCTTTTTTCGGAGTTGGATTTAATTCGCGTTAACTCGCCGATTTTGCGAAAAAAGGCCGTTGGAATAATGAACGTTCGAATCAGTTTTAGTTCGGAATAAATATAAATTTGATTTTAAAACAAAACAATGGGTTGCATTTAAAAACGAAAAGTTGAATACCAAACGTGTAAATCTGCAAAATGTTTAATTAGTAATTGACACAATAATCAACATTATCAATTAAAAGTAGATATTTATGAATTTAAAGTAAATTATGGAAGTTCCTCAAATATTTAATTCTTCAAAATTGAAGCAATGATTTTCTATTTGTAAATTATTATTGATCGAATTTGTGTTTAAGAAAGTTTTGAGTTTTATGAATTTTCTTTCCTGTGCTATACAGCATTCGATGATACGCTTTAATATCGTTCATAAAATCTTTTTCTGCGCGAACAATTTAGTTTTTTACAATAGTTTTTTTGTTTTTTAATTATTGAAGTTCCTCGAAACAACGCTAATTAAAATTGTTAACTATCCGGATTAAAACTTTGAAAAACTTTCTGGTTTTTTCCCGAGTACTCCCAGCGAGTTTTCCGCCGGTTTTTTTTCCGCGAATCGAACTTTCTTTCGCTTTTTATCGCCATATCGCCGGGGAATTTCATAAAAATACGCTCGAACAATAAACAACAGAGGTAATACACGTAGGAAAATTCATCACCTGAAAGAAAGCCGTCGTCGTCTTGGCGATCCTTTGTCTGGTTTTTCTCCTTCGATAGTTTCCCTTTTCGAACATGTTCGCTGCCTTCGGATCCAGCATCCAATAACTGCCCTTACCGCCGCCGCCGGCGCCCGCCTCCGACTGCTCACAGCCCCCAGGTGACACCTTATCTCTGGCCACTTTCACAAAACAGTCATTTAAACTCAGATTATGCCTTATAGAATTCTGCCAGCCTTGCTTGTTCTCCCGATAGTAAGGGAAATTGTCCATGATGAATCTGCAAACGACATTATTACTACACTCCTTTTCTCTCCACCTTTTTCTGTTTTTTTTTACTCCATCACTATCGCTTTAATCTACTACAAAATTCCGGGGTTATTACGAATGTACTTGTAGATGAAAACCGATAATGTAGCGCCATAATGGAGGAAAAGTTTACCTGTATATGCCGCTGAGGGTGAGCCTCTGCTTGGGCGACGAGGAAATGGCCATGGCGATGAGGGCTATGTAGGAATAGGGAGGTTTCTCGGGCCGGGGTTGGTTTATCTTAATGGGAAACGGCAGCCATAGAGGAGGAAAATAGGGGTTGAAAAGACGCTGGGCCAGGAAAGGGTTCTGGGTCACGCACTCGTTGTAATGATCGTGGCACAGGCACGTTTCCACGTTGGCTAGCGGGAACATTTTTCTATCTAACCTGTAAGATAATAGAAAATCGTGTAATAAAAATCGCGCTATACGAGGTCCGGCGGATGATTAATATTTCAACGCTCAAAATTGACCCACAACAGCGTTCGATAGAAGTGTAGTAAGTTTTTGGTTTTAATGCAGCGAGAGTCGTAATTGAATTTTCAGGATGTTTACCCTCACGTGTAACGGGGCGATAGACACTGTAGCTAATCAAAACGATTTGATTAGGCCGGTATAGGAGCCACCTATACAACGTACATACGAGCGCATAATTCGGATTTCGGCTTAATTGAAATCAGTCTCTATGGAGATTTCGTGTTTACGTAGGCATATTAGATTCCTAGCGGGAATAAATAATTCGTATACGAGGCGAATAAAAAAATGTATACTTACATTAACGCTGATGAGATTGTTGATGATTGGAAAATTGAGTGAAACTCGCGCTCGATATCCCGCGACAAATTGCGACCCGCCGAACCGAAAAATCGACGGAAAATGCGTTTGAGTCGAATAGGCTGAGCCCCATTCCCCCGCCATTCGGCCGGCAATTAAACCAGGAGCCGCCCAAAAGCGCGAAATCCCGCAGGAAAAAATCCCCGAAAAGAGGAGGCGCTTCCCGCGATCGGGCAGGGAAAAAACCGCTCTGCCCCGCCGGCGTGCAATAACTATGACAATTCGTAAACATTTCTGGCAATAAATACAACCGAGATTGTCATTAAACGCTGTATAAATAAGTAATGTGTCATCATTAAAGGCTTATAGTCGCAGACAGTGGTGGAGCTCCAGAAAAAAATTAATTTCCTGCCGGTTCCACAAGTTCCAACGACGACCGATGTTTACCTAACGCTAAGAAAATAAAATTTACATTTCGGAAAGCTAAATAAATAACGGGAAAATGTTTGATGTAAATTACATTAAATAATTCGACAAAAACTCGCTTTTATAATAGCATACAAATTTGTATATCTTGTCATAAATATGTATATGAGGCTACTTATACAAATGAGTTACATAGTGTTATAGGTTCTAAGAGTTACCATCAGGAGGTATACTAGATATTTATGCTGGTAAGATCTTCAAAACAAGAGGAAAAAATACAAACTCTGAGGTGAGAAAACCGCTTTTCCGGCGCGTTTGTCCTCTTGCCAATAAGCGAGCGCATGTGTTTTAGTTTTCGAAAGAAAATCCAGCTCGCAGCGCTTAACGGCCCGTACGAAATAAATTCGCTCGCGCACCGAATGACAAATTTATAATAACTATACAGTATAGAGCCGGTCTGGTCGCTTCAAAAACGATATGAATTATCCGTTCGAGATTTTTGTGCGTTTCCGCGTGCGACCACACGCGCACCTCGAGTGAGGACAGCCATAATAGCGCGTTATTTATGTCGGGGAAAACCTATATAAGCTACTTCTCGATGATGGTCTTGTAGTTAAATACAACAGGACAAATTTGCTTGTCTTGTATTTGTATTAGCTGGAATTCACCTGATCTATGTATTGTCTGGTCTAAAGAATGATCTATGAATTAAGGGTATGGTCTAAAAAATGCTCTGTAGTATGGTCTAACACAAGGTGTATTAACTAAGGTCTAAAATCATGGTCTAGCATGGTCTAGTCTAATCTAAAGATTGGTCTATAAAATGGTCCATGAGCTAAGGTATAAGATAATAGTTTCGACCAGAGATTGGTCTATAGAATGATCCATGAGCTACAAAGTCTATGATCATAGTTTGGCCGAGAGATTATTGGTCTATAGAATGATTCATGAACAATAAAGTCTAAGATCATAGTAATGGTCTAGAGATTGGTCTATAGAAATTGTCCATGAGCTAACGTCTAATGAATAGTAGTTATGGTCTAAGTTATGGTTTATTAGCTTAGGTATGGTCTGTAGAATGTTTTATATTATTGGGTCAATGTATATACCATCAACAATCCCAGGTATGTTAATTACGGAGTTAACACAACAAGTAGTGTTTGAAAACTTGGCAAATTCGTCGTTAAACTGGATCAGAGCGTAAATTTCATCGCGGAAACGTACGAAATATATCCATTGGGATTCGCCGGAGCTAATAATAAACAACATTAACGTTGCGGCTCGACGGCTCGATCGGGCATCCATCAAAAAAAGGGAGATTGAAGTGACAGTCATTATGTTGTTACAGGCGCGTTACATTTGATCTACGGCCGGATTATGGCTATTCTTCGAAAAACCGAAACCGCCGCTCGGCGTTATATATCTGGTTTCGTTTGAGACATTCGAGTTTGGAACAACAAACCGGCATCAGCGCGCTTCAAACAACCCGAGCAATTATCCCCGTTGCACTACTTGTAAAAGGTAATATTGGTACAAATAAAAACATTGCAGTGATATATTTCCTAGTAAGGGAGTGTTAAATTGAGAGTACGATGACCTTATTCGGAATTGCCCTAAACAGGAACTAAGTAGAAATAAAAAAAAATCCCCTAAAGGAACACGTGCGGGCAATCGACTTCCTAATCGCCCGATCGGAGCGAAATCCAGCAAGAAAAAAAAAAGCGGTCATCGTTAATGAACCCGACGTGTCCCTTTTATATTCTCATCTGCGAGACATCCGAAAAGGAAAATGTCATAAATCCCCGAACGCACAGTGGAGTAGCTTCATTCCGAAACGACTAGCTTTTCTGTTTGTGTAAACGTTTTAATGTTCACACAGATTCACAAATAAACACTCGAATTTCTAGAACATTACTATTTACTTATTTACGCGTTCCTTTATTGCCGCTAGCCGAATGTTTTCTAATTTTGTAATGGGCCGGGCTCTTTAGCGATTGGTAACGGTGGCGTCGCGGGTGGTCTTTCGCACCTCGTTAAAAACGCCGCGGAAACGCATTCAATAAAACCATTATTATTCCTACGGATCCTTCTGTGTATCTATTTTCGACGTTATGAATCTCCTCAACAGTATTATATTCTCCCGGTTTTATTTCGCTTCTCTTATGAGTATCCGGGTATTTGATTGTTTCCTATCATCGAATGATCATAGTTGACCCAATAATTAGACAGATTTTTTTTGTTTTATCACGTTTTATTTGTTAATTTTATGTAGATGTTTTCAAATCTACCCTTATTTTTGATATAAGAGCTCTAGTTTTTGAAATACAGGTACCCCCTATTTCGCACTACATAATACACACTTTATTCCTATCAGACGAGTAATCAAGCAAATTTCTGAAATTTATTAATATTTCAACATCAAGAAGAAAATGTGTAAACGATCCCAATAGTTTTTGTACCATTTCTGGCGAGTACAAGTTTAAAGCATGTCGTGTTATAAGTGCCAATTTTGTTCATTAAATAATTTTAATTTCCCAGTAATCGTTCATGTAATTTTGTGCCATGTAATTTTTATCATCAATAAATCAAATCCACTTGAATCTCAATCTCTAATCGCCAATCTATAGAATACTTTTCATAGAGTTAAAACAACAAAATCGTTCATTAGATAGCGCGATTATAAGTTTTATCGCATTCCGATTCATATTATATGCTAATAAAATTATATGCACTTTACTATTGTTATCGGTAATACATCAGATAAGAGCGAATAAAACCCGTTATGATCGATAAAAAAATGAGTGTTTTTTCGGCGATGTCGACGGAAAGTATTGAGTCGTGGATTTCCCAGGATGTCCTCAAAGGGAGGAAAATTGTGGAGACGGTGGTGGAGGATTTGGTGGGACCGGGCGAGAATTTCGGCGGGGAATTACTGAAATTGGAGGTGATCCTGGAAGATGAAACGACCAAAGTTCGAGATGTGCTGCACGTCGCCGAAAAGAAAATACCAGTTTCGGAGATGTTTCAGAAATTGTTCAACGTCCAGACCTCCTTCCAGGCCGAGATAAATTTCTACGATAAGCTGGTGCCGATATTTCAGAATTTCCAAAGGGAGAACAACGCTAAGGAGATTATGGATAATTTCTGCCAGCTGTACGGTTACAGGTTGAATTTAAACGGCAGCAAAGTCGTGGATAGAGACGCTTTTATCCTGCTGGAAAATTTAACTTACTCAGGTTGATACGCTCGATATAAGTTTATTCGCTTTAATATTTTGTTACTACAGGATTCCGGAACGTCAATAGATATATTGGATTCACTTTAGAAGAAGCCCAGTTGGTGCTGAAGAACATGGCAGCTCTACATGCCGTTCCGTTGGCTATAAAACTGAAGAAACCGGAAGTTTTCGCAAACGAAATCAGACCGTTACTAACTAACGACATAACACAACAAAATAATAATATAAATATAAATATCGGTAGCTTATTGGAAGACATTTTATGGGAATCGGATAAATGCGCTCCCATTCTAAGCAAGGTAAAAATTCTCACAATTACACTCCCTATATAAAAAAATCACATATAATTTCGTATGTATATAGGTGATAGGAGCTTTAAAGACTGCCAAGACTCCGCAGAAGTACCAGCCTCGAGAACCCTACGCCACTCTCTCTCACACAGATCTCTGGGTCAATAACATAATGATAAAGCACCAAAATGGGGAACCCGTTGCTTGCAAGTTCGTGGACTTCCAGGGCTACGATTACAAATCCCCGGCCATGGATTTACTGTTTTTCCTACTTACCAGCCTGCAAGTGGACGTTCTGAGAGACGAATTCGACATCTTGATCAAATTCTACCACAAGGAATTCCTCAATAACCTGAGGGAATTGGGATGCGACGTGGAGCCTTTCAAGTTAGTTCGATTACAAACTCAATTTCATCTTCGGATTTAATTATTTCTTGTAGTTTGCTCAAGTTTGAAGAGGAATTGGCAACATACGCTCTGGAGGTACTCCAATGGTGCTCCGGGTTCATTCTTTTCATCATTTACGGTCCCAAGGAGAAGCCGCCGGTGATGGAGGAACCCCCGCCATCGTTCGACCCCACAGGAATTACCTTCAGAGACGAATTGAGGAAAATGGTTCGATTAGAAGCCAAAGAAAAGATACAAACGATTGTTCAAATTTATTACAGAAAAAACTGGTTGAAGTAAACGAGCGTGTACTGTAAATAAAATAAGTTATTTTTGCATATGTATGTGCGTGTTTCTCTATTATTCTGTATTATTGTTCTAATCCTTTCATCTGACATCCTTATCTAAATATAAATACCTATCCAGTTAATAATCACGTATCTGCTTGTAGCTGTCTTTATTTCCACGTTAATGATAACGTTTGGGAATTTCTCGATTGAACTTTTAATTATAAAAAACTACTAAATGTCCGAATTTTATTCCACGAATAAATACAAAGCGAATTTATGTCCGTAGAGTTGTAAATCACCGTTAAACTGCGTCGCTGTAATGGCATCACAAAGACTGGGATAATCGACGAAGAGAAAATATTTTTCGAAGCGAAACTAACCAGATATAAAATTGTATACATCAAAATTTAATTTCGAGGTTTGTTTATCGGTTTGATAATATACATGATGGATTAGATCGTTTATTTTGATATCTATCTTCTATTATTTGAATTGCAGAAATTGCTTTAGTATTATATCTCGAAAATTTATTACGATATTCAAAATTTGTGCAGTTCTTTTTTGAAATAAGAAGAGTCTAAGTTGTTATAGTTATGCGTCCACTCGGAAGCGGTTGACGCAACAGTAAAAGTCCACGGTTTTGACATTGACATTGACAACTCCCACTTCAATTCAACGACACGACACTTCACTTCGATTTATTTCGTAATTTCAAATTTCATATTTAGTTGTCAAAAAGTTAATTTGGGGTTAACACATACTTTTTCTTTTTTACTACAATTTTACAGTTTTTGGCACGAAAGTCGTATTAAAAATGAAAAATTATGTATGCCAAGTACCTGAATTTGCGAAGGCCAACGTCTTTGTAAACAATCCAGAGTTGGTGAACGAGAAACTGGCGAATTTAATCCAGGGTGGTTTCCACAAATTGCAAGTAGTTTCGGATTTCGATAAAACCATCACCAAACAACACCAAAATGGAAAAATACACATCAGCAGTTTCGGTAGGTTATTGAATTACTTCGTAAATCGTTTGTTGTTGAATTTTAACAACTTTTTAATGGCTCTATTCTAGTTAACGTTAAGACAATACGTTTACTACGAATCACTAGGTATTAATAATAAATCACAATAGTGTTAAATAAAACCAAAAGTTATTTAAGGCATCAAATTTCATTTTAAAGGTATGTTCAGTTCCTGTCCTTCGGTGACCGAAGAACACACTCGAATAGCAAACGAGATAAATAAAAAATATGCACCCTGCGAAGTCGATCCTACGATTCCCAAATCGGAGAAGAGGAGGCTAATGGAAGAATGGTGGTCACAATCGGAGGATTCCTTGAGGTAATTTAACATCTAAAATAAGCACTAATAATTCATTTAAATATTTCTTGCATTTCAAGAGGTTTGTGCGTAAGCCGAGAGGAAATAGAAGAAGTTTGTGCGCGAATAGGACCTGAATTACGGTTGGTATTAATAAATTTCCATAGTACATCAATCTGTTCAAAGGTTATATTTCACGCGTTTCGGATAAAATGGCAAAAAAAATTTTGAATTATTATCAGAGCAAGTTTCAAACGGCATTGCATCTTAGAAATATTTATGTTTATGTTGCGTGATTATTAATTGCTTTGGTATTGACTTGTTTTGATATCATAAATTGTATAATAAATATTGTATTTCAAATGCCTATGCTACTCCATTTATTTATAGTATTCATAGAAATTCAATTTCCAGGGATGGAACGAAAGAATTGTTCGAGGAACTCCACAAAGCAGATGTACCGGTTCTGGTATTTTCAGCCGGTTTGGGAGATACGGTACAAGCTGTTCTGAAACACTTCAACGTGAATCTACCGAACGTAGAGGTATTGATTGTTGATATCTTCGAGAGTTTTTTTATAGCGATTTAATGCCTGTAGGTTATTTCTAATTTCTTAAAATACGACAACGAAGGGAGGATTACAGGCTTTAAGAATAGCACTATTCACGTTTACAATAAAAACGAAGTGGCTCTTAAAGGAACGGATTTCTACAAGAGGATAGAGGACAGGGAAAACGCGATTTTAATGGGGGATTCGCTGGGCGATGCGGCCATGGTGGATGGAGTGGAAACCGTGAAAAATGTACTTAAAATAGGGTTTCTCTACGAAAGGGTGAGATTCACTTTGATATAGTAATTAAATACGTTATTTTTGTTGTATTTTTAGAGTAAAGAAGCCCTGCCGGAATACATGAATACTTTCGATATTGTTCTAGTCGACGATCAAACCATGAACCTCCCTAAAGCGATCTTAGGACTAATCAAAAATTCATTTAATAATTTAGGAAATGGAAAAGCTTAAAGTTTTAGCTTAATTTTTAACTTATTCTGTTAAAATATACACATTTTATGAACGAATCAAAGCTAACGAGTTTTTTTTATTTATAATGTATATTTTCGCCATTAAATTGTTTCGTTAGATAATCATTTTATTATTTATACCTACAAAAATTTTAATTTTCTAAAAAAAAAAATAGAGCCGTCTAAATTATATGTAAAAGTTGCTGGTTATTGGTAAATATATACAGATAAGTGCAAATTTGTAGGCAATATGGTCTATGGGTGTAACAAAGACTTTCATTAAAGTCATATAAAGGAAAAAGAACGTGATATTGTAGAAATTGCAACTTTCTCACCATAACTATTGTTATTTTAATAATCTTTCTTTGTTCGACTCATAGGAACGCAAAAAATTGACCTTAAAGTTCGTACGATTTAAAAATGTCAATACTTTATTAATAGAAAGAAATAATTTGAAGCAAAAAAAAAATCGTTATCGCCCTGAACACGATCATAACAAACAAATATGTAAGATGTGGTAGGATGTGGTAAAGATAAGGAATGAATAAATTAAAAAAAAATAAAAGACCCGCAAAAATAACCCTCCAATAAACTAAATACCATCACAATAGGGTCACGGTCGAGTATCCCCCGCTCGACAATCAACCCTTTCGCGACGAAAAGAAAAGCGCACACAGGTAAAACGTTATCGATTCCTATACCGTTGTCACTCTAGCATTTAAGAGCAACGATTCGTGAAGATTCATTAGATAGGTAATCGTTGGCATGGCTACCATCCTTTCAACCGTTCGAACGGCCCGTTTCACGGGGGGTCGCGTCCCGACGCACTCCGTCCTCCGATCGCGACCCCATTATAAATAGACGGAACGCGGGCGAGGAACCGTTGCTCGCGAAAATCGGTCACCAACGCGGACGAAATCGCCCGTAAAAAGGACCATGTCGCAGGACGAGAGCTTACAGTCGAATTCGGAGTCGTCAAGTACGTACACAATATACCCTGTAGTTTTTGTCACGAAACGTTCGCTTCGCCTTAGGCAGCTCCGCCAGCAACAATTTCCCGTTTTACCAGGAGCATTTTCCCGGCGATCATGACGCTAATATGACCGAACCGTCGTCCTGCAGCAGCCCGACGCCTGCTTTAGCACGAAGCGGCACCGTCAAGCGAGCCGGCGCTACTTTCCTGCAAAAGAAGGAAAGCAAAGAGAACTACAATTTCTCAGTGTCCGAGGATAGTGATAGTGTGTTCTTAAAAGATAAATCTAACCCCGATCCTGTGAACAATCGATACAGGCGCTCGTTAGACAGTACATTTAGGTAACGATTAACCCCTACAATTAGTTTGTTAGTACTTATTGTAAGTACTTTTTTTAGGAGAAGCTTAGAATCGATATCGGAGCACAAAACGAAGCGATCGTTCTCGCCCACGTGCACGCTCAGCTCGACCAGCAAGTGCAGCTCCTCGCTGGAGTCGTTCTCCTCCGAGGCCGATAATCCGCTGAGGAGCAGCGCGGTCGGCGCCAAAAACGAAGAGGGCAAAACCATCCAGAGCCCGGCCTCCAGCTACTTGTCCTGGATAGGCAGCGTCAGCAACGATTTCGCCGCCCCCGCGAAACCGCCGGCCGAGCCGGCGGCTAATAACGAAGTCGACAGCAAGGTCGGGGAATGGAACAATTTCTGGTTGAACTACAACAGCGCTAGGAGCAGGTACCTGTCGAGCGCTTTTCTCGGCACCGACGACCGCACCGTGAGTACAGAATTTCGTGTGAATTTCGATTGGTACTCCAGCGTGAGAAGGTTTTGTTGCAGGGAGACGAAATGTCGAAGAGCAGCAACAGCAATTACAGGGACCTGCCCGAGCGGCCGTCGGGCGAGTACGTGCTGATGACGCTCGACGAGGTGCACGAAACGTTGAAGTGCTCCAAGAAGATCACGGAGATTTTCCAATCGGCCCTTCTCCGGAACGACCACGACTGCGAAAACTCCAATTTCGAAACGTCTTATTACTCGCAATCGCTCTCCAGACAGGTAATTTTGAAAACCCATAGACTTATAGCAAAGGAACCACCTGGAGTAACCAACAATATTTTCAGAATAAAGACATCTATTGCTCTTTTCTTACTCTAAACTATTTCAGATCGTCAAAGGAAAATATTTGAGCAAAACAATGTTTTCATCAGGATTCTTTCAAAGTCACCTATTGCAATCAACACCTTTCAAGTTCATCTCCTAAATTGTCAACAATATTTCTCCCTACCTTTGATAGAGATGGGTAATATAATATTGAAAAATCTAACTAAAGACGAATTGCTCTTTCGTTCCTCCAAAATAGCTTCATCTGGAGTAACTAATAATATTTTTAGAAAAAATACCTCATCTTGCCCTTTAGTTCTTCTAACCCACTTCGTTTTATTGAAGGAACATAATTGGACACAACAATCTTCCCAGGATTCTTTCATAATCATCAATTGCCAATATAACAATCAACACCTCTAACTACTTTCTCTCTACCTTTATCTTGCAGAACTCATCGATAAGAGAAGACAACGCGTCGATCTTCACGCCGGAGGACCTGAAGAAGGTGGCCAGGGAGCGATCGGCCTCTTACATAGTCACCACGCAGGACCTGCTCAACATCGAGAAGCAGAAGGAGATCATGAAGCCGTCGGCGCAGTCGTCGAGCACGAGCTGCATCAACGCCCTGCTCAACACCGGCGTCGCCGACATATTGAAGCGGATGATGAGCAAGCGTCGCGACATGGTGACGCCCGACGACGTGTCGTCGGCGACGCGACGCAGCTTCTCCGAATGGACGGGCAAATGAGTTTTGTTCGTGAGGTATTACTACAGGAGCAAGTACCACGCGTCTTGCGTGTGTTACGATTATCGCGCGGCTGCTTCGAACGAGAAATGAGATGTTTCGTGTGGATGTTTAAGGTGTGGTAGATGAATAAAAATCGTGTATTTGTTTTATTAGATTCGTGAGTTTATTGGCTGGTAGTAAAGAAATCCTTAGCGAATGTTTGGCTGACTAGTAGAGGAAAAACGAGGGTTGCGTCTGAGTATATTTTAACAGGGGCGGCGTCTTTTTTTATTTTGCCCCAGGATTTGGCTTCGTCTGGTCTGGCTCCTGCGTCGCTACCGTCGAATTCCGAAGAGGTGTTTATGAATACCGAATAATCAGCTCCATTTCTCTAAAATTGCGTTAGTTACACTTTTTTTAATCGAATACAACTTTATAATTACTACCATTAAATTAGCGTTGCAAATATGGTGTTTAACGAGCCCTCCGCCTAGTATGATCATACCAGTATGTACAGATTTCATCGCCATTAAATTAATCCTTCGTAAATCTGAAATCCAATGCATGTATCAAACCAATTTATGAGTAAATAATTCAAAAATACCTGATATAATATCGACTACTAATCCGGGATTCTTGAAAGAATGCATAAACATCATATCGCCGAGACTTCCATCGGTTAAAGCGGGACAAAACACGGGAATTTTATTCTTCGCAGCCCAATAGTATACGCTTTCTTCGCTGTTTATTTCCTTGCCTAGCCTTTCGATTATTTTACTAGGGGTCCACAGTACTCCGTCGTTTTGTTCTTTCAATAACTCGTCGAGAATCGGTAAGATCCAATTCTCGAAACTACAGTAATTGTCGTTTGGTACTAGTAAATTCCCTATTCGGTTTATACCGCATTCTCTCAACGTTTTACCGTCTAAATGGAAATCGCCTACGAAAGTGGGCGCGAGGCATTTTATTATGTCTTCTTCAACACCACCTGCTGTAGTAACAATACAATCAACCTAGAAATATTTGTTATTAATTTAATTTTCTGGTATTAAACGTACGAGGTGTTACCATTTTATTCTTAACTAAAAACTTGATAGTTTCTCTTAAACCACTAGATATAAGATTGGACGTATACCCTAAGAATATGGTACAATTATTCTTAACAACTGTAAATTCGTCGTCGTTATCGATGAATTTTTCTTCGGGAATCGGTTGTTTTCTACAATGCAGCATTTTGTTGACTTCTTCGACGGCCAGGCCGAAATTTGTGGCCTGGAAACCGCTGTGCAGGTAACTTTGCAATAGTTTTTCGTAATTTAGACCTTCGTTCCAGTTGTAACCGGCCACTCGGTCGTTCAAGAACGACAAGTTCGTGGTTTTCTTCAACACCGCTTCGTTTAATTCCAACATTAGATTGTTTGATTGGGCCATTTTTTAAATTCGCACAGATGTAAATAATAAATCTCATTTGAAAATTGAGGTTATGTTGAGTTGACAGTTATAATTTGTGGTTAGAAGAGTTGACAGTTTTGACATTTTAAAGAAGCGTTCGTTTGTACGGGTTGACGAATAGTTTAGGTAAAAGAGGCCACTTGTTTCAAATATAAAATTTTTTATAATTCAAAAATTAAAGCAGTGAATAAAAAGTGTATATTGGCGATAAAAAAGGCAAGTTTTTCTAAACTTAATCTATAAATGATCTTAGTTTTTGTACAAATCGAAAAATAATGAGTAAATAAGACAAATTATCATTTCCTAATAATAATTAATGAGTATTCATTTTGAAGCATCTTGATTGAGACAATTCAACGGCTTTAGATAGAATTATTTGCACGTCCATCGAGGGAAAGTTTTGTAATAACTTCAGATTGGACGGGAAGTCACCATCGAGCAATTGGTTTCTTAATATTCTAAAAAAAGTACACATCAAAATAGCAATCAAATTATTGGCTGTACGCACTTACACTATCATTGCACAACATACGTATATCAAAAAATTAAATCTCTTTTTATCGGAAAACAGCGAGTCCCATATCCTAAGGACATCAGGCAGTGGAAATTCTTGAGAAAGTAAAAGTGTTATCCATCTAGAATGGTGTTCAATTTAAAAAATTGCTCCGCTAATGCCGTTTTTTCCTTACCTAAAACTGTAGTATTGAGGCTTAAGATCTAATTGTTGGAATTTGAGCCAGACATCCAAATCGCAAACTTTCAATTGATTCAACAATCTATTCATCATTTCGTTGATTCCTCGATCCGATTCGTCCAAGCTCTTTATGAAAAAGTCTCGAATCTCGGACATCAAATTCGTGAAGCAGAAGAAACAATCCGCCTCGGCATGTTCTGAAAAAAAAACACACAAGAGTAATAATATGAAATAATTATATTTATTTATTATACCTCTAAAAGAGATGTCTGCATCTGATGCAAATGCGTGATAAATCGGACCGACGATTTCATTCATTCCTTGAACATACCCTTGTCCTGGATTTAATTTAGCGTACAAAAATAATATCCTTTCCACTACTTCCCAATGGGCCTCCTTACCTTCAGTCATCGGAGCGTAGTCTTCGTTTGCTTTTTTTGATAGTAGAGCAATCTAAAAACACAATTCCCCGCAATTCCTCATAATACTAACAACACACGCATGCTTTTAAAAGTGTTAAAATTTTACCTGCTACTAAAACACATCCCCAATTAGTGACAAAGCTGTACGACAAATTATTCATTAAAACGCAGAATATAAGACTTGTAAGTATCGTTAATCGTACCTTTGTTATGCCTAATCCCTTTCTCTCCACATTGGCACATTTCAGAACGCTTCTTTGTACTCTGCTGTGCAGTCGTTTACCGTCTTCCCCGTTTACGATATCTTTGCAGGGAAATTCGGTGGGTTGCTGGAAAAATGATATGTCGGGGCAGAGTCTCCTCACGTCTTTGTCTATTTGAAGCAAGACTTCGTTGTCTTTAAAGAAAGTCTGCCATTCGCTGTCAGGGTTTATGTTTAAAGGGTGATCGCCCATCGTGACGTCCCCGCTGGACTCTTTGCTCCCAGGTATTACTATCATTTCTTCTGCAATGCAATTGTAATAATATGATTAATAAAAGCGTAGGGGGGTTTAGTGTTACTTATAAAGTGCTTGTAGAGCTCTCTTTTTTCGCTTAGGCATTTTTTCCATTCGTTTTGCTCGGGCGGTAGGTAATTCAATAGTAATTTCCAACACAAAGGACGTTTTGATTGATCGTCCGGTATGCCTGCAATTTAAACGAGCGTAAAGTAGGTTTTTCATTCAATTCGGATGATGATTGTTATTGAGATAAAAAACATACCTCTAAATGATAATGTTTTCAAAGTTTCGAGATCTATGATGTCTTGTTGCAGCAAGTCGTCGAATTCTTTCAGCCTGGAAGTAATTAATGGTTAAAAACAGGTCGGGCGGATATTTGAATTTCGATTTACTTAGCCTTGTATGCCATAATATTTTGTAAAATTCGGATAACTTTTTCATATGGGAGGCGATATGTCAACAAGAACAAATGTCATATTACATCTTCTTCTTTTATTACTAATCATCTGTCAATACGAATTTTTGCGACGAATAACCGAATAGTCGGACACAAGCTACATTTTCGGAGGGATATTCAAATTTATACAACACCATCTTAATTTCTATCAAAACGTACACGAATTAAACAAAATGAAACAAAAGAATAATTTGAATATATTATAATTTGGTGGTAAGTAAAATAACTTATTTGTTTCGTTTATAATACATTTAGAAACGTCGTCATGTTTTCAAATGTATATCGGTTTATCTATTTGAATTTGCTAAAAAATAAATTAAATCAGATCTGTGTCACATAATACAGTCAGTAACTCAGTTTATAAGATATTAATTCCAAAAAGATGCGGCTTAAATAACAATATTCCTTTAAATCACAATGTAAAATCACAATTTTCCGTATTTACAATAAAATTACACCAGGGCATAATAATAAATCAATTCTCAAAGTAAATAATAATGTTTTTTAACAAAATATAATAAAATAATATACATTATATAAAAATAGGGTTTCCTTCATATTTTCGAATGAAAACGTTAATAATGCAGTCTAATATATTTGAAACTAATTATATAAATGCAACATTTTTAACAAGAAAACACAAAGAAAACAGATTGAATATTTCTATAACAAAATAACATGATAGCACAACCGCAACAAAAAAATGCACTGCATTTAATACTGATTTTATTACAGGTATCTTATTTTATTATACATACAATATATACACATTTTTAATTAACATTTGTTTAGGTTTACGTTAAAATTATTTAAAATAGACTTTTATTAGCGGTTTTTTATTAATATAGTCAGTTATTAACGAAGTAAATGTGTGTCAAATAGATTTTTGTGTAATTTCGCCCAGAGACTCGATGGGCCTAGCTTAGGAGGATATTTATTGGTCAATTCTAAGTCGAAAATGCTTTATACACTTTTGCCCAAAAGGAATTATTACACAGATATTACACCTCTGGACTATTATCAACAGTTTAGTGTAAAAAATGTATAAGTCATTTTCGACTTCAAATTAACTAGGGAATACCATCCTAAGCTACGTCCATTAATTCAAGAGCATTAAACAATTTTCTAAACCATGCGTTCGTCTTGTCAACATTGCAATTATCCGGAACTACGAGCTATCACATCAAAGCGCTTTTATCTCGGAATCTTATCCAAAAAGTCCATTTCCACGATTTTGTCGATCTTCTCCAAAACGGCGTCCAATTGCTTGTCCTGCTGCCGCTCGGCGTTGTTGAACAAATAATCGCCGGTGACGAATTTACCGCAATCGGTCCGGTGCCTGTCCGAACAGGAACTCAACGTCTTGAAGAACCCGTGCAAATCCCGCAATTGCGTTATGTTATTCGCCGTCAACAGCAACTCGTTCCTGTTCATCGGCAGCACGTCTATGTGATTGTCCGGGTACTTTTTGTTCATCAGATCCGCTATCCTGACGACGTGAGGCAGGAAGGACGTTTGATTGAACTGGCCCGGGTTCTGTTTCAGTAGATCGTCGCCCACGAACGCCCACCTATACCTAAAGCGCAATTTATTAGTCTTAATTGTAGTGTCGTGGAGAGTGAAAATTTATCGTGCTTACATTTGAAATTGCGGTAGCGTAGTGGCGGGTAGAAGTAGAGCCAAATCCAATAACTTGGCGGTGGATAACTGCAATCTCAACCAGTGAGGATGGCCCAAGGCGTGCAGGCCGTTGTTGCTGTTCGTTGCCCAGCTTGCATCAAGAGATGACATTAGTTTTATATGAGAGCTAATTCCAGAGAAAAGAATAAAAAATAATAATAATGAAAATTCGCAATTGTAGGATTAAAAATCAATTGAATCGGAGAAATAAATAGCAGAAGACAGCCTGTATTCAGGGCTGATTTTTAACGCTAATCAATTGTTTAAAAATGTCTCCTAAACGTAAACAAATCTCCATAGTTACTCCATAACAACAATGTAAAACTGTCAAATTAAAGATATTAAACTGATTAGCGTTTAAAAATAGCGCTGAATACGAACCAATAATATCTCCTTAGTACTCATTTATCCATTGACATTATTAATCAAAAAAAAAATAATATTAGTAACAAAAATCAAGTGTACGAGTTAATAAACTTTAGGTTAATCACGTAGGCGAATAAGCGTTAAAGTTAAAGAGTAAAAATTAGAATTAATTACCTGTTGTTGGACCTGTTGCATATCCAGCCACCACAGCATATCACAAACAAATAAATATATTATTAGTTGAATTTTTATAGTTAACAATCGTGTGACGACAGTCCACTCACACCATTAAATTACAACACCAAATCGTTTTACTGTTAATCAAATTGGTTCTACCAAACATTTAAACTAGAATAATAAAGCATGCCCAATAAATATCGAATCGTAATAAACCTCCAGTATTTAATAGGTTTAACTAAGCAATACGCCCAACCTACAACATCCACACAAACTATCTCACGCACCTGAATTCTTCAGTGTCGGTAGACAATTCCTGTTCGATTTGCAGGAAAACCTGCAGCATTTCGCTGATGATAATGGGCCACAGAGACGTAACGTGCAAAGGGCTCATCCTAATCAATATGACTCTAAAGCACATAAACACTTGCGCCTGTACGCCGGGAACGCTCAGCCTTAGACTACTCGTCAGTTGTTCTGCACAACAAAAATATTACAAATATTATTATTTAATTAATTAGAGAGAGTTAATTACCCTGAATATCAGGCATGTATTTAGCGTATTGGTCCATCTCGCTGCAAAATATCACGTACGCCAATCGTTTCAACAGCTGCGCCTTCTGCTCGTACTCCTGCTCTCTAGACGAAAATATATTCAAACTTCCACTTTGATTCATCGAAACGCGATCTACAAAACACCAACATACAAAACGAATACTTTAAATGTTACACAAAACAAATTTACTCATCAGATCTCTAAAAGTGGTGTTGTCGTGCGTCATGAGATTGTCCACGATCACTCTCCAGTATTTCATGCAAGAATAGTCCATTTGAAAGAGCGCATTGTCGAACAGTAGATCGAACACATCCTTTTTCCAAGCCTTCCTCGTGTACTGGTAACTGCTGAGGCTCGACAGCAACTTCGAGCAAGCGTTGAAACTGGGCATGTTCCTGACTGTGTGAGTCCTCAGGTAAGGGACTATATTGCACATCAACGATACTAATATATTGTTGACTTTGTCTTTCTCCGAAGAACCGAAGCATATGTCTAGAATGGGTGCTAATATTTCCGAAAGGACCTACAAGGAATTCAATGTTTAAGTACTGGATAGAGAGGTGAGAAAATACTTACCAATTGCGCCTGTACGCTGTGGCTCGAATTCAAAAATATATCGCTGTGGCTGCCGCTTATCGTGTTAGAATCCGATACGGATTCGTCGTCCTGTTCCTTTACGGCGAAATTCCTCCGCAGCCAAGTCGTTTGTTCCAAACAGGAGCCGCACACTTGCGATACGCAATCGATCAACTACGAGAAAATACGCTTTAATACCGCTATAGGAGATTATGGTTAAAAACGTTACCTTAGCGGTTACATCTTGCAGGTCCTTTTGGTCTTTCTTTTCCTCCAACGGGCAACATTTGATCATGATTTCGTGCAGGATCGCGGCCAGCAGGAACTGGGCCGGCGGCGATAACGAACAACCTTCTCTAATTAACGTGAGAAGCGAACCCCAAGCCTCGAAGAGTTGGGTGGACGTCGCATTGCGCATGTAACTGTGCAATAATCATCAACGTTTAATTAAATCCCGCGAAAGTTTCGAGTACTTACCAATAGAACAATTCCAAAACGGAGACATCCAAACAAATATCCGAACTAAGTCCTTCCGTAGGTGGAGGATTCTTTATCACAGCCGTCACAGTTTGCACTAAATTATCTAATGGAATAACTCTTATAGCCAAAATGAGGTAAACTAGATTGTTTTGGCTAGAATTCGGTTCGGGAAGCACCTGAAACCACACACGCTATAAAAAAAATTCGATGTCAACTAAATTAAACGAACCGTTTTGACGTTAGTGAATGGATTCCTCCGTTCGTACCAAGTCACCGAAATGGCGGCCAGGAAGCTCGCGCTGTGATGCACCGAAATGGGGCTCAGAAACTCCAACAATTGCTGTTTGACGACCTTCGAATTGCCGAAGACGCCGTTGAAATCGCCCTCCAAATTTACGATCGTCTGCCACAGCTTGGCAACGCTGGAAATGATCCGAGGCATGTGGCCGAGGATCGTCTTCCTGGCGTTCTGGTAGTGATCCGAGTTCTGTTTAGCCGTTAAATTCAAATCGTTGGCTAAAGGCGAGAAGAACACGTTGAAGAGATTGTTGATGATCTCGCCGGTATGCGTAGGAGGAGTGTTCGGGGTGCTCGGAACGTTCTGCGAGGAATCCAACAGACAATAATGGCACAAGATAGTGAGAGCTTCCAGCTGTGTTACGGCGTAGTCCGAGCACAGTTCGTTCTCCAATTCGGTCTTGTTGTAGTTCGAGGCGATTTCTTCGATGTTGTTGCATATCTGATGGACGACGCTGATCGATATTTGCTTCAAATTGTCGCCGAAGTGCGGCAGACAGGTGGTGACCAAGCGCAGCCAGTTCTCGTGCAAGTGCTTCATGTTCTGCTGCCTCAGGGCGCTCATCACGGCAGATAGGAAGATTTGCTGTTGCGGTATCAACGTCACCGAGACGTTGATGCTTTCGTCGGATTTTTGCGAGAAGATCTTCGATTCGAGTATGATTAGCGAGTTGATTAAACGCAGTATTTGGATCTGGTAGGCCTCCACGTGCTCGCCCACTCGGTTGTTGTTGTCGCAGAGCTGGAAGTTGTTGTAGGCCAGGATCTCTTCGGCGAAGGTCATTTCGTCGTCGAAATTTCGCACGGATATCAGCAGACAGTTGAGTAGAATTTTTTGTAATTTGCACTTCACCAACAAATCAGCTATGTAGCTGGAGAACCCTTTGCTGTTCTCGTCCACCATTATGATCAATTTCTTTAGTACGATGTTCAGTATGTCCAAGCTTTCTAACTGTATCTTCAGATTGTTGTTCATTTCTTCGGTCAGCAAGCTCGAGTCGTCCAAAAACGGGAAGAAAGTCCTCGAGTAATTGAGGCATATCGAAATTATCACGTCCAGGAACATGTAGCCCCTGTAGAAGTTCGTGTGATCGGCGCTCAGATCGCCCGAGAATCCGTATCCTAACAGAGACTTCCTGTGGCGAGCCAGCAGATTTAAAATCTCGTTGCATTTCAAATCCTTCATCCCGCTGGTAGCCAGGCATTTGATGAACAACTGCGAGTTGGAGTTTATGCAACTTTTGAGCGTGTGCAACGCGTAGATGATCTGATTGGAATCGAAAATTTCGTAGTACAAGCACAAGTGCGAGTGTATCGGATACAAAACCAAGTTCTTGTGCGTGGCGTGGTAGATTTTCGATTTCAAATCCAAGTCCGTGGGCCTGGCGGGGCCGTCTTCGACGTCTTCGATCACCTTATCGATGATCTCGCTCAATATTTCGCCGACAATGTATTTCTCCTCGTTCCTGCGGAAGAAATCCTCGGCGCTTTTGCTCAGCTCGAGCTCGCAGTGGCCGTGCAAGTTGTCCGAATCGGATATGCAATACGACCAGCTCTGCACCAGGTTGTTCTCCTTGGCGAAGTTGATTTGATCGTCGAAGCTGTGGGACTTCGGTATTTTCGAGAAATTCAAATTGTCGTTTACCGCTTCCACTATGAGTCCGTCGGTGATGGGTTCGATGCTATCTAGTAACACTTTAGCTTTGTATTCCCTTTCGATTGATGATTCCAAGCCGTTTTTGGTTTTTAAACTGTCGAAACCCGAGTCTCTTTCGCCGTTGAATTTGTCTGGAGTGAGGCTTTTACCGAAGGAATCCTCGTTGCTGGTTTGAGTGAGATCGTTGCTCGAAGACAGGCTTTCTAACGAGGAATTCGAGCTTCTTTTGGTGTACGAACCGTCTATACCCATCGGGTACACTTCTTTAGAACTCAAAGGGTTGATAATCAGTTTGACGTTCTTAACGGATTTCTCCGACTTCGGGGAAGCGTTAACTCCTTTAAAATCTCTGTTCTTTTTAGTCACCACGTTGGAATCCTCGTTGATGCTCGTCGTCATGTTGATAACGGGCGACGATAATCTTTTACCCGCTTTATTGGAGAATACAAACCATCGTTTCTTCGTCGGTTTCGCGCTCGGACTGTCCGTGACGTGGTACATGATGTTGCCGTTGACGTTGCTCACGGCGTAGATCTTCTTCGATTGGATGTTCTCGATGCGGTTGTGGTCCTGCGCGGCGATGTCGCTCTGCGAATCCGAGTCCTGGATGTTCACGTGCCTGATCGACACGCGGGCCGTGTTCGAGGCGAGCAGCTTCAACAAAATGGGGTTGATTATCCTGGAGATGTCGTTGTGGAGGAGCGCGTGCGTGAGGAACGCTTCGGAGAGGAGCTGGAGATGGGGCGAGTCCTTGTTTTGGAGGTTGTCCAGCATTTTTAATAGCGATCTAGAAATGAATATATTAGTAGGTACGTGTGTAGTTGGATTTAAGGCGATAAATTACCTGTCGAAATTCCTCAAATCGGGTTTGTTGGGGGAGGTTTTTATCGATAAATCCCGACCCAAGTGCCAGAGGAGGAAAAACTGCTTCACGTATTTAACGGTAATATTTTCTTGCGTGAGGAATTTGTTAATCACATTCTCGACGAATAAGGTGTTATCGAACGTATTATGTATTTGATACAGTAACGTGACGCATAACATTATTTGATTTTGATTGTCTAACAAGCCCAGTAAGTCCCATAAAATTTGACACATTTCCTAAAAATGAAAATAAAAAAATTTTTGATTTCAAAATATTATCGGAATTTAGCACTACTCACTTCTATGACTAGTGTGTTCTCTTCTATATACCTAACATGCCTAATTCCTAAAATACCCGTTATCACTATATTCGTATTGCAGTCTAATTTCTTAGTCAATAAGGCCGTATTAGCCAAATTGAATATTTCTAACAATGTATTCATCGCCGTCAGTTGATTATCTCTCGAGGATTCGCTACAACATGCCGCCACAATCAAAGATTTCACCCAGTCCGGTAGATGATCCTCCTTGTCGATTTTGGGATCTAAACAAAAAACGTAAAATTACACATTTTACACTTTTTTTAGCGTTCTATTCTTGACCTTTCTATTCTGGAACGTTCTAAATGATTCTACACAGATCTAAATGATTCTGGCGAGTTCTAAATGATTCTACACAGATCTAAAATATTCTGTAGCGTTCTAAATGATTCTGAAGCAATTTTAATGGCTCTAGACAGTTCCAAAGAATTCTAGTTGTTCTAAATGATTTTGTAGTGTTCTAAATGGTTCTAGATAGTTCTAAATGATTCTGGAGCGTTCTAAATGGTTCTAGACAAAATGAAGGTAAAAAAAACGTACCGATCAGATTAGGAAAAGCGGAAAACTCGAGCAGTATATTCGAAGCGATCCTCATCGAGCGCTCGTAGTCGTTTTCGTTCCTCCTGCCGTCGAAGTTCGCAAATCGCGACGGTTTCCTCGACGGCGCGCCGCCCTCCAGACATCCGGCGTCGAAGTGGCCCCTGAGCCGGGCGTCGAGCAGCCGCGCCAGCCGATTGGTGTGGTCGTTTTTCTCGCAGATCAACTGCTCCATGGCGGCGTCGACGTCGGTGCGCGGCAGGAGTTTGACCTTGATGAACTGCGCGTAGAAGCGCTTGTACTCGTCGAGGCACCGCACGAAATGCTTGTTCTCGACGCCGGCGAGCGCGGACGGTTCGGGCGCGGGTTTCTTATCGGGCGCCGCGACGGCGGTTTCCGAGCCGATCGAATCGTCGTTGTCGTTCTTGGCGTCGTCGCTGAGCTTCGGCGTCGATTTCGATTTTTTGTTCTTCGGTTTCTTGTCGATGCGCGGGCTGGATTTCTCCTTTTTTTTCATCGACATCTGATTGCTGTAGGACCGCTCGCGGTTGTTCTCGCCCACAGTTAACTCGTTCCTGCCGGGGTTGCTGAGGTTTTCGTTGATTTTCGAATCGGATTTGCTCTTTTCGAGCGTCTTGAGCTCGCCGTTCTCCTGCCGCTCCTCCGACATCGAGCTCTCCAAGGTCTTCTCGAAGCTGTCGCTCAGCGTGGAGTTTAAACTGGTGTTAGGCGTGGGCGTCGCCATCGGTTGGATTTTGCTTAGAATTTTCGTACACAACTGCAAACTCTCCGATATGTCGCATTGGTTTAGATCGGGCAAGTTCGTTTCCAGCACAGAGATCAATTTCCAAAACAAATCCGGTAGTATATCGTTAGCGTTCTCCGCGTACGATTCTATAGGAATTATATCCAACAAAAAGTCTGTTAATATGCAAATTTCTAGTATATGCGGCGGCCCGCTGCCTATTTCGCTCACTTGATTTCTATCCCTGTACTTGTAAGTTTTCACGTTTTTCACGGCTTCTACGAATAAATTTTCAATGTAAGTCCAAATGTAATGCCTTTGTAACGTGTTGAACAACAAATTAGCGTTTTTGATCAACTCGGGACAATTCTTCATAACGAACTGTTTGCTCAGAACGTTATCGTCGTTTTTCAAACTAGTCAAGTCCCCGGTGAAAGACACGCACCGCACTACGTTCGTTTTGTTCTTCTGTTGGTGCAAGCAAGATAGATAGAGCGTTCTGAATACATCGCACAATATGCTGTCCAAAATGACCGGTCCTATTTGAGGCTTATCGAACAACGATATCAGAAGCCTGTAAGGTTTCACGTCGATCGGTATTTCCGCGCTGCATTTCTTCAATATTATCTTCAAAGCGTCGTTTAGCAAATCGTAGGCTATCGAATGTTGTTCCTGCAATACCGTTTCCTCTAAATCGCTTTCTAATTGCACCGAGTGCACGTTTACTTCCGTACTCAACAACCAGGAATACAGTCGCCTGAAACATCACAAAAAATCAGATAATACAAGCATCTAATAATACATTATGTACCTATTTAGAGACATATCTCGCCTCAATATGGTAGTAAGAGCAGCCGTTACCAAGCGAACCATATCAGCGTACAACAGCTGTTTATTTTGCATGGGAAAACAAACCATCAGCAAATCCAGCGCGGATCTTTGCACTAACACGCTCGAATCCTGCACAGCGGCGCACAAACCAGTCACCTAAAACCGAATACAAATATCAACCAAACCACAACAAACGCGAATCTAATCGAATTTACCATCAAACCGATATCGCACCCCATCAAATGCAGCTGATCCTCCATGGATAATTTCCTGCTGTAATGCGCCAATACGTAGCTAACAGCAGGCAATCGCACGTGACTGTTGTTGGCGACGCATTGCCAAATGCAGGTGTAGAAAAAGGGCGGCTCGACGCCCTCGCAAACGTTCTCCAACAGCAAATTAGTCCTGGAATTGCACGGGGAAAGATCAGTTAGCAGTTCAATTCTATTGAAAATCGCGCGTACCTATCGTAGTGATCTGTACCGGTGTCGAGGCCTAATAAAATGCCGCTGAGGAACCCGCTGAGCGCGGGCCGCAGTCTGTACCCCAGAGGAACGAAATGGGTCTCGTAGACGGTCAATAAGGTCGGCCTGATGTTCATAGCTGCGTGACCCATGAGCGGAAAAAGGCCTATATGAAATTAATTGATCGTTAAAATTTGTACATATGAAATTAATCAGTGTTCTATAAATAGTATGTTAAGGAAGCTCTTTTACAACAGTACATCGAGCCTAGTTATCTGCAATATAAATCATTTTAACACGCATGTAAGATGACATACATATTTGCGAAATTTTTATAACGATTATTTTTTAATAGGTATGTTAGATGTTTCGAGTATTTTAATATTGTGTTAGCACTTTCTCCTTATTAATTCAAATCAAATTTGAATAGTTTCCCCGGCATAATTGGCTAAAAAAAGTACAATAACACGTATTGATTTAGCATAATACAGTGTAATTAGCTATAATTATTTACAGATCAAATAAAAATATCCCGTCAACAATATTATATAGATAAACAAGTGCTTCCTGCTAACTATTTGTCTTTATAGTAAAATATTATGTTATTGATTAATTGAGTACAAAACTAGATTAGTTCCCATCGTCTATCAGCTCGATAATTCCACAGAAATTTATTATCTAATCTTAATCTGGGTGATTTACGTTCTTTCGGTGTTTAATCAACGCTGATTACGTTTGATTTTCGCCTGGCTGAATATTGGAAAAATTTGCCGCGATTTTCTCGGCATTTAAGATAAAAAAATATATATTATTTAGTCGCGCTATTTAAAAATCGACCTTCTCCAAGAGGTCTAAAAGCATTTCCGTGTTGCGTGTAGCCACAAGTAGAGATAAAATTATAAAAAATATTAAGTAATAAAATATTACATGAAAATCTCATTGATTTCTGAAATTGTTTACAATGCAAACGACAAATACATAGATCAATAGTTTGTTTAAATTTCTAACTAAACGTTGTTATCGCTTCGGGTAATAATACAAACGATAATTTTTAAAATTAGAATCGAAATTACTGTTTAAGGGACAGTTAGAATGCATTATTTATTCGTTTTAGAATGAATTTTTTATCTCGCTTCGGGTATAACAGGACAGTTAAAATTAGATTATCTACATTTACACGGGTATTTTCTAACCCAATAAAAAATTATATCGATTTTTTAAATGTACAAATAAATATTTTCCACACGGTTAAAACCCATAAAGGATTCGAAGGTCATCGCTATTGAACCATAAAAATAATAATTGACAAAAATAAAAGTTCAATGCCGAATTTAAATTAGTGCAGTCCGTGTTTCCTTTATAACCGAAAAAGTGGCGAACAAACTGGATTAAATTTGCTCAATAATTAATAAACGGTTTTCGATATCACGGCAATTAAACACAAATTTATGGTAAAAACGATTAAAATTCAAGTATGCAGGTTAATGCACAATTCAGTGCTGGTTATATAGTCGTATAAAGTATATCTGTTTACAGAGCGATATTCAATATGTACTTTTTATGTTTTCAGTAATGTTTGTTTAATAGTAATATACATTTATTTATGTACTCATTATGATTCACGGTGGAAAATCTACCAAACTATTAAATTAAATAATACCTATCACGACAATGGTTCCTTCAAAACAAACAGAACACTTGCCAAGACAATTCTAACAAACATTTACAAATTCTGAATCATTGTGAATACAGCAAGAATGTTTAAAATAAAATTACAGTTGGGTTACTAACAATTAACAATAGAAAAAATCCAGCGGGTGTAAACTTACCGGAGCTGTAGATGAACAATTCGCAGGCGATTCTATTTGTGCCCATGCACCTGAATATGATGTCGTAGGTTTCTAAGGCTTTCAGGTGCACGCCTGACGGTAAGGCTGGGTGCATGCATTGTGCTAGTCTCTTGCTGATTTTAATTCGCCTGGGTATTACCGGAAACTTTGTGTAACTTAACAGAACCTGCGTAAAGGAGCACGATGAGTTTAAGGTGGTAAAATGCTAGTGTAAAATGCGTTACCTTATTTAGCTTTCCTAACGCTGAAATGAGATCGGCCCATTCTGATGTATATTCGAAATTCTTCAGCGCTTTATCAATCGCTGCTACGTAAAGGCGATATTTCGAGTCTTTCATTAATTCGTATTCTTCCATAGCTACAGTAGTCATATTTGGAAACTATTTTATGTTGTAAACAATTATAATTCAGCTAATAGCATTGATTATGTGTGCCTTTTCATCTCTTGCAGAATTTTCGTAACTAAATATAGATCACCCAATTATTTATTGTGAAGTAAACAAAAGTAAAACTTTGCTTTGATAAAACAGTGTCATTCCTTAACTAGCATTTAATTGCACATAATTAATTAAAACACTATCATACACTAACTTAACAATTAAAAAAGATTAAAATATCTCTACTATAATACACTCTTTCTTTCAACATAGCTGTAATTTTCTGAACGAACGACATTTAAAACGTCATCTGATAGGTTAGCGAATACAATGACATCTATCAAAATATATAAAATACACGGTCTCTTCTTATTCGGGTGTTTAGTTGCATTAAAATCTACTACATAGGCAACCATTTTATCTTTGTAGTAATAAAGAATGATTGAGCAGGTATATGCATTTTATCAAAGGGTTAAATTAAACGAAAAGTAATGATTTTTTTCGCAAAAATGGTTACTATATTAAAAAATAATTTTAGGTACATTCAATTTCATACAAATCTCATTTAAATAATATATACGGTTTAAAAATAACATTCAATATAAACTTTGCGCCAACGCTCATAGAATCTAAAACATTAAACAAACGAACACTCGAACCAGGTTGAAGCTTAATTGCAGTTAAAGTATTGTCTTGGCAGGAGGAGCACCCCAATTCCCCCAAACGAATGTGAGGTTTCAATCCCCCCAGGATGCCGTCGGAGCCCAAATTTTCGTTATTGAACAATTCCCCTTTGAACCAGATGTGATCGGTGGGCTTCAATTTCAACACGAACTCTTTGAAACCGTCCTCGGCGACTAGAGTGACTTCGGTGGCTTTGCCCCATATGCTGGAGTGCATTTTGAGAACGATTTCGAACGTGTACTCGTCGTATTTCCGCAACGAACACCGATTCACCGAGTTCAGTATATCGTAAAACGCGAAGCAGTTGTCTCTCACGATTTCCGGCACGTTTTCGCAATCCGATTGGTTGGCTTCGCCGTAGAAACAGTACAAATATCGCGAGATATCCTGCGGTAACCTATCGATGATCGCTTTATATGTATTCGTTACCGATCTGAGTTTGATTTCGCTGATATATCCGTTCCATTGCACGGTTATTTTGTCCAAACCGACGCATTTCACTTGCGATACCGCCACGTTTTCCTCCTGCCACACCGGCTGGTGACAGTACCTTTGGTACACATCCCAGCTCATCGGTTGCGGATTTTTAACATCTTCTTCGAAATAACTCTTGAAATCATTCGACGAATCTATCATGAACCCGAACGCCGATATCATTAGTACGATTTGTATCACCGCGGTGTACTTCTTATACCTGGTTTGAGCGCACACATAACAAATCCCGAGTCCCAGGGTACTCAAGATAACAAAAATACAAATGGTGTAAACGAAATTCGACTCTATCACCCAATTGCTCAGCGCTGCGATCGGTACTAGTATGCTAGTTATGCCTACTAGGGGTAGAAACAACACGACGCCTACTAGAGCTAGCGTGCCGCGGAGGAAACCGAACATGGTGGCCCCTTGGGAGCTTATAATGCAAATTTGCAGCCAGCTCAATGTCACGCAATGCGGAATTAGGGTTTTGTACGTGCCCCGCCAGTTCTGCGAATGGGCTATTTTCAGGAAAATCGCGGGAATCAGCGCGAATAAAATGAACCTGAAGCTGATGCAAAACTCTATACCGTTGCCTACGACGTAACTAGGAAACGTCGGTACGTTGAGCTCCAAAAACCGCCAGCCTTGCGTAACCACGGGATCCGTTTCGTACGGATATTTCGCTAAAACGTTAATAGCAAAACTGAATAATACAGACACATCGAACAGGGTTTTCGAACGAATTTTCTGCATGAAACCCAACAAAGTCATGAAAGTTAACAGGAAAGAAATGATAGTCAATTCCGATTGAGGTATCAGCTGCTCAGATATGAAGGAGTACACAAACAAATTTACCAATAGACTGACGAAAAAATGCCCGTAGGGTTTCATGTGGTTGCGAATGTACTGGTATTCGGTTTCGTTCGCGTTTAAATTACCCCCGGAATAGCAAATGAAGAGGCTCGACCACACCCTGTAATTCACCAGTTCCCTTTGATGCTGCAGCATTTGAAACGTCGAGCACACCATTATAGCGAACGTCGTGTAATAAAGTACGGTGAGAAACACGACTAAAATATTTTCGGTACTTAAAAACACGTATGCTAAGACTAATACGAATATTTGGAATTCCGATTTGATTAGAGGGCCCACGAAAGGCCAGGTCTTTCTGCCCAGGTACGATATCAGTTTGTAGTACAATATTTTTAAAGCTAAATAGGGGTGTAAGAGGGACCTGTGCACGAACGGTATGTGATCTAGCGCTCTCAAATTGGGCTCGGACAGGCATAATATTTGATTCAGCTCCGGTAACTGGCCGTGTGAGTAATCTACAGCGGCGGCGAGTAGATGATCTTCGGTTAATTTCTCGTTACTACTATCTGACCTTTGCGACCAATCGGTTTCTTCCTCTGATTCGCTATAAATTAAATCTTCGTCTAGTAGCTGGTTTGCGAAATTATCGTTGTCGATATCGTTTGTTTCGGTCGATTTGGAGCACGTTTCTCCGCGATCTATCGCTAACATCTTCCTTTTCAATTGGTCTGATGTGATGTACTCTCCGCCGTTCGATAAACTTGAAATAAAACAAGTTTTAGTCAGGGGATTTTGGTGACTTGAAAATATGAATACCTAGCAAACATTTCTCTGGCTGCTTTTCTGGCGAGCTTTTCATCCTGCGTCATGGATATGCAGGATTTCACATCCATGTAGTTGTGTTCTGTAATGCCTTTTCCTGTTTGTAGGCATGTTTTTAGTAAATTTGTCGCCTCGGTGTTGCCTTGTTCTGATGCCTTGATTAGCCAATACACGCCGAGACGTGCGTTCTCCTTCTTTTCAGACTCAAACTCTGCAAATTGACTATTGCAAGAAATTGTTAAAATAATACAAATTTACATACCACACTCTTCATCTAACAGTTGTTTAGCAAGGACTACTTGAGACTCTGGACAGCCATCAGAAGCTAATTGGCTTCTTAAACGTTTAAGAGAACGTTCAGACGGCCCTGAAAGTGATATTTAAAAATTCACGTGAAGAATGTAGGAAGCAGAAAATATTTACCACTGAGAGTCCATTGTTTTCTACCAGAAGTTGCCTTTTTTGGTACGACGCCGGCCATGATTACCTAATAAGAATTAGCAATCATTCTTATGTATGCCTACTTCAATAATTGCACCATTATTTAAACACAATTTACTAAACTAAGACGATTTCTAATAAAAAATAATTCAACAAATTGAAAATACTGAATAAACAACCAATACGATAAATGTCAAAACATTCGAAAACGTCAATAAAATAAATTTTCTTCTTTTTTTAAACATCTAGTATTTGTGTGCATATAAGAGAAGCATATACGTCAACTGTCATAAGTTAGCAAAGTTCCATCTGTCAAGTTTAGTGTCAAATGTCAAACGTAAGAAAAATAAACTGCGAATAATTATCAAGTTCAATTTTAGGCCTAATTTTTAGAATAAATCGCCAGAATGGAAGTGATTTCTAACAGTTACATGCCGGGCGATTTGAGATTAGTGGAACAATTGGTGTCCGAATTGAAATCTCAAGGCATATTCGATCAATTTCGAAAAGAGTGCATAGCCGATGTAGATACAAAACCAGCATACCAAAATCTAAGACAAAGAGTTGAAGGCACCGTGACTACGTTTCTGAAGCAGCAAACCTGGAACGTCGAATTGAACAAAAACCAACTGAGGGAACACCTTCGAAAAAATTTGTACGAGTAAGTTAATATGCCATTTCGAAGAGGTCCCTGCGTATTAAACCTTTACAAACGCGTTTGTGCAGATCGGGCTTCCTCGAAACCGGCGTAGAAAGAATTGTTGATCAAGTTGTGAATCCAAAAATTAGCACGGTATTCCTACCGAAAGTCGAGGAAGTGGTCTACAAATTTTTAGGAGTAGAAAAACCGAACAATCGTATTAAAAAGGAAGAGAAGAAAGTTAGGTATAAAATCATAACACAACAACTAAATCAACTCCATTTATGCATATAATTTTAGTATTACAGATTTACTACCAACAGATCTAGAGGCCGTATCACCCGAGTCCTCTGAATGTAGCTTCAAACATGAAAAGAAAACCGATAACCAAAATGATTCGTTAAATTCGAGTGGAAAAATGGATGAAGATGAAAGTCCCGCATTCGAGCCATTAGGCAACATTACCACTACTGATAATGACCCTCTAGATGAAGATAATAAAATGCAACTCGATGAAAACTCCCATTCATCTGAAATATCAGGTATTACATTACTGATTAAAGCGAAATACAGTTTACAATAGTTTTCTTCACAGGCTCACAAAATAACGAAGCTCTTCAGAAAACAGAAATGAGGAATTCTCTAATCGATTCGTCAAATCAAGATTCGCAAAACAGCATGGAAACACGACTATCGATTGTTACATCGGAAGATACAACAAAAATGGAAATTTGCGAAGATTCGAGCACTGACAACAAAAATGATGGTAAATTTGAGGAAGGAAATGCAGGGAGAAGCACGGAAAACGTATTTTCCTTCAAAGACTTCAAAAAAGACGAACCAATGGTTAGCAAAGCGAGTGAAAGAACCAGCGAATCTGATAAAAAAGACAAGAGATCCAAAAGTTCTGATAAATACAGAGATAAGAAAGATGATAGACATAGAAAAAGCAGCTCATCTAGAGATAGAGATAAGTATTCATCGAAGCATTCATCTCATAAAACTTCTAAAGATAGAGACTCTTATAAAAAAGACTCGAGGGATAAAGATCGGAGCAAAGAGAGGAATGATAGAGAAAGAGACAGATCATCGAAATATGATCGAGAAAAGTCTAAATCAGGAAAAGATAAGAAATCAGAAAGAAGCAAGGAATCATCAGCTAAAGATGAAAAAGATCAAGACAAATACAAACAAGAAAAAAGCAAGTCTGAAAAAGAAAAATCTAACAAAGATAAACCCAAAAGTGACAAAGACAACTATGCTAGAGGAAACGAAAAAGACTACTCGAAAAACAAAGAAAAATCCGACAAGGATAAAGAAAAATACGCAAAAGATAAGCACAAGGAGAAAGATAACGACAAAGATAAAAATAGAACTTCAAGCAGCAGTAATAATAGCAACAACTCAAAGCATGGTGTAGCGAAAGATAAGAAAAAAGATTCCAATCACAGCTCAGACAAAAAGGAAAAACACAACAAAGAAAGCGCCGATTCTAAATCGAAGTCAACAGAAAAGAAGAAAAAAGATGAAACCAACAAGCATGATAGGTAAGCTCTAATAGATTTTAATTATTAGATTGATAAAATGTATTTTTTTAGCAACAAAAAGGAACCGAAAGACCCTAAAAAGAAATCCAAAGATGATCATTACAGTTCGAAAATCAAAAAAAACGACCGCCGATCGACCGATAGAGATTCGAATGATGGAGCGTCCAGCAAAAACAACGACACGGAAAGCATGTCCTCCCGATCAGAAAGCAACTCTCAGGAACACTCGAATTCAAGTTTCAGCGGATCCGGAGATTCGGGAAACTCCGATCAAGCCGAACCAACAAACAAAGCTCCTTCAGAAACTAGCGACAATTCAAATAAGGTGACTTAATAACGAACTTTAATATGTATACCGAAATTAACGGTATATTTATAGCTCCACCCTGTGAAATACATGAAGCCTAAATTCGCTTCGAACATTAACGAAGCCATGAAAATAATGAAAATACGAAAACAGCTGGCCAGGTTGGAGAAACAAAATCAACTGAGCCTGTCAACAATAGACTTGTCAAATAAAAATGGCAGTGAATGTTCTAGTAACGATCGCTTATTGTTGAAGGAGATTTTAGCTAATAACGAAGTCAATAAAATGAAGGAGTTAGGTAAGCTTTTCGATGTTCGAAGAACTTGCGCTCTCTGATACTACGCGTTCTAGATAAAGAAGTGTTGATAAATAATGTGAGTATTATGGAAAATGCGGAACTGATGGAGCAGCCGGTTAAAAGGGCGAATTTAAGTATGGAGAACTTTGAAGCTTTAGAGGCGAAGCTAGCGCAAGTAATGTCGCATGTAAGTACCTAATCATTTCATTATATTAATTTTATTTGTAATTTTACATAACTCTTTAGGTTAATTATAATTCATACGAATCGGATGAGGATTATGAAGTTCCCGAATACACTTCCAATAACCCGGATTCTAATCTAAATAAAGACACGCGGAATAAAAGTGATGATGATTTGTTGAAAAAAGATTCGAGTATATCTGAAAATACTAAGAACAATCAAGCGAATAACAATCCACTCTCTGGGTTAGAGTGTAAAGATGAGTGCTTGTATCTCGATAAGCCTAGCGATTACGAAGAGAAAAATTTGAAGTATTTGAAAAATATTATTTCACAATTCGAGGAAGAACGCGATGATAAAAGAGGAATAAAGCGAAAATTAGATGAAAGTATAGTTTTCAAAAACAATATCGAGATGCAATATACTGATATTGGTAAGTTGTAAGTTTATCAGGTGTTATTATTTTTTTAGTATTTCCATTTAGCCAAGTGTTAATTTTTTTATCCTTATTTATTTTAAGTTTGTAATATGTTTTTCACCGTTTTGTTTAAGTGCATAATAGAAGGGATTCCAATAGTTCCAATAAGGTCGGGTCAAAGGCCAATAAAAAAAGAATGTGCAATAACACAGGTATATTTTGAGCCTAATACAATTTTAAAGGCTTTTTTCGCCCGACTAACCCTGTACATACGCTTACTAATAAAATACAATTATAATTTATTCGCCGTTATATTACTCCAAAATTTTTAAAAAATATTGTTTTTTTTTAGATATAACGCCTGACGAGCATTTTTCTCTTCCATTAAGCCCCGCCGAAAGCGATAAATCGGGTGATCGAAAGGAGGAGGATTTATTAATTCCTACCAAGCAAAAGAGAATTATACGAGGATGTAAGTTTTATACACAATCATTGAGCCTATTCTACCATTCATTTTCATTAGATTCGCAACGATACTCGAGCGAAGATTTGTACAAACCCAGGCCGGTAATAGGAAGAAGGAATAAATTTCCACGACACGTAGATAATTAATTTTTTCTTGTGTATTTTCACGAAGTAGTTTAGAAGTACCTAACCTGTTACATAAATATATTTTTTATAATACCTATGATACTTTTACCTGTAATTTATAATTAATATTAAAGGAAAGATTGTTATTGTATTTTTAGTGCAGTAATTGTTTACTGTAGTAAAGGTACAATGCATTCGTACGGTTTATAAAAAAACTCATCGCTTCCATTTAATGTACGAAATACTAAGAGCTGCGAGAATGAGAATCCATATTCCCAGCATTCCAAAGCCTGCTAATACATCGGTATCGGAGAAGCTCAATCCTTTTTTGATGATGTACCGCAAAGCTGTCGTGGGAAGATTCAACGGTAAACATTTCGCGAACATCAAGAGATACTTGTTAATGGCTTCCGCAGGCCACATCATACCGCTAACCAATACCAAAGGATTGAATATTCCGGACACTATCACGTTGGCGGTGACGTGATTGTTGCTCACAACCGAAATTCCAAAACCTGAAAAAAGCAGCACTCTTGATGTGTCAATTATTTATTATACAAATAATAAGTGCAAATTTGTACGCAACATAGTCTATGGGTGCAACAAAGACAGTTTCCATTATTATAGAAAGAAAAAACCCACTGTTATTTGAATCTCTCTTTGTTCAACTTGCAGAGTCGGCCATATTGCAAACAAATCTGCACTTATCCAAATGTCAACCTGACATGTCAAGTTAATTACATTTCACAGAAGTTTGTAGTACTGCCAAAATTTTGATAGCAATTTAAATTTCTTCACAAATTATTTGTGTGGTAAGTTTAATATTAAAATTTTACTATTATATTCTACCATCTTGTAAATCTCAACTCAATTTTGACGGTATAATTTTACCCAATTTTGACATATCAAGATGGCGTCAATCCACAAATTTAATCACCTAAAACCACCCCGGCTAGTCCTTGTAGGTAGATTATGCCAAATATCAACCACAATGATCCATTATATGGTTGTTGGAAGCAGAAGAACACGATCGCCATAAGTTCCAGAGCCATGAGTACCATAAAAGTGGTTTGGAATACCAAATGGGATAAGCTCAATTCTAATGACGTCACGCCTGCTACGATGGATCTCTCCCAAATTCCCTCAATTTTCTCGTCTAAAATGATGGTGCACGTCATTATGACGCCCATGAAGTAGATCATTCTGAAAAATATTGGTTGATAAATAGGAAGTAACTGGATAATAAACGCGCTTACGTAGTTACAATTCCGGGCGTCATGAATATGATGAATTCTTCGTCTTTATCGCCGTAGAAATATTCTTCTACTTTCAAAGGCAACTTGGCGATTTCGGGGAAATACCCGCAGTCTTTGTAAATTTCTTCGTGGAATTGTTCGTATCTCTCCGCTATTTTCGATTTGAGCATTCCTCCTACAAATAGAGCTAGAACATTTTATTCAATTAGAGATATATTAAGGTATTAGGTAAGTGCGTTATTTACACGACATATCGAGAAACACCTGGATTTCTTCATCTGGTAAATCATCAGTATCGAGTCCCTCCACTATTCTACTTTCCATTAACCCAGACAAGTTTCTGTGCAAGCGGACGAATCCGTTGATTTTCCCTTTCTCCAGATCATCCATCGCTTCGCTCGAGGAATCGTAGAATTTCTAAAAAAAAACAACAAACATTAATGATATAAATATAAATTAATGCATTTTTTACCTCTTCTATTAGAGGTATGTTCAAAAAGTCCACGAATCGACAACTAACGCTATCTATGTGGCAGTCCCAATTTCCCACGCGTTTCACCGATTCGTTTAAAGAAAAATGTTTGCAGAAATCCGGGGTTCGTTCTTCGTTTACGATTCCAAAAGGGACGTTTGTAGGGTCTTTGCCTACTGCTATTAGGAAGAAGAAGACCTGCAAACCGGGCAGTAGCACAGGGAATAAGCTTGCTCTACGAAACAAATCGTTTAAAATTAAGTTGCGGTATATACTCTGACTACTTACAAACGGTTGCGTCTTAATATTTTGAAATTCTTATCTAGCAAAGCTTTGAATCTGAACTTGGCGAAAATTCGCTTTTCTGTAACCGTTTCTTCATGTGGAGAAGACTAAAAATTCAGTGTTAATACAATGGAGTTTAAGTTTGGTGTACATACATTTTCAGGAGTAGGATTAGTTTGTAAAATTTCATTAGTTTCGACGATTTCTGGTGAAGTTGGACTATCATAAGTATCTAGTATTTGCTGTTTATTCTCCTGTCTTTGACTGAGAATTAGGTAAGTTTCCTCCAAGCTGCCGCACTTGTAAGTAGTCAATAATTTTTCTGGATTTTCTTCTATTAATAAAGTACCGTCTCGCATTAAACCAATCTGAAATAATTGTTTTTAACACTCAACAATTACTAGAGAATGTTTTTATTACCTTATTGGCTTGTCGAGTTTCTTCGATATAGTGCGTTGTTATTATCACAGTCACGTTGTCTTCTTGGCTTAATTTTAGAAGATACTTCCATATCCTAAAATATTAAATTTATTAACGAATTGTATAATTAAAAGTCGTTATAACATTACCTGTCTCTAAGAATAGAATCGGTACCGACAGTAGGCTCATCGAGTATAAGCAATTTAGGCTTATGAACCAAGGTAACAGCGAAAGAAACCCTCCTTTGCGTGCCGCCACTGCAATCCTTAATGTACCTATAAAAACATTACGAATAAAATTTACTAAAACCACAAATACTAGTACACTAACTTATTATCTTTAGGTAGTTCCAATAGTTCGACCAACTCGTGGTACCTCTGCTGCAGTGTATCCTCGTCCACATTATACAATCTTCCGAAGAAATAAATGGAATCCTTCACTGTAAATTCGCGCACCAGCGAAATTTCCTGCACGTAAAAAGGTAAGTGTATTTTTATTTGAGTAATATTATAAGGTGTACCTGAGGCATATACCCAACTCTCGAGCCTAGAGGACCGTCCGGGTTTCTCCCGAAAACGTAAATATCACCGTTATCCACTTTGTTTCTGCCTATGATGCAACTGAGCAAAGTAGTTTTACCGCACCCGCTCGATCCCAGCAAACCATAGCTGGGTAATATTGAAATTCAGTTAAATTTGAAATTTAAATGATTATTCTGCACACTTACATGCATCCTCGTGGGACGTTCAAACGGATCTTCTTCAACACTTGGTTGCATCCGTACGATTTTTCCACATCTTTCACTTGAATCGCCAAATCCATCTCGATGCTGAACCGAATACTAACTGTTAGGATATATTAATATATTTTTTCCTATATTCTGAATAACCGCTAAATTTAAGGCATCGGTTGTCTCAAGGTGAGCGATCAGAATTTATTAGTTTTGAGTTTTTATGAATTTTTTTCTTAGTAATTTTGACACATATGTAAATCTTACACACAAAACAACAACAACAACAAATCTTACACAACTTGTTTAAATACCTTTTTAATTTCTTGCAACGGATTTTTCTTCTGAAACTGTATGTGCATAAAAACACGAATTAAACTTTATATTCCGAATGCTCCCTCGCGGAGCCCTGGCCTTTGACTGAGGTTTCGCGGAAAAAGGTTTGTTAATTATTCTGCGGAAGGTGGACACACCGGTTCTAGATTTTAATTTAAAAATTATGCCGATTCCGAGAGTACAACGTAGAAAACGTGCAATTTCTTCTCCAATGAATTTTTCCGGGTGAATTTTACCTTGAATTGAACGCGTGTGTTATTTCTACCTGCTGGAGTATACATATAGGTCCTCGACCTTTCTGGCCCAAGTATATCGAAAAGTTGTCTTTTATTTTGAGAAATACAGAGTGAATTGCGTTTTGTGGCCTTTAAAAACGCTAGGAAATTAATAAATAATGGGTGAATTTTTAGAAATAAATTAGTAAATTGTGAATCGGTGTTGTTACTTACATGTGTAGGATTTTTTGTTCACGGATTAAGGGGACATAAAATTCGTGAAATTTGTGGAGAAAAATATCATAAATATATCAATATTTGCTTTAAAAATTAGGATTTCGTGTTATTCGGCGAGTTAATAAATTGCTCGAAAATAACAAATCTCCGTTCCAAAATAAAATATAATAAATTTGGTTTCTTAATAGTGCATTCTATTTAACTTTACGTTTTAAAATTGTTAGAATTTAAAATAGCTACTCCCAAACTGGTCTAACCGAAACAAATTATTCAACTATTCCAAAAACCTATACAAATATTACCTGGTTCATCTAATAGTATTCAATCAAGAAATGCCGAACCACAACGTAAACTATAAATACTATAAAAAATTAACGCAGTCACCGTTTTAAATTATTCGATAAAAAAATAACCGGAAAATCGTTTAGCGCGCCTGGCAATTTTCAATTATTACAATTTTCATTTACTGTCATGTTTATAGTGCACAACCTTACATAGTATAACAGGTTTTTCTCGTAAGTCCCAAGGTTTTTTTCGCAAAAGCCATCGACAACAAACACCAATTATTCTAATGAAACCTTTTTAATTTACAACAACCCATCAAACAATTACAATTTTGCATAATTTAAGGCAACATAGTTGCTCGTTTTCGAAGGTCCACCTCAAAAAAGTACGCCTTTTCTATTAGAACGCGAGCGAATACCGTTTTCAGCGCTACTTTGGAAACCTATACGAATTCAGGTCGATCCCGTAACCCGTTATAGGATTTCGCGCCATCTTCGACGCCGCCACATCGTCTGGCAACTGCCTCGCCAAGTGTTTCTTGACGAAGGTCTTCGGCTGACTTTGGCTCTCGGGGGGCGCAGGCGTACTCACTGCAACCAAAAATATGTTATACTTATACTATTTACGCCAAATTTTACTCTCCTTGGTACCCAAAACACACCTGGTTTGTACACTCCAGAAGGGTAGTGTTAGTGAAGTGTAAATTACCTGAATCTTGTGATTGTGTGACAACAGAAGGCGCCTGGCTGGAATCGATTTGAATGCCCGACTCCTCGTCTTTGATGTCGCTGCTCTGCGGAGAGAAATTATTCCTGCCGTACTCGAAGCACTCGTTTTGCGCGGTGCTCGGCCGCCGCTTTATCTTCATCGGATTGGTGCCCTTGATCGACCACAAATCATTACTGGGATTTTCGCTTTCTTTTAGAAAAAATATATCACTGGAGTTCTGCATTTTGACAAAAAAAAATACGCTGAAATAACGTCAGAACGTGCCCGAAATGCGCCCACTTCGTTTCGAAAGCGAATTTAGATACTGTCACATGACCGTTGCGATTAAAAATTTGTTTCTGTTAAATGAAACAGTGGCGTATTGCTCAGTAACTTTATTGGAACAAACCCGCGTGCTAATCGTACAAAACAGTGTAATATACTCATTGTTGCCTCTTCATAAATATTATGCTCAAAACCACGAATATAACCGTCCATATCACGGGCGTCGCTAGTCCCGGGATCACTTGCCAGGAGTCGACGGATAGTCCTTTTTTGGTGATTTTGATGAGGGTTTCGATGGGCACGGCGACGGGTAGAAGCCTGGCGAAAGTCTGCAAGGCGTTCGACATGCCTTGCAAAGGCCATATGCAACCTGCAAACTCGTTACATTAATTTTACATCAGGCGAAAGTGGTAATTTCCTACCGCTGAGTACGATCAAAGGCAGGTAAAATCCCAACGTGGCGTTGCTGGCCATTGAAATGTTGGAGCAACTCGCCGATACGAACAAACCTGCAAATCAACGAGGGTAAATTGTTTGAATTAAAGCTCGATTTGTGATAATTTACCGAACGCCATTCCGCATATTCCTTCTAGATAAATCAGCGCGTAGACAAGGAATAAACTACCGACGTACTCGTATTGGTAAATCCCGTACAGCAATATTATAACTTCCAGCGACTGGATAACGGCGATGCAGGCTTGGAAGGAAAAATGCGATATTATCAGCTCTAAAGACGTCGCTCCCGCTATTATAGACCTATCCCACACGCCTTCCAGCTTCTCGGTTATCAGAATTTGCGAGGTCATCATGGACCCGAAGAAGAACGTCATTCTACAATTCAAACCAATTTTAAATTAATATTATTGTGGAAGAATTCAATACTAACGTAATCACTATTCCAGGCATCATGAATATTTGGTAGGGTTCGTCCATCGAGCCGTATTCGTAATTGGTCTGGACCGGTAAATCCCCGAAGCCTTTCGCGAATTTGCAGTCTTTGAACAGGGATTTTTGAAAGTCCAGGTACAGGGTGGTCAGCTTGTTTTTCACGCTGATGCCGATTTGTTGGTCTGCGAAGGAAATTCAATGAGCCGATTGTTGCGAAAGTGAAGGTGTTTTACTTACTGGACATGTCTAATCGCACTTTTATAGTGCTCAAATCCAGTACCTCGTTCGAAGCGGATATATCGTCGTGTAAACGTTGCTCTAAATAACTGGAATAATTTTCTGCAAAATACATGATGCCGTATAATTTTCCGTGCGTCACGTCATCGATTGCTGTATCGATCGAATCGTATTCCACCTAAAATTCCATGATATAAATCACGCTTTTTAATCAGCAATTTTTACCTTTTTTATCATCGGGTGATCCAGGTGGTATTTCAAAAACCGGCAGGAAAGATTGTGGAAATGGCAACTGTGGGATTTATCCACCAGAACAGTATCATTTAGGGAAAAGTCCGGACAATGGGCGCTCATTTCCTCGTCGTTGATGATACCTATCGGGATGTTTTTCATATCTAAACCTATTGAGTAAATCGTTACGAGCATCACGATGACCGGTATCAGCAACAGGAACAACACTGCACTGGAAATTTGATTAAAACCAATGCACAATCAACCGCAATTAATGGCAAACTTACAACACGTTCCGGTAAAACTGCTTCAAGTTTTTATCAAACATAGCGTTCATTCTTCGTTTATTTACAAAACCGAAATTTCCCCGCGATTGCTTCGTTAGTCCCTGAAACATTCGACTCAATTACAACTTATTTTCTCGCTTTTACTCACTTCTGTGGAAGAGTATCTTTGCCAATCGGACGGCACGCTGGCAGCGGAATCGTGCAAACTCGACTCGACAAAGCTGCCGATCGCCTGCGATTTCTCCGGCAACACTCCAGCCTCCTGCTGGCGCGACAGGCTCAGGAACACCTCTTCCAGCGTGTCCGTGTTGAAGGTTCGCAGGAGATTGGCCGGGGAATCTTCCGTGAGGAGCCTCCCGTCTCTCATCAGGCCTATCTGAAAATTTCGCATAATAGAATCATAGAAAAAGTGTGTTTATTCTTCAGATAATGCGAACCTTATCGGCTTGCCTGCACTCCTCGATGTAATGCGTCGTTATTATCACGGAGAGGTTCTCTCGCTTGGTGATGTCGATTAGGTAGGACCATATTCTGGAAAATAGCGGTTTGATTTTCGTGGAAATTTGGTGTGCGGATGCGTTACTTTTCCCTTAGTAGGGGATCGATTCCTACGGTGGGTTCGTCCAGGATAAGAAGTTTAGGTTGGTGGATGAGAGCCACAGCGAAGGATACTCGCCTTTGTTGACCACCGCTGCAGTCTTTCAACGATCTAAAATTGGATTACATTTACTAGAAATTTATACTTAATTTTAATGATTACCTATCGTCAGGTGGTAGGTGTAGCAGATCGAGTAATTCTTTATACCTCGCTTTTATGTCGCTCTCTTTCATGTTGTATATCCTGCCGAAATAGAATATGGCGTCCTTCACAGTGAATTCGCGTGTTAATGATATTTCCTAAAGCAGAAAACGCTGAAATATTTTGTATTATTTTTATTGTTTAACGTACTTGAGGCATGTACCCGACTTTCGGTCCCGGAACGCCACTGGCAGGGTCCCCGGGTTTCCCGCCCAGCACCCATATTTCCCCGCTTTCGATCCTCTTCCTGCCCACTATGGCGTTTAATAAGGTGGTTTTGCCGCACCCGCTGGATCCGAGTAATCCGTATCTAAAAATCTGGGATTATTAAACTGGATATTCGATTGGTTGGTACATACATTTGGCCTTTTTCCACTGTCATGCAGAGCTTCTTTAATATTTGAGTGTGGCCGTAACTCTTCACTACATCTTGCACTAATACGGAGTAGTTGGACATTGTGAATTAGAATTCGTACTGGTTGAAGCGAGTAATAGAGAATATCTGCAATTTTATATAAAGAAGAATGTGGAAATGTTATTAAAAAATTATTATGTGAAGTTATTCGTTGAAAATAGTTTCGTATTATGCAAGGCATGCAAATTTCGTTTTTGTCAATATTTTCCTCATTAATTAGATATCATATTATTCTAGGTATCCTTATAGATATGTTTTTGGAGCTTAAAATTGATAGTTTTAAAGTAGGCATCGATCGTATTTGTGAACTTGAAAAAATATTTTAATTCGTTTCAATGAAAGAAAAAAAAATGAGCACTTGTCTAATATATAATTTTTATTGTTCGATAAATTCAGCAATTTTCTAAAGTGGCCTTGGAATTGGTGGAAACATAAATTTTTCTATTATAATAGATATTTAGGTGGTACTCCTACTACAGGTAATTTCGTATTGTTTTATTTTTATATCCATAAATCATAATTAGTGTTTTTCTTAAAATTATAGGTTTTAAATTAATTTCCGCTTCTTTTAAATTTACTGCCGAATACTCCCAGAATCTTGTTACATAAGCAAACGTTAGTTGCACTAATGAAGAAATACATTAAAATTTTTAAATTTCCTTTAATTGTTAATTAAATTGGTGGAACAAAATATTTAAATCTTTTTGTTAGTCATCGTTTGGATAAGAAAACCAGGGAAGAGTCGCATTTAAAAAAGTAGAGAATAAAGTTTGATTAGCTTGATGTAGAATGAATTTTAATGGCTTACGTCAGTAATTGTATTAATAATTCATATTAACACACACATGATACATTTGTCGATTGACAATTTTTTTTGAAATAATAAAAAATGCCAGTTTTTTGTAAAATGTGCAGGTTACAAGAAATGCATATTACCTATACTACTTCCTATTAATTAATTGTGTTAAAGGCATACGGTAACCTTGATCACTAAGTACCTACATATTTAATGTTTTCGTGTAAAGTAATACTACATTAACTACTTTTTAAAAATAATTACATCTGGCTAATTTTAACAATTATCGATATAAAAAATCCACCAGCATAATATGCCAATCAATCTCTTTGATATTGTAAATTGGAACAATAAAAATATCTAATAGCCGATTTTATTCGATATAACAATTTGGTGATTGAATTTATGACAACTTTTAGTGATTCATTATTAATTTATATTTAACCATAAATCAACCGTACATTTATAGTAAAAGCTACACGAAATTGTGAAGCATATTTACGGTAATTTTTTCATTTAAATGCATAATCTTGCCAATTAAATGAATGTAAAAAATATTTATTATCGACTAATATTATGGGACGCAAATGTTGTTAAAAAATCCACCCATACTTACATACTAACAATTCCAACGACTCCTCAAAAAAATCTTCGGTATTTACAAGAAAAATTAATTTTTTATATAAAATTTGTTTGGAACACAAGATTATAGATATCGCCCTCAAGGTTTTTATCTCCAGACATACTCGATAATACCCAAATAAAAAGAAAACAAGAGTAGTTTGTTAAAACAAAATATTTATGACTGAATATTTTAGAAAAAATAAAGATAATTATTTCGATAACGATACGTGGTTTTGTTAAGACCAACTAAATAACGAAGCATCGTAAACAATTTTTTTATTAATGCATAATTATAAAAATAACAAATAATTAATCAATAGTTTCTATTTGCTTATAATGTCTCCAAGTAAATTCTCTACCAGGAAAAATTAATGAGAAGGTAATTAGTGGGAAAATAAATTTCTATGATAATTAATCGGGGCGGTGGCTTCATTTTTATTTCCCCTAAATTTAAATTAAAAATTAGATATTAAAAAATAATGGTACCTTATGCAAGACCTCAATTCATCATTTTCATTAAAACATTTATAATTTCACAAAATATACCAATTTCTTTTTATACAATATAGAACAATAAATTTGGCCTCTTCTTAGCAAATAACCTGTCAAGCGATATTTAATATTTAAAACATGCGTTTAAACCCAATGAACTTTGTAAATAGATATAGCATCTACTCACCGTTTAATGCAAACCATAACACTGCTAAAACTCTCTGTATCCGAACATTATCAAATATATCGAAAACTGGCTGAATTATTTATTACCGACTCGCGCAAAGTTCGCAGGATTCGCGCCTTACTTGTAGTGGATACACTTTTCAAGGTTTTCCTACGGGTACCCGATTGTCTGCTTCTTACAGGATTTCAGTAATTAGTAATGGATTAGCCGTGTTCTATTGTTAACCGACAGTTTCAATTGAATTTTAAAACACCTCGAAGAATTAGGCAATGTACTTAAAATTAATTCCTTCTAGAGTCAAAGGGACTGCATTAAAAATAAAACAACGTTATCAACGAGATTTTTATTGGGAAATTTTCGTGTGTTTACACAAAATATTCATCTACCGCTTCCTCGATATCAAACAAACGCTGAGCACACCGAAAAACACTGTCCACACCGTGCCGATCAGAAACCCGTCCATCACGCGCACGTAACTCAAATCCCAGCCCTTCTTGAAGATGTTCCTGAAGGATTCAATGGCGACGGTGAGCGGCAGACATCGCGCCACCACCCTCAAACCATACATCATCCCTTCCACCGGCCACATCCAACCTGCAACACCCCCAAATTACACCGCAAACTCCACCAGAACCCTCCGACTTACCGCTCAGCAAATTCACAGGCAGATAGAGACCCGTTAACACCACGTTCGCCATCGTGTGGTCGGTACTGATGACAGAAATGAAGAAACCTACAACGAATTTACATGTTAATTCTTGTATCTCCTCGTGCTGGTGGATTGATTTACCATAGGCCATTCCGCAGACGCCTTGCGAGAAGACCAAAAGGAACATCAACCACAAACTGCCCACGTACTCCTGCCGGTACAAGGCGAACGTGCAGAACATCAGCTCCAAGGTTTGTATGAGACTGACGGCGCATTGGAGGACGAAGTGGCTCAGAGTGATCTCCATGGAGGTGACGCCGGCGACGACGGATCTGTCCCAGACGCCGTCGTGGCGCTCCGTCACGATGATCTGGGAGGTCATCACGGCGCTGAGGAAGAACTGTATCCTGCAATGTAATAGTCTAGTAAAGGAGTTTGAGGAAGTTAATAAGGCGTACGTAATCAGAATGCCCGGTAGCATGAAGATGATGAAGGGCTCGTGTTTGTTGGAGCCCACGTAGAAGTTGTCCATGCGAAGGGGGCTGTGGTAGACCTGCAGGTTGAATTCGCATTCGGTGAAGACGGCGTCCTGGAACTCGTTGTATTTTTCTACTAATTTGTATTTCAAGGAACTGCCGATTTGGTAATCTGGAATAGGCGAATTGGATTGCGTGTATAGGAAATGTATTTTTATAACTCACTGGACATATCCAGCCAAATTTTAATTTGACTGAAATCGATGATTTCGCCGTGCTCGTCGTTCAAATTTTCTATCCTCTTTTCGAAATAGTACGTGAAATTGTCCGAGAGGTAAATTATACCGGCGATCTCGCCTTTCTTCACTCCCAACATGGCCGGATCCAGTGAAGAATAATACCTCTGATAAAATTACTATCAAATTTAGCAAACGTTTGTACGTTAACAGTACCTTTTCTATCATCGGATCGTCGATGTAGGATAAAAAGCGACAGCTCAGATTCTGGAAATGGCAGTAAAAGTAATCGTAAGGCACCGCAGTGGTGTTGGTGTAATTCGAGCAATTCGTTGACTCGCTGTTGATGATTCCTATTGGGATATTTCTAACGTCGCCTCCCACCGATGATAGAAACGCGCCGATTTCCATCACGGGAAACGAGAGTAGGAAAAATATACCGCTGGAAGAAAACAGATACTCAACCGTATCGGATTGTGTTACTGGAAACTTACGTAATGTTCCTGTAAAACTGCTTCCAGTTTTTGTCTATTAAAGCCCGAAATCTTCGTTTGTTAACCGAAAATTTCTTCTTCCATCTACAGCAATTGGCGCTCTTCTTCTACAACAGAAATTTTAAGGATAAGAGGTCAAGTAAACCAGGAAGTACTCACTATCGGTTTTTCTTTACTCTGCGTAACAGGTAAGTTATAAGAAACGTGTCCGGCATCGTTAGTGGCTAAAATTAGGAAAACTTGCTCCAAAGTTTCAACGTCGTATTTCTCTAATAGGAGTTTCGGCGAATCTTCCGCCAATAACCGTCCGTTTCTCATGAAACCTACCTAAAAATATCCATAAAACTCCATATAAGAAATTAGATATGGTAAGAGAATTCTCACTGTATCAACGTTTCTGCATTCCTCCACATAATGGGTAGTGATGATGACTGATGTTTTTTCGGTCCTCGTTATTTCGAGCAAATGATTCCAAATCCTTTCTCTAATAACCGGATCCAATCCAACCGTTGGTTCATCCATTATCAGTAAATCCGGTTTGTGTATTAAAGTAGCTGCTAAAGAAACCCGCCTTTGCTCACCGCCGCTGCAATTCCTCAAATACCTGCAACAAATCTCTACCATTCAATAGAATGCATGTGTAATTGCTACTAGCTATTTAATGCAGATATACAAGAAGAATTCTCGTACTGTAAAAGAAACTAATATCTTTGAAACGTTTATTCAAATTGTTCAAAAGCAACCATTTCGATATATGCTATGCTATAAAAACAAGTCGAACTCGAATAAGTTTTCGGAGCTTCGTTGCTACTTGTGCGTTTCGATGATCGATCTCAGCTTGTCGTAATTGGCCCCGCTCAAATTGGCGACGACGTTCTGCTTCTTGATGAAGACGAACGTCGGCATGGAGGAGACGTTGTACTCCATGGCCAGATCCTCGAACTCGTCCACGTCTATCTTCAGGATGAATATGTTGATGAACTCCTTGGCCAGCTCCTCGATCTTGGGGCCGATCAGCTTGCAGGGGCCGCACCAGGCGGCAGAGAAGTCCAGCACGACCAGCTTCTCGCCCGCCTCGGAGATCTTCGCCTGCAAGTCGGCCTTGTCCTGGATGGCGACCAGCATGGTGATTCTCTCCTTATGTATCGATTCTACGGGGTTTTTAAAACGGAAATTCTGGAGGTTTTTTTTTCGAGTATTGTTGACAACGTCAGTGGGTTATTACGAGTTGTGGATGCGGCAGTTGGCTTTGTTTTTAAGATAGTAGTTTCTTCTTCTTATTAGTTATTAGTTATTACTGACCTGTCGTGCGGTGGAAGTTCCAGCAACTGATGGAGATTCATGTATCTTTCTAAAATTAATGCATCGCTCATTCCGAATATTCGACCATAGTACAGGACTGCATCCTGGACTGTAAATTCTCCGCATAGAGCGATGTCCTTTTAAACATATTTTGATTATTTATAAGAGCTACATCGGGTTATTTTTTGTTCTATATTTTAGATTTTTGCTTGTCTTACTTGGGGCATGTATCCGACCTTGGGACCGGGAAAGGCGGATTCCCCGTCACCGGGTCTTCCTCCTAGAATGGAAATTTCACCGCCATCCACCCTCGAAGTGCCCACCACTGTTTTCAGAAGGGTTGTTTTCCCGCAACCGCTCGCTCCTAACAAACCGTATCTGGAATATTTATAGTTTTTTCATTTTTCATTTTAGCACGCAAGGTGTCAATTTTAATTGTTTGAAATTAATGGGTAGCATTCCTAATTAGTTCTATTTTTTTTTAAGTTAATTAGGAATGCTTGTTGTTCTCTCAAATATAATTAGATTTTAATTATTTGAAAAAAAAAATTCAATTAGCGGTAATATACTTAGCAGTAACTTACATCGTTCCTCGTTCCACCCTCATGCACATTTTTCGCAAAACTACATTTTTCCCATACTCCTTATCTACGTCTTTAATAAACACAGCATATTTATCGTCCATTTTCTGAAAAACCATTCAAATTTGTTAATTACACACGATTTTTCCGGCGATATGAAATATAATACTAAACTTCGAGTACCAGGTTGCATCTTCTTTATTTATACCATAAAATAAAGCGCACGTGAACAAACTATTGCAGTATTTAATAACGTGAAATAAATGAATCGCACGTTTAAAATGTTTGATAAAAAAATAAGTGGATTATGAATGAATAAAAAAAACACCTGTAAAATGTAGGAATTCGCTAAGAACAAATACTTACAATTAATTATTGTCTTTTAATTTATCGATTGCGATTCGATTGAACAGACACTGACGCCTAAACCCGGTCGTTCAATGAAACAAATAGCATTTAAACATTTTAACACCTAAAACTCTTGATAAACGTGAAACTATTAAACTTTATTACTTTATTACTTTGCAAAAAGTTTCACAATTTTCTACAGGAACTCTACAAAATACGCTTATCGGGAAATTTTAGTACTTTACCTAGAAGTGATTACCTGCTACAGATTCTTACTGCATTTATATTCAATCTAACTATTAATTATTTTTAAATAGCACTTACGATTTCATTTAAATTAAATGCACCATTTTTTTGCTTCCTCACACCATCCTATATTCTTATCGAGTTATAGAGAGTTTTTTCTCCACGACTATTGAATAATACAATATTTACCAAGATAATTGCGATTCACCCTATATGTGCATATATTAAATAACTGTTTAAGCTGCGTATTAATTCTAATTCCGCACACGGATGAAGTGTTAATGAAATAAATAAATTTGAAGAGTGCAATGCAGAATTTAAACGAAATTCTACACACTTCGACTTCACCTTGTCTGCTAAAAGTGATTTAGTGGATGTTATTTTAACCTCGTTTCTTTTTTCCCAAAAACCGATTTGTAAACAAATTGCGGATAATTTCTGTGAGAAACTGTTTAAACATTTATTCTATTAATTAAATGATCCAGATCGTAGAAGAAAATCGTCCAAGAGGAAAATAAGCGATTAATAACCCGAAAAAAACACGAGTAAATGGTGCGCTTTACCTTGAGATTGGAGCTTTTTATTCGCCATTCGATTGGAGCGTCAATCGTAAAGTTTATGCCTACATATTAAATTTAATTAAGCCACTTTTATGCAAACAAATTGTTCATAAAAATTAACGAAAACGTTCCCTAGAAACATACTATAATACAAATAGTACCCCGTCGAAATAACCCAAAGACAAAATCGTCCGAGATATTGGGCTATCATTGACATAGATATCACATCAAAACATCAGGCTATTTTGTCTTGGGCGATTTTGTCATTGGGACATTTTGTCTTGGGCGATTTTGATACGACATGAATACAAATTGTTCAAAGGGAGTAACCACAAATAGATAGATTAATAAATGTACTTACCTACAAGCAAATTCGACTATTTAACCCTATTAATAACAAAACCACATCACTAATTACCGCACTAAAAAATGAATATTTGCAAAAAAATTAAAAATATACTGATTAAATTACGTTTAGAAATTACAACCGGCGCAGAATCGCTAAAATTAATTATAATTTAATATGGAATGCACTCTCTGGTCTCTAATAAGGAGTAAGATAATTTGCATTAAAACCATTGGCGTACGTTAATTTTTTAGCATTTAATCTACCGATTTTTATATTTTTTAACTGACAATCGCACAAGAAACCGCCCGTTATATTTCTCACAACATAATCTTCACTGCTTTATTCGCCATCTAATTAGAAATTGCCGATATATAAATTCGTGCATGATTATTCGTATGGCCCTGTAGTTGATTATGTATTAGCGAGTTTTAAAATCAATGTCCTCATTAATTCGATTTAGTATGCAGAAGAGATTCGAATATTCTTCGAATTGAAGTGCAGCGATTTAAAATTCGTCTGTGGTAGCGATTGCATCGTAAAAATTGCGTAAAATCATTACGAAAAAAAAAACTTTATATTTTCTGAATCGCTTTAATTGTACCCCTCAATTTCAATATGGCACTCTCTGTACGCATCCTCATATTAAATACGTTGGTTAGAATTTCATGAAATTTCAAACACAACAGAAACAATTAAACACATCTGACGATACAACAATATAAAATTACAAATATAAACAAAGTATTTAATATAAGTGTTGTGATTTCGATTTTTTTATCAAAAATACGTTAACAAAATTACTAAGAAAAGTATAAAACATTTGTCACGATTGATTACACCCGGGGAAATTTTTCACAGATATACAAGACACCGGCTTCTTGCTCCTCCGTCGATTGTGCTTGCTCGAACTTTGATTGGCGTTGCCATTTGAGTATTCAGAGTCCACTCTTGATTTCTCCATTTCTAAAAAAAAATACACAAACTATTAAAAACACCCGAAAAATTACCACAAATGCTCAAATTCACAATGAAAAAGTTAATCTTGTATAAGGGTTAGTGCTGGTTTGTTTGGACAATTCTATGAGATGAACAAAGAAAGCTTATTAAACTAACAGTAGTTAGAGCGAAAAAGTTGCAATTTACACAATATCACTGTCTCTTCTTCCTTTATATGAGGCTAATGGAAGTTGTCTTTGTTGTATTGCATACAACTTTGCACAACTGCATAATCTCATCAAACTTGCTCCAGCAGAAGCGTGATATTAGCGCAATTAATCAACACGCACATGTCAACACTTACATTGCGATAGAACTGGCAATAAATTATTGAAAAAATCGTTTATTACCGTTTAATTCGTGTTCGGTAAAATACTGTACATCACTGGAATTCTCGTTCGGATCGTGATAATAGTGCTCGACCAAATAGGGGAACACGGTCATTTTATGCAGGGCGTCGTCCCTCAACGGGGGTATCGGAACAGGTGGACTAGAACAGGGCGGTCTCGATATAAACCACCTGCAAATAATACCAGTTAAGTATACACTGTGCTCCATTTCCGATTGCAACATGGTCATTTCTATGAGTGGAACAAAGAAAGATTATCAAAATGACAGCTGTCAGAGTGAAAAGTTGCAATGACACAAATGTCACTCTTTCTATTTCCTTTATAAGTGTCTAATGGAAGTTGTCTTTATCGCACCCATGGCCTATATAATCTATGTTGCGATCAAAAATGGAGCAATCAGTATATAAAAAAAAACGTTGTTGTAGAAGTAATCTTACGCGTGCTGTCTTATCTGCCGGAGACTAAACCGCATCTCCGGGTCCTTCCTCAACATCCCCACGAGCAAACTTCTCAACGGCTCGGCGATGTCATTGGGAATATCGAAGTCTCCTTTGCCGATGGTTTCGAACAGCCTGAAAATGGTGCCGCCCTCGAAAGGGTACAGACCCGTCGTAATATTATACCTGAAACGCCGCTAAATTAATACTCGAACGGTACCGTTTAAATACCACTTACAATGTAACACCGCTGCTCCATATATCTACTTTAAATCCGCTAAAGCAATCCAGCCCGTTGGCGATTTCGGGCGGTTGGAACGCCGGCGATCCCTGCCCGATGTAGCAAATATCATCTTTAGCGAAAAGGTCTATTGTCTAAAAAAAAATATTGAATAGACTTGGAATTTAAACCGGCTCGTTATTTATCGGTCTAATGTAAACGTGGAGTTTGTACGAGTACACAAACCATCGATTAAACGGAATAATTTTAGTCGTAAGCGTCTCGCGAAAATTTAAAAATTTCGCTAATTAAACGCTCCAAAGTGTTATTGTTTATTTCCGAAAATAGAACGTCCAATACACAGAAATAGTGAAACACTAAATTACACGATGACCAACAAAGCAGATAATTACAAATCTATAAATAATCCCGTATTGATAAATATATTACTCTTATCAAATTTTATAGGTCTTTATGTAACAAATAAAATATAAATGAAATCAGCACATTCGTCTGTCATGCCAACGCCACGTTTTAAATGAATGAAATTATTATACACTCCCATCTACGATTATTTACTTTACCCTCAGTTAATACAAATACTATCCCTTTTACAACCGTTTCTTATCGACAAAGGACAATTAACAACTAACCCTCTGCAATAATTCATATCTAAACATTACGCAGATCTTACATTCAATTAAGTTTCGACTCTATCGTTAGTTAGTACACACAGTATTCGTGATTGTCGTTGATAAAAGGTCAAATCGTGTTTACAATAACTTGTATTTAAAAAATAACACGCCGAAGGTACAAAGAATTCGCTCCGTAATACTTAAATTTCGACTCTTAATGTTGTTGCGTAGAAAATTAACAGGGAAGACCCATTAATAACCTCCGGAAAAATGTGAAAGGAGTTCAAAGCAGTTCAAATATGGCAATCGAGTACTTTGGAATCTTCAATGAGACAATGTTCAAGATTGTAGGTGGTGGAGTGCTATCCTCTGCAGTACTATTTTTATGTATAAGGTAATTAATCACTATAATAACAAATAACAATAACATCTTGTGAGCATGTTTGTTAAATTTAAATGATATATCGAAGGTTTTCGTGTGCTCGTTCGGAGCGTTTAAAACATTTTAATTTTATATAACGTACCTCCGCCACTCCCAAATCGGTAATCTTCAAATCCCCTTCTAACGTGAGCAGGAGATTTCCGGGTTTGATGTCTTTGTGCACGACCCTCATACTGTGCAGGTACTCCAGCCCATCGATGAGCTGGAGGAAGTAGTCGTGGGCCTGGTACTGGGGGAATTTCTTGTCGGGAGAGGCGTCCAGCATCCCTTGCAACGATCCCACGCAGTACTCCATTATCAAATACATTTTCTCTTTTTCGTGATTGTACAGCAAGTCGACCAGATTGATTAGGTTTTTGTGCTTCAATTTCTTCAGTAATTTTATCTCTCTGGAAGAAATATAATCGAGGGGTTTTTAATTTTTCAGGTATAGGGGTAACATGGCTTCGTTTTTGTCGTGGTTGGCGGGGCCGTTCAAAAGGCAAATAGTAAGTGTTTTTTTTATGCATTAATCTCGATTATTCGCAGAACGTAAAAATAATACAAGTGCATTGATTTCGATAAGATATATGTAGCGTATTTTTCATTTGAATTATTAACTTATAGAGTAATAAAAAAATTCTACACATGATTAGGTACTTGAATTACGCTTTAATGAGTAAACAAATAATAATGCAATTAAAGTAGCTCGTAAATGAAGGTAGAAGGTTATTAATAAACGATGATTTATAAGATAAAAAAAAATAATAATTCTGATAATCACACCTATCTTTATAAATGTCAGGCGTAATTATGAATGTTAAAATAAGGGTGTGTAAATGGAAATATACTTTTAAGAGGGTATTATGAAAATGTGTACCTTTGAACGTTCAGCTCCCCATTTGGTATCCTTCGTAATTTCCTTTGCTTTAGTATTTTAACGGCCCTCCGGCATAGCGTTTCGGAATCCAGCATGTCTTTTACCTTGCCGTAGGCCCCTTCTCCCAGCAAATCGCCCATCACGTACTTTCCTATTAGCTTTAATCTCCGTTTTTTCTTTTGATATATGATTTGATCGCTATCGACTTTATGAAAAAAATTCGCTATGTTAAGGTTCTCGAGATCATCGTCGAAATCGGCGTTATTTGGATCGTTGATGAAAAGATTTTCCTCATCTTCAATCGAATTCACCTCATCTTTGCTATTAAATATCACATTTGTTACTTCTCTTTCTTGATCGGAAATGTCGGCACTCTCACTATCTAAACTTTTACTAGTATTACACATATCTCTACTCATTATTCGCTTTAAATTACTAACATTTTTTTGTGTAATTTCGGAAATCTTTCAGACATACCTATTTTATATTTGTTGCCATTCCAAAAGTCAACAGCTGTTTTAAACGCGTATGTTGGCAGCATTGCTCATTATGTAATTTTAATTGTATTTCAATTTTTTTAAAATTCTCACGATCAAAAATTTATTTTGAATTACATTTTCGCAAACAATTTAAATCTGTTAGTTTATTAATTTATAATTGATTAAATACTTTCAAAAATTTATATTTTAGACATTTTTGCTGTCCATGTCATAGATTGCTTTAAGAAAAATTCGTGGCTGCTTCAACTTATTTATTTTACTATTAATGCAAATTAAATTATGAAATGAATTAAAATATTAATATTCAGATATAAATAGCAATTTGCAACAAAATAATTGTAAAATTAACGTATGTTGTTCGCTTAGTCACTGCCTTATTTTGATTTTCTTTTTTGACATATGTCTAAACATAGAATTAATTCCCCATTGTTGCTTAAAAAGCCTGTCAATATTCTGTCACCTGTCACGGCTGTCACTTAAATGGCAATGTCGCAATGTCAAAGTCACCTTGGTAAATATTTTTAAAAGGTTCGTATTCAAAATTCTTTTATTTTATATTTGTGAACTATAATTTTATTTAATGGGTTTCTGTATTTATTTACGATATTAATATTAAGCTGTTATCTGTTAATTGACCTATGCTATTGGTTCTGTATTTAAGAATAACATCGTTTAGTCAGAAAATTGAAAAACAATTTGCATCAACAAGTATGTGTCTTTTTTTGGAATTACTATTGAAATGTAGTTTATTCTTGATACTTTTTACTTGTTTTTTAATGCTTGGAGTGTTACAGGTTGTATTAAAATTATTAGGCGTTACCAAATGCATCGACCGTGTAAGCTTCTATTAAATTACACCTATTTGTAGAACAGAGTGTTTTAACATGTTGTTTCATTCCTATTTACGTAATTGCAATATTGTCTAAAAATAGCGATAATTTCAGAGCGAAAATAGTGAAGAATCCAAAAAAACACCGGAGTCTAATTCCAACGGGTCTAGTACAATTAAATCACAAAAGAAGGAAGTGAAAGTTCGCCAGAGATTTAAAAAATCCAATGAGACTCCTACCTTCAAAACCGATTTAAAAGCGCCTATCGAAGACATCATCGAAGAAACAATTAATGAAGAATACACTGCTGGAAACAGCGGAAAGAAAGACAAAAAGATCGAAGGTAATTATATTATTCGTGTAAATTCGAATTGCGTTAGAATTGTAATTTTTATTCCAGGCGATGACCAATTAACATCCAAAAGATCCCAAACCATCGAGGACGATATCGGTTACTCATTTTTTAACCTAAAATCAGTTAATCAAACAGATAGAGATACCATCACTAAGAAACCCAAAAAAACCGTTTTAAACGAAGTAGTGCCCACGGACGATGTAGGATTCTCATTTTTACCAGTAAAAGAAAAAGGAAGGCGTTACAAAAGCAAACCCAAAAAGGATATCACCCTAAACACTCTGATAGAAAACACGAATAAAAAGCAGGCAAGAGATTTATCGAAACCGCCTATAATCGATCACTATCAAAACCGCAATCAAGAAAAACACAAAACAAATCAACTCGACGCTTATCAATCGATCAGTCTAGACGATAATTCTCAGTTACAATCCAAACAAAAAGAAAGCAAGAAAGTCTCGCCTGCCATCTCCTACGCCAGCATTGTAGTAAACAACGCGGAAGAACTGACGAAAGAAGAAACTTCCACCGCAACTAAAACGATTCTCGACGAATCCGACTCCAGCTCCATAGAAGTCATCAACGACAATAACTTCGAAGAGACCGCAAACTTCGAAGTCCTCGTTAATAAATTCGAAGGTACCAGTCTAAACGAACTATCGATCGCTCCGTTAAAACACTTGGAGAGTTCCTCGAAACATTCTTCCATTTGCATCATCGATCAGGAGGAATACGAAGAGTATTTACCCGAAGATAAAGCATCACTGCATAACTCAGAGGAGAACGAAAGTTGTGTAATAGAATCTATTGAAGAGAATACTCCGGAAGTTACCGATCAAAACTATTTGAATGAAAACCTGGCTAACACACTAAACTCCATAGATTTAAAAGAAGACTCAGCTAACACTGTTAAGGAAGAATCTGCTTCAGAAACGAGCTTCGATACAATGCAACAAGTAAGAGTTCTGACTCTGAACAATCACGAACACCAAGAATGCACTTTATACAGAATAGAAAAGAACTGGGTGGTTCAATTTAGAATCGGTCCATCTCTATTCGGCAGGAGAGTATTTTTATACTGCAACTACCCGGCTAAAGCGAGCAATAAATTAAACCAATTCCAACGCAATAAGTACCAGCAATTGGAGTGGATCAGCGAAGAGGGCTGCAAAAACGCCGACGATACGGCCCTGTACGCCGAAATAGAAGCGGAAATAGCCGGTAGTTTTCACTATTATTTTACATTCGAACAAAGGTAATTTACTCCCTCGAATAATTTAGATTAAATACATCGATTATTATTATTTCAGTGAAACCAGCGAAAGACACGGTTCGGGATACTTCCTCGTCGATCCAGTTCTCAAATACGGCAACAACGAAGACCTGCCGTTGGATTGTATTCAATGTCAGACGGTATTAACGAAGAGTTTGGGTTCGTTTTCGACGTGGGAGGATAAATTGCGAGTGTCGAAGCAATCCGGCTACAACGTCATCCATTTTACTCCCATCCAGGAATTGGGCGAATCGAATTCATCGTACAGTTTAAGCGAGCAACTCAAGTTGAATCCAGTTTTCCAGAAAAGTAACGGGAAAATGCCCACGTTCGATGAAATCGAACAGTTTATGGACACTCTGAGGAAAGAGTGGAAGGTAATAGTACATTTTTTTTATATAAAAACATTATTTTAATAATTTTCTTACTATTAGGTTTGTTCCATTTGCGATATAGTGCTTAACCACACAGCGAACGAAAGCAAATGGATACAAGAACACCCCGAGGTGACATATAATTGCTCGAACTGTCCCTACATGAGACCGGCGTACTTACTCGACGCGGCCTTCGACTTCTTTTCCGCCGGAGTAAAAAGAGGAGATTACGAGGACAAGGGAATACCATCTGTAATAAACACAGAAGACCACTTGAACGCCATTCGTTACCACTTTCGCACTAGCATTTTGGAACCTTTGAAGATACACGAGATGTTCACGTGCGATTCCACCAAATACGTCGCGGAATTCCTCAATTTGGTAGATATAATTTAGCGATATTTTCGATCGAATTATAGTCTTAAAATTATATCATCGTAGGCTCGAACTGCATCGCCGAATTCGCCCCAATCGAGACCCGAAAGCGATGAATTGAAGCTCATTCAAGACCCCGAATATAGAAGACTGTCCACGAAAATCGACATGAAACTGGCCCTGAAATTGTACAACGTTTTCTGGACCGACACCTACGACGAAGACTCCAGACTAAAAAAATGCTCGGAGCAATTCAAAAGCAAACTCGACTCACTCAACGATGCTAAAACTGTAGAAATCAACGGGCATCTAACTGCTGCTATTGAAAACGTATTAGCCGGTATTCGATACTTCAGGTACATACGAAGATTTCCAGCTGAGCTAGTAAATTGTAGTAATTTGTTTTAGAATCCAAGCGGACGGACCGAAATTCGAAGATATAACAATCAAAACTCCGCTGGTTTACCGTTATTTCACGGACTTTGGTGCACCGAGCACCCTCGAAGAGTACGAAGAATTAATGTACAGCGATAACGGTAGATTTTTGATGGCCCACAACGGTTGGGTAATGGACTCCGATCCGTTGAAGAATTTCGCCGCGTCCGATTCGAAGGTAAAATTCAAATACTCATTCGCTTATTATATTAATTAGTATCGAATTGAAGGTGTATCTGAGAAGAGAGCTAATCGCTTGGGGCGACAGCGTGAAATTAAGGTACGGGGATTCCCCCGAAGATAGCCCTTACCTCTGGGAGTACATGAGAAAATACGTGGAACAAACAGCCAGAATATTCGACGGAGTCAGATTGGATAACTGCCATTCCACGCCTCTACCCGTAGCCGAATACCTATTGGATTGCGCTAGAAAAATTCGCCCGAATCTCTACGTAGCCGCCGAACTGTTCACCAACTCCGATTTGACCGACAACATCTTCGTCAACAGGTACCAAAATCGTACCGATACCGCTTCGTTTATTGCAATTCACGGGTTTTAGGCTGGGTATAACGTCGCTGATACGCGAAGCCCTCAACGCCTGGGACTCCCACGAGCAAGGCCGTTTGGTGCACCGTTTCGGCGGTTCCCCGGTCGGTTCGTTCTACCAACCGAACGTGCGACCGTTGGTACCTTCAATCGCGCACGCGCTGTTCCTCGATCAAACCCACGACAATCCGAGTCCGGTGGAGAAGCGCTCCGTGTTCGATCTCCTGCCCAGCGCAGCTCTGGTGAACATGGCCTGCTGCGCCAGCGGTTCCAACAGAGGATACGACGAGCTGGTGCCCCATCACATACACGTGGTGGACGAGGATAGGGAATACCCCGAATGGACGGAGGATGTTAAGTTGATTGGAAGTTGCCGATATGTTTGTAAACAAACTGGTATTATAGCCGCTAAAAGAGTACTCAACGATTTGCATTTTTTGTTGGGTAAAGATGGGTTTACACAGGTATTTGTTTAGATAGGTACTTTAACAATCGTATTCGAATTTGTGTTTTGTTGTAGGTGTATGTAGATCAGATGGATCCTGATATAGTAGCGGTAACGCGTCACTGTCCTGTAACGCATCAAAGTTACATATTGGTGGCCTTTACGGCGTTCAGCCACCCGCCAGAGAGCGCTGGTGATGGTCAACGTACTATTAAACCGCTACGTTTCGAAGGCGTGCTGGAGGAAATTGTCGTGGAGGCCTCTTTGAATCTCTCGAACGCCACCGTATCGAATTTCGCTAAACTCGACGATTTCGCAAGAGATCCTAAATGGATCAACGGCCTTCCCCAATACCGAGTATCACTCAAAGAACACCTACAGATAAAGGAGTCTGATGTTTTCGAACAAATCGACTCCGGCTCGCCGAATGTCACCCAGCTAAATTTCAAAAATTTCAAACCGGGATCCATCGTAGTTATCAAGTAAGTAACTACACCAAACTATTTTTTGTAACATTAAATTACATCGTATCGTAGGACATCTTTACCCGAAGCGATGAGTACTGCTATCAAAACGATTCGAAACCTAATTAGCAACATATCGCTCGACAAACCCAACGAATTCTCGCTCATCGTAAACGAATTGAACCTCACGGACATGAACAGGATTCTATTTAGGTGTGGGGAAGAGGAACGAGACGAAGGCTTCGGATTCGACACCTACAACATTCCCAATTTCGGGCACATGGTGTACGCCGGTTTGCAGGGCGTCATGTCCCTTCTCTCGAACATCAGACCCAACAACGATCTCGGGCATCCGCTTTGCGCGAATTTAAGAGACGGCAATTGGCTGATCGACTACACGTGGAAGCGGCTCAAGCTGGATCCGTCGACGGCACGGCTCGGCGCTTGGATCGAAGACAACACGAAAACGTTCGCCGTTATCCCCAGATATCTGGTGCCTTGTTATTTCGACATGCTAGTAACCGCCGTTTATGTTGTAGTTATGAAGAAAACTCACGATCTCATGTCGGAATTCGTCAATTCCGGTTCGACTTTCGTGCGAAGCTTGGCTTTAGGATCAGTACAAGTAGCCGGTTACGTTAAATCCTCGAATTTACCGACGCTGTCTCCGAATTTACTACCCCCGAAACCGCCTGGTAGGATTATCGATAATCAGAAGGTCCAAACTTGCGTTACCCTCTCGGCGGGGTTGCCGCATTTCTCCGTGGGATACATGAGGAACTGGGGTAGAGACACGTTCATAGCGCTGAGAGGACTTTTGATTCTAACGGGCCGCCATCAGGAAGCTCGCGAGCATATTCTAGGATACGCAGCTTGCATGAGACACGGTCTAATACCGAATCTATTAGACAGCGGGCGCAACCCGAGGTTCAACTGCCGCGACGCCATCTGGTGGTGGTTGTATTGCATCAAGGAATACGTAACGGAAGTGCCCGATGGTGTTAACATCCTTTCCGATGTCGTATCGAGAATATTCCCGACGGACGATTCCGATAACCGATCGCCCGGTACGATCGATCAACCGCTGCACGACGTCATCCAGGAGGGATTGAAAGTTCATTTCCAAGGATTGGCTTTCAGGGAGCGGAACGCCGGCAGGCAAATCGACGAGCACATGACCGATCAAGGTTTCAACGTTCAAATCGGCGTGCATCCCGAAACGGGCTTCGTGTTCGGCGGCAACCGGTGGAATTGCGGCACTTGGATGGACAAAATGGGATCTTCGGACAAAGCCGGGAATCGCGGGAAACCGGCGACGCCTCGCGACGGTTCCGCGGTGGAACTGATAGGCCTTTCGAAATCGGTGATTACCTGGTTGGGAAAACTCCACGACGCCAAACAGTATCCTTACAAAGGCGTCGAGAGAGTGGGCAGGAACGGCGCGATCACGTCGTGGACGTTCAAGGAATGGGCGCAGAAGATTCAGAACAACTTCGAGAAGTGTTTCTGGGTGAACTCGACGCCGGTCGATGGGGAGATCCGTCGGGATTTGATCAACAAGCGCGGCGTGTACAAGGATTCGTTCGGATCGAGCGGCGAGTACACCGATTTCCAGTTGCGGTGTAATTTCCCCATTGCCATGGTGGCCGCTCCCGAGTTGTTTTCGCCCAAGCGCGCTTGGGAGGCGTTGCGTAACGCGGAGAAATATTTGCTCGGGCCGCTCGGGATGAAAACTTTGGATCCCGACGATTGGGCGTACAGAGGCGATTACGATAATTCGAATCAATCGGGTGATAGTTCGGTAGCGCAAGGTTTCAACTACCATCAAGGGCCGGTGAGTAAACGTATGGTTGAAATATCGATGTGTTTAAATGCGTTTTTAGGAGTGGTTGTGGCCGATTGGATTCTTCCTGAGAGCCAAATTGATATTTGCGGCGGAAAATGGAGCGTTGAAGGAAACATTGGCGAGTACTAAAGTGGTGTTGTCCAAACATTTCGTGGAGTTGCAGACGTCCGATTGGCGCGGATTGCCGGAGTTGACCAATAGCAACGGATCTTATTGCGGGGATAGTTGCAGAACGCAGGCGTGGAGTATGTCTACCATTATTGAGGTCCTTTACGATTTGCAAAGCATGGAGGCTCGTCTCGATCCGCCGGGTAAATTACCGATTATTTTTGTATATTCTAATAATTTTAACTGTTGTTTAATTTTTTAGATAACTGATTCGTAAGTAACTTAGATGTAAAATATAGTAAATTTATGCAAAAAAATAAATACGAGAGCTCGGAAACTAAGAAATTGTCGCCGCAATTGTGCAGGATATTAAGAACGCAGAAGATTTATACTGAAATTCGTGAGATTAAAGTTGTAGATTATTCCAAGGAAGAAATTGCTGCCAAATTTGTAGAAAAAAAAGTACCCGCGTCTTCCGCACGTTTTACTTCTTATAGTGATAAATATTTTAAATTTAATCAAGTACTGGCTAGTCAGAAAGTAAGTCTTAAAAATTACGTACAAATAGATAGGTCTGTATTGGTAAGCAAATGTTATTCTTCATCTAATTTTGTACCTCTATGTGATATTTATTCGTCTAATACAGACAATTCCGATTTGTTCTCTTCGGTGCCAACTAATAATGCAGCTAGTTTTAATAAGAATATTTATATCAAAAAACGAGGTCCCATCGACAATGATTTAGATCAAATAGTATTGATAAGAGAGGAATCGTCTCGCAATGAAGATTCAAACGAATCGCAACCAAATCAAAATGAATTGCTCTTGGATCCCGTTTTGTTGGATGTGAGAGCGAGACGTTTACATCAACAAAAGCTGAATCAAATAGAACACAATAAAATTGTTCGAATAACTATAGTGTATATTTTGGCTTTCTTTGTCTTGGCGCTCGTAACATTTTTTAGTTTATATCTACTCTGATGACTAATTGAATATCGTAATTCGTGTCTATTGAATAAGAGACTGCTTTATTGCCAATATATTTTTTAAATTTCGAGGGTTGTTAAGTTTATAATTATGTATATTATGAGATTTGTTAGGTATATAATAAATTATGTTTAGCACTCGTGTTTTTCAATTTTTTATTAAGTGAATTCATTGAAAATCTCTAAAAATTAACAATGTTTATTTATTACACGACTTATATCATTTAATATTGACTAGAATACAAAGAAAAGCGATCACAAAAATAATTGCCTCGCCATTATAAGCACATAAATGAAGTGAAACGTCTAAAGCGTATAATTTCAAAGTAATTATAAGGTTTCCAAAGCACATTCATCATAACACAAAATTTACCCAATCATTTAGCCACTTATTTAGCTACTTATCTTAAAAAATAGATTTTAAACAAAATAATTGGAATAGACTTAAGCGTTAAAGTATCCTAAATATTTTCCTACTAGTAACAAAATAGTTATTATTGATATTCCACAATTTTATTTACTACAACTATACACTAGATGAATGTACTGTTACCGGGAATGTCTAATTAATTAAAATAAAATTCCAGTCTTTTGAATGTTACTCAACTAAACATTTGAAACGTTAACAAAATAAATTATGAATATATAACAAACCAAATAATCGATAGCACTTTAACCGAGAAAAAATTAAACGTCATCGAAGAATCCCCTGGGCGAGGCGCCCACTCTGCTCCTATTAAACCCGTCCAATTGGTAGTTATCAGAAAAACGGGCCTCCAATTCGCTGGGGTTTCCGAAACGTTCGCTAATTCCAGTACTAGCACCGAATCTCACGTCTATATCGTCCTCGCTCGGCGGGAACCTGGTATCGATTTCCGATGTATATTTAGTGCCACTGTACGAATCTAATCCGTGGGCGTCTCTCAACGACGAACGGCTGTTATCTAAATTATCTAGCTGTCGATCTGTAAAAAATTACACGAAATTAGTTTCGTTAAAATGTTAATGAGTAGTGTGATAACCTTCGGTGCTTCTTGGTTGCCTGAATCGTCCAGTAGTTGGGAATCTATCGTGGTAGTCTCGCCTTCTTGAAGATGATTCTTCTAGTCGTTGTTTTCTACGTTTTTCTATTAATAAAATAAATAATTTTAATGATATACTGATTGTGTTATATTGATTTTACCTCTTTTTATTAATTCTCGTCCCTCTTCTACTAAATCAGTAGTCATTTCATCGTCTATAAACTGATGGTATCCGAAAGAAGATAGCATTCTCGATCCTAAACTGAAGTAAGTAGCGAAGCAAAATAAGAGAATAGCCATTGGGAAATATATGTTGAAACCATGGGATATAATACCGATGACATCCATATGGCCCATAATCTTTAGAAACGTATTTCATAAATAAATGAATTATAGTGTTGATTTAATTCCAGTTACCTGTGTATAGGAAGTTTCCATAACTTGATTTTTAATCACGTGACTGTCCATGTGGATTAAACCGAGGAAATTCAAGCAAAGCGGAGGCGTGAGCCTACTCAACATCATACCGGAAAATATCAAACTGTACTCGTTGGTTTGATGATGAGGAGCCAAGTAGTACAAATTAAGCACTCTTATTTTAAGTATAGTAGAGTAGGCACAGTAGCTTAGATACAGAATTATAATAGTAGACAACACCTACAAAAACAACAATTAATCGAATCGTAAATATTGCACCGAGGAACGTTACCTCTATTGTAAAGTAATCGTAGTTTTTCTTTGCCACTTTTACGATCACCGCGAATATCGAAAGAGGCGGATGAACGCTGAAAAACGTGACTTCTGACCAAACGACGCAAACGGAAAACACGCCCGCCATGATCGCCAGCAATTTCTGAAAGTAGCAATACAACAGGCACTTCCAATACCATTCCATCTTCGACGTGTAAACGAATCTCCTGAACCAACCCCGACGCTTCTCGAACGTCCTTTTGTACACCTTCTCGCGGGACACTTGATTCTTCAACGTGTCCTCCAACTCGAACACCTTTTCTACTATTAAATGCCATTGGGTTTCGGTGCGTTGAAGCACTTGCAACGATTTGATAGTCTAGAAGCGATGAAATTTGTGAATGGATTTTTTTGGCGATCTTATTAAACTAACTTGTTTGTGAAGTCGAATGAGGGCCTTTTCACTGGGCGGGTCGGTAGGCGTATCATCCGGTAACTGTCTTCTTTTCATTCGTTCCTGCAATTCTGTAGGAACTTTCTGCAAGATCGTTTCTAAATATCCATAGAGCGGATGCCCGGGTTGTATCCTCAACGATATCGCTTGTAAAGACTAAAAAAATATTGCTTTACTAAACCATTTTAACCGTTCGCTTAATTCTACCTCTAGTATATCATCTACAGTCTCTTCCGCTTCACATTTATCATAACTCAACTTCGCAGCTTTAAAATAAGATTCCGTTAGGGTTAAACTGTGGTTGGATTTGTTCCAAAGTCGTCTGGGTACTTCTACGAGAGCGTATCCCAATAATAGAACGAGCAGGAACAAACCCCAAGTGTTACTAGCTGAAGAAGCTATGGCTTTCAATTTCGACCTGTAATGGGATATTTTAATAGTGTTCGTTTAAATATATTGGTTTTGTTTACCAATCGAGGCCTACACTAGGCTTGAGGGACAGATACACAATCAAAATGCAACATATCAAGAAGTAAGAACCGTAGTAAATTGCATTATCGATTAGAGCTGATTTGAGCTTTCCTTTGACAGAGAAATCTCCGGATTTGATGTAAGATTGCATCATAGGCATAACTAACCTAAAATAAACAAAATTAGTACAAACATTAATCGATAGCATACTCAATAACTCACCATGTTAAAAACTGTGTACTCCAATAAACTATTCTCCATAAATTTTGAAAGACTTCTTTCGGTAAATTCGTCCAAGGGATTTCGCAAGTAATTGTAATATTACTGGTTGTATCAGCGGAATTAAGGACTTCTATGTTCGTTTCATTGTCGTGTTTGCATTGTCGGTATACAGTCTAAAAATTACTCGAAACGTAAATGGATATTTTAAATGTAATTATGTACTTACAGAAATTACATCTAAGGGTAGTGCGAATATGATCAGAAAACTGCAATACCAAGCTAGCAAAACAACTAATGTTACAAATATTCGGTGCCTAAACCAATTTCCATATCGATAGAGCACTGTGGCCGATAAAATAAACGATAACAATATCGTCGATACTAAAGCAGTGTAACTCATATTGGAATGAATTGTTATGCGTGTTATAAATTTTATTCTTTCTCTATTTCTGTTGGCGTCTTTTGAGCTTCTTGTTGCATTTTCTCTAGTTTCTCAAGAGTGTAACTTTTCAGCGGTATCAGACGAGGTTTGCAGAATGTTAAACCGGGAATGTCTTCAACGGCTATTTGCCCATGCTTCTTTAATACAGGTCGAAAATCTCTTGTATTAGAAGACATTCTTACTTCATTAAAATTTCATAATTAGTTTTTTCAATACTTTTTTAATCATTAAGAACTATGTACACAGATGTCACGTCAGAACTAAATTTGACACTGACAATAATGACATTTGACAGTTGCACACCAGTTCCACCAACACAACAATACCAAAAAAAATACATATGAACTAATCTTCTTTTTTACAATTATTGCCTTTGATATAATTGGTATTCAAATACCAGTACATTGACACTGACAACTGACAGTGACAGCAGTACGAGAGGAGGAGGAGGCAAAGATTGTAGAATAATTGCAGTTGTAATTTGTTATGAATTTGTAGAGAAAAATGAGTGAATTGTTTAAATCAGCCTTTGAATACTTTAGCGGGCCGACAAATGGACAACCGGAGAATAGTTTTGTCGGACAAATTATAGAAATTTCGAACGTAAAGTTAAAAATCAGGAGCGTTTTAGCGGAAGGTCTGTTGGTCTATCGATTTTTAGCGTTCTTTTTCGTATAAAATGTGTTTTAGGTGGTTTTGCCGTTGTATTTGTGGCACAAGACGTAGCCACTGGGAAGGATTATGCTTTAAAAGTATTATTTCGCATATTGTTAGTTATTATTGTATCTAAAAATAACGTTTTTTGCAGAGGCTACTAGCTGCAGATGAAGAAGCGAAAAGCAATATTGTAAGGGAAATAAATATATTGAAAACAATATCCGGACATCCCCATATTATTCAGTATTTATCTGCTTCATTTATTGATAAGTCGCAAACGCAACATGGCAGTTCAGAATTTTTGCTGGTCACGGAACTTTGTCCAGGTTATCTCATTTTTTATTGCAATTCAGTTATTTAGTTATCTTATTTATTTAGTTACACAGTTATCTAAAACTACAATGACTATTGTTTCAGGAGGTTCTTTAGTAGATATTTTGCAAGCTAGAACCGCTCCGTTCGATGTAGACATAATAGTTCGGATATTTTATCAAGCATGTAAAGCAGTCGCTCACATGCATTCCCAAAACCCGCCTATAATACACCGAGATTTGAAGATAGAGAACCTTTTAATTAGCGCTGAAAGTACCATAAAATTATGCGATTTCGGATCTTCTACCACCGAAATATTCAAGCCAGATATATCATGGTCGGCCAATCAGCATACAAACCTCGAAGAAAACGTGGGTTACTCGAAACGCGAACGGTTTGAATTAACTACATTTAAACTCCATTTTAGATGGCTAAATTTACTACTCCGATGTACAGAGCGCCCGAGATGGTAGACACTTGGAACAATTATTTCGTAGGCACGCCCGTCGATGTATGGGCCTTAGGATGCATCTTGTACACACTGTGTTTCATGAGACACCCGTTCGAAGACAGCGCGAAATTACGTATCATGAACGCCAATTACACTATTCCAGCTGATCCGAAATTTTCTTGTTTTCACGATATAATAAGTACGATTCGTTTTATTCGTTTTATTGTTGTATTGATAGTGGTTTTTGTAGGGGGATGTTTGCAACCCAATCCCCAGATGCGGTTAAATATCGCGGGCGTTCTGGAAAGAATCGCTGCAATAGCTGAAAGCAATGGTTACAATCTCAAAGAGCCTCTAGTACTATCCGTTCCGAAGCAAAAATTGAACGAAACCCCACCGAACTTCCACAACGACAATTCCAAAGTACCACCGGCAAGACCTAATCCACCCAGCTCCGACTTGAATAAACCAGCTCAACCGGTAATGGAGCGTTCATTTTATATATTCGTAATACTTAGATTTTTATATTAGGTTCCTCCGAGACCAGCGCCTCCTCAACAGCGACCTCCAGCGCCGCAAGCTCAACTACCGCAGAGGCACATCGAAAGCAAACAAACCGGGCTGTTTTCCTCATTGAGAGGAGGCGCCGGGAGTTTCCTGAAGAATCTCAAAGACACTAGCAGCAAAGTTATGGCTACAGTCCAACAGTAATTCAATTCGACATATTTAATGCAATAATTAACATTTTTATAAACTTGTAGAAGCATGGCCAGGACCGATTTAGACATTCATTACTTAACTTCGAGGATAATCGTGATGCCGTATCCCTCGGAAGGTTTCGAATCCACTTACAAAACGAACCACATAGAAGACATCAGACTGTTTTTGGATTCCAGACATCCTAATTTTAGATATTCCGTTTACAATTTATCCTGTAAGCCTTATCATTCGAAATTCGGCCAGGCTAGGATTATCGATTGCTCATTCGCCTATCCCGATGCGTTCAAATCGCCGTTGCTGAATTCGATGTATCAGCTCTGCGAGGACATTTACCAATATTTAGCCGGCGATAGCAGGAACGTTGTCGTCATTCACTGCACGGTAAGATTCGGAATATTATACTCGATAAGTAGTATATTGAAAAATTGTTTTTCGTAGGACGGTAAAGCTACTTCGGCGACGCTAGTTTGCGCTTTATTAATTTACGCGGGGTTACTGGAGGTTCCGGAAGACGGTCTGCAAATGTTCGCTGTAAAAAGATGCCCTCCGAATCTAAGAGCCTCCGAGTTAAGATATCTCTATTACTTAGCGGACATCGTGAGAAATCCGCCCGTTTATCCCCATTACTATCCTGTTACGTTAGTTTCGTTGCACATGCAGCCCGTTCCTTTGTTTACTAAAGTCAGAGATGGATGTAGACCTTACATAGAAGTTTTCAGCGAGAACAGGTGTATATTATCGACGCAACAAGATTACGAAAGGATGAGGTTATACAACATAGCCGAAGGAAAGGTAGTGGATGTTATAAAATTAGTATTAGAATTATGACGAATGTATTGTAGTGTCTTCTTCCCATAAATGCTACGGTTTGTGGGGACGTTTGCATCGTAGTCCACCATGCTAGAAACCTATTAGGCGGAGTAATGACTCAGGGTAAAGCTATAGGTATAAAGATGTTTCAATTCCAACTGCACACCGGCTACATTCCCGAAGAGGAAACTTGCATGAGATTCTCGAGGTGAGTTACATCGCAATCGTAATCGAATGAAATTGTATTTGATTGAATTTTAGGTCGGATTTGGACGACATATCGGACGCGCCGGACCATTTCCAGGAGAAGTTCACCGTTACGCTCAACGTGTTCGTGACGGACGCGGAACGGAAACCCACCCAACCGGCTCCATGGCAAACCGATCAAACCAAACGGGTGCCCGATACGATGTTCACGTCGCAAATTGAAAAAGACGAAGTGATAGATAATTTCGGTACGGACAAATGTTGAAGTTATAGAGCGAACGTCTATTATTCGGTTTGTTTTTAGTGAGCACGCCCGTTAGGAAAGCCGAAGAGAAGCAAAAAATGCCGCCGGAGAGGCCTTCGAAGCCGCCAGAGAAGCCCAACCGGTTGGCATCGCCTGCGACTATCTTACAGGACGCGGATGATTCCGCTTCCGATACAGAGCAACCCGTGAGTACTAAATTATGTAGCGAAGCTGGTAAACACCAAAATTCGGCTACTAACGAAGCAATACATTTTTCAGGCGCCTCAACCACCACCGCCCGCGGTCGCAACCGATACCCTCATCGAATCCGTAGATCTGTTGAATTTGAACAGCGCCCAGCCTTCGGTAGACGACGCGAACGCCAAGAAATCGCCCAGCTCGAATTTCGATTTGCTATCGCAACTGGACGACGACACCGGTAATTTTACTAACTTCAACAACGCACCCGACACTAAAACCGACGATATGTTCGATCCGTTCGGCGGAGGCGACAACAATCTACTAGGCGGTTGGAACGATTTCAACTCCTCGACTCAAGCACAAGCACAAGCTCAAGCGCAAACCGCCGCGAGGAACGACGCCAACGATTCGTCCCGACCGGCCGATCCTTTCGCCGAGTTCGGGCTGAGCTTCGGCGGCGCGCGGTCGACGCCGGGCGCGAGTCCGCAGCACGCGCCCCATTCGGGCGGCGGGACGCCGCAGCACCAGGCGCGCTCGCCGACGGGGCCCGACTACAACCGGTCGCACTTCGAGGCGCTGAACAAGGGGGGCGCGGGCGAGCCGCCGAAGAAGGCGCAAGGGTTCGACGTGTTCGGGGAGCTGCTCGGCTCGCAGGGGTACAGCTTCAGCGGGAAGAAGGAGGCGGCGCCGAAGACGATGAACGCGATGAGGAAGGAGGAGATGTCGGCCTACGTGGATCCGGAGAAGATGAAGGTCATGGAATGGGTGGGTGTTGTAAGGGCGCGTTGAATATTGTAGGTCTAAATGTTTTTTTGGTTTTGGATTGTAGAAAGAAGGGAAGAAGAATAATATTCGGGCGTTGCTTTGTTCGATGCATACGATTCTGTGGGACGGTGCGAAGTGGAACAAATGCGAAATGCATCAACTCGTTTCGGCGGCTGATGTTAAAAAAGCTTATAGGAGAGCTTGTCTAGCTGTGCATCCAGATAAAGTAATTTCCTCTACCGTTATACTTTTAAATATACAACTATTTTTTTTTCTTTAGCAAACCGGCACGGACAACGAGAATTTAGCGAAGCTCATTTTTATGGAATTAAATAACGCTTGGAGCGATTTCGAGAACGACGCTTCCCAACAAAACATGTTCTCGTCCTAACTCTATCCTAGTTAAATTGTTAAAGAATTCGTCATTCCAGTACTAATGCTTTAATGAAATAATTTATTTTAGACGTAGCTCGTTGTATTTTGTTCCTGGTTATTCGTATATGTGTTAAAAAGTTTAGCTCTAAAGTTGCGAACAAAAGCCTACGTTTTTTTATTGTTGATTTACGCGCAGGAATGGAAAATCTGATTCGGATGATAAGCAATTCGATTTTTACAAATAATTTGCGTGGGACAATATATTTATCATTTCGCTGTTACATTATAGAGGTTGAAATTGTTAGAAACATATGATATTAATTCAGCGTTAACTGGAAATGTTTAGTTTAATACATTCTATTTTTATATTGTGACTGTGTTCAGATATATTTTTTAGGTAGTAATTTTAAACATATTTATTTCGTGTTGGTTGGAAATTTATCAAAAAAAAATCCTTTATCTAAACGGCTGTTGCAATATTTAAAATAAATAATATTGTTGGTTTCATCGCATTATCAGTTTAATTTAGTGAAGTGCTTTGCATCAGATTATAGAGTAAAGTAGCAAAAAAATTATAAAGTTATTTTTAAATATTAAATATATTAATTCTAATCAATTAGTTGCGCATTTCTTGTTTAACATACCTTAGTAATCTAAATAAGGATGAAGGCGTCACGCCCGGTATTCTACTAGCCGCAGCAATCTGCAAAACAAATTAAAAAAAAATACATATTACATAAATTTATATTCTATTTATTTACCGTTTGCGGTTGGACAGTCAACAATTTCTCCCTGTCTTCGAAACTGAGATTCAGAAAATCGGAATTGTAATCCATATTCATCGGTATAACGAGCGACTCGTTTCGCTGCACTTCTCGAACCTCTTCAGCTTGATCCTCCGCAGCTGCTTCGTATGTAGCTTCTATATGCAGCCTGTTTTCCAGCGAAGGATTGTATGTAAGCGGAGCAAGCTCCGGGACTATTTTCGCCAGCATACTAATCGTAATAACTTCATTGGCTACATCTATCATACTGAAAGCGCTGCAATTCGAATAGTACAATCGAGGCGGATTCTTGTACAGTTTTAATATTTCTTACCTCTTTCGCGCATGACTTTTACTGGGAGGAAAACCTAACGATGTCCTCCATTGATGCGATGTTTTAGTAATAGATTTTAATAACTCTATGCCGTCTTTGAGTTCTTGTTGGATTTTAACAGTTTTATCGTATCTTTGTTTGCTGACGCAACCAACTTTATAGCCTTTCGTTGTTAATCTTTGATCTGCATTATCAGGACGAAGGGTTAATCTAAACTCAGCGCGACTGGTAAACATTCTATAAGGTTCTGTAGTACCTAGAGTAGTCAAATCGTCTACCATTACTCCTATGTAACCCTCCGTTCTGCCTATGGTGAGTGGACTCTTACCTAACGACTAAACAGCGAGTATATTAAAACTAATAACTGATGTTACTTTAAGTTTATTTATTACCTTTGCACCAGCGTTAATACCGGCTAATATACCTTGAGCGGCGGCTTCTTCGTAACCCGTCGTACCGTTAATTTGACCTGCTAAAAACAAACCCTCGATTCTTTTAACTTCCAACGTTTGCATTAATTCTCGAGGATCTACAAAGTCGTATTCGACACCATAACCTGGTCTAACAATTACAGCTTTTTCTAAACCTGTTAAATTAAAACCATTAATATGAAGTTAATAAGAGAAAAATTCGCTTCTACCCGGTATGCTTCTTATAAGATCCCATTGTAGTTCTTCAGGTAACGTGCAAGATAAGCCGTTTGGGTAAATAATATCGCTAGTGAGACCTTCGGGTTCTAACCATACTTGGTGTCTCCTTCCCGAAAATTTCAATACTTTAGATTCGATGCTCGGGCAGTACCTCGGGCCTCTTATTTCCTCCATAACGTGCCTGTTTACATGCAGGTTATCCGTTACAATTTTCTCTAGAGCTAAGGACGTGTTAGTTAAGAAACATTCGAGCTGATCCTCAGGCTGTGCACACATAGAAAAATCAGTACGACAAACAAGGCTTACGTTAAATAATTTACCTTGATCCAAACAGATTCGTTCATGAAGGAAAACGGTAAAGGAGAATCATCTGCTTTCTGTGGTTCACAGACGCTGTAGTTAATAGTGTCGGCTTTTAATCTGGGAGGTGTGCCCGTTTTTAATCGCCCCATTCTCAATTTTAGCTGTTCTAAAGTTTTCGCTAGACCTATCGACGGTTCGTCCCCAATGCGACCAGCAGGGTAGATGTTTAATCCCAAATTTATGTGTCCGTTTAAAAATGTACCAGTTGTTATAACGACACAACGAGATTTTATTTTAACGCCATTTTCTGGAAATAAAATGTCGTTATTTTAAGTAATCGTTTTGGATAATTATAACTCACTTAAAATTACACCTCTGCATTCTATACAATTTTGATTGTGGTCATTAGTAAACGATTTATCTACAATTAAATCTTCTACTGCTGCTTCGAGGATATCTAAATTGGGAGTGTTTCTAAACAGTTCATTTTGCATGTGTTGTTTGTACAAAGCTCTGTCGATTTGAGCACGGTATCCCCAAACGGCAGGCCCTTTTCTTCTATTCAGCACCTTATAGTGTATACCTGATTTGTCACAAATTCTTCCACACACGCCATCTAGAGCGTCTACTTCTCTCATTAAGTGGCCTTTACCGATACCTCCGAAAGAAGGATTACAAGACATTTCTCCTAAAATCGTTAGCAAATTAACAATTGTAACTAAATGGATGTGTAATACATTACCGACGGTTTCCTTTTTATGGGTAATAAGCAGAGTTTGGGCCCCCATTCTAGAAGCTGCGGCGCAGGCCTCGCTTCCAGCATGCCCACCACCGACAACCACAACATCGTAATTTTTCTCTAGCGAGAATGATCGTACGCTAATATTTTTTATCCTCCGAATAATGCTAGGGTTCTTGTAATTTCTTAGTACGTTATTCATTGTTTTCCTCTTGTTATAAATTATTTTTTTAAATAAAATTTCAAATATTTTGTAGGTTAAACGCCAATTGTCAATGTCAAATGTCACAATAAATCTTGATTTGAAAAATTGAAAGTTGTGATGTATAAGCTGGCCGGATGCGACACAACGCAAGAGGCCATGTAACAGAGAAGACGAAGAAGAAAGTTGTGATGCTGTATACTCCCAATGTAGGAGTACCAATAAAAACGATGTTTTTGACATATATGTCAGTTTCATTTAGTAATTTGTAAATATTTACAAATAGTATTTTTGTTGATTACACACCTGAAATGGATTGTAACGACGAAAATTCCACTCCCGAAGAGTCCTTAAATCCTGTGAATAACAGTGAAGAACCGTGTTCAAGAAGTAACGTGGACGCAGGGGATTTAGACGAAGAAACCATCCAGAAGCTTCGAGGAGATACAATAGGAGACACTTTATACAGCCAGTCCTTTGTGCTTAAAACCCTATTGCAGTTCTCCGATGGGAAATGGAGCGAACAATTCGAAGAAGATTTGTGCTTCATGTGGGACATGACATTGGAAAAAGACGTGTGCAAATTTTTACTGGACATGTCTTATCCCTCGTTGGCCTGTAACGTTGTATTACATCGAAGGGATGATAATCGATTCGTTGAAATCGTGATTGGTATTTTGGGAAATTTATATTGCTCTGGGCTTGAGAATAATATGACCCACGAGGAAATTTGTACTATTTTAACTGCCATCAATTATGAAGATCATCTGATATTAATTCAATTAATGCGTTTTATAAATGCATCCATCGAAAGCAATAAACAATTATTGAAAATTGTAGATGATGAATTTATGGAGAAGATTTGTTTTATTTTAAGGAATTCGATTAACAACGATTTGTTGTTGAAGACTTTAGAAACTGCTGCTAAATTAACTGCGGATGTAGAAGAAAAGAATTATTTATGTAGAATAGGGTTAGATTTATTTCAATCGAGTATTGTTGCTTATAAAACTTTATTGAAAGAAGAAAGTGGCTGTTTCGAGGCAGATACTAAAGAAAAACTGTTGTCTATCAGATACATGTTAGAAACAATAACAAATATATGCACCTACGTGGATAGATTCGAAAATAATTTATTGAGCACAGAAATTCCAAAAAATTCCAAAACTTTTTTGATCGAAGTAAATAAAATTCTGAATTATTTTAGTCACGAAGAAAATTTATTGCCTCTAACCGACGAGGTATCGTTTATTCTTTCGGCTATTTCTTACATATTTACCCAATTGAAATTGGATTACTTACCGGGAATATTCCAGTCTGTTACAAAAATTCTTTCTGTTATTGTTAATTACAAAGATGAATTACAAGAATCGGTGGAATCCATGTTGGAATTCGAATGTTACTTGATATCAAGCACGCCCTGCATTAACATAAAGCAAGATTTAAAATGTATATCGAGGCAAAAGGCCAAAAACGTATTGAATTTACTTAAAGCAACCAACAAATTCGACCAAGCGAATTTGAATCAAATATTAGAGTGGTATAAATGAGATTGTGTATTTAAAAAATTTCCCAATAAAAAGTATTGAAATTTTCGATTGTTCGTTTCATTTATACATAACCGCTAAAGCTTATCGATTCTAAAAAGACAATGACGTAATTTTTGGTTATTTCGACGCAGTCCAACATTCCCCTAGTGTCAATGTTAATCCTGCCATTTGACTAGGGGAATTTTAATTTGTAAACATTCAAGGTAAAAATCTTAAATTAAATACATCTGTAACATAAAGGATTTCAATTACAACCTGGCAACGTTGCAACCGGCTGGCTCGTGACGTCTTGTCTTCTTTAGAACGGATAAGCTTTATGATAAAATTAAAGATCCTGTTGGCATTTGCATCTTCTAAACGGCATCTTCAGCCTGTTCCCTTTCGTCACGAAATTTTTCGTGTACCCTTTCATCCCTTCCATGTAATCCTCGCACCGGGCCGGATCGTCCTTGGCCTGTTTCTCGTAAGGCAGCAGATTATTCTTCTTGTACTCCTTCAATTACAAGGAAATTAGGTGAAGATGCGATTGAAGAATCGCCTTACCAAAATCGCCTTGTGCACGGGTATGGTCGATCTGCCTTTATCCACAGCGTTCTTCATCACTTCATCGGCCAATTCGAAGAAGTTTTCATCATCGTTCGGTGCTATGGTTTTGGTGATGTACTCGTCTCGTTCCTTCTCGTACTTCTCGTTATCTCTGCGATCTTGCTGTTGAAGAAAATTTAATTCGTAAACGTGAGATTATTTATAGCATGTTTACCGCTTGTTGGAGTAATTGCTGGCTGTATTTCTTCATGTATTCCCGCTGTTTCGCCTTCCTTTCATCATCCAGCATCTTCACAGCTTCGGCGTTTTTCAAGTTGTTCAATTTGTACCATCTGAGCATGTCCGCTTTGTCTTTGTTGCTCTGTTCTTCCTTCTTCAAGAACCTCTGCATGTCTTCGATTTTATTTTTGGCGTCTTTATCTTTGAGGTCTTGTATTTCCTTTTCTCTCTCCCTGTATCTGTTGATAACGGAAATTAATAAGAGGTTTAATAGGATTTTAAACATACATTGCGTCCTTTTCTTGCGCTGCTTTTTGATAGGATTCTTCCTCTCTTTCGGCCAGCTTCAGCGCGTCAAGGGCTTTCTTCTCCATGAAATATTTATTTGCAGCTACCTTGCGTTCCATATCTTCTTCCAGTATCTGCAAGATGCATTTTAAAAGGTGAAATTTATAGGCAAGTAAAGTATTTACTTCTGCTTGTCTAGCTTTTATCATGCATTGCATTCTATCTTTCGCGTCGCGGAATACTTTAAGGCATTCGTCCAATTCCTTATCTTCCATTTTGGCCATCTTCCTGGCCTCGCATTCATACGTCATTTGCTTGCAAATGTCGGCTTTGATGGTTCGCTTCATCTTCAAACTCTGCAATATAAAACTCTTGTAGATTCGAGATATTTTTGGGAATTATATTACGTTTTCTTTTTTCATCCGTTCGATGCAAGCTTCTTCGTTTTTGCCTTCTTGCCATTCTTTGTCCTCTTGTTCGATGCGTTGTTTCTTTTCTTCTTTTTCTCGTTGGGATTTCTCTGCCAAGCTGTGTTTTTTTTGTTGAAAATCTGGTTATTTTTACTACTTGTACTTACAATTTTCTGCATTCGTCTCCCCATTCGCGCCTTTTTCGTTTCTCTTCATCTTTGTTTCGTTTTACTTCTTCCGCGTGTTCTCTGGCGATTCTTCGGACGTTTTCTATTTCCACCGCTTCGACTTCGTCTTCGTGCTTCTTAATTTTCGCTTTAAGTTCGATCTGTTTCTCCCTTGTTAAATGAGAATAAGAAAATGAAATTGAAGAAGGATAAATAAAATCGGCTAACCTTTCTTTGAGGACTTCGCCAGATTGGTAAGCTCTGATTATCAATTGTGCGTTGGCTGTCTTTAAGAAAGTTTGTTTCCTCGCTTTCTCGACGAATATTTTCTGGTTTTCCTCCAACTCCCGCCTGGTTTCGAGGAACTTTTCGTGGCGGATTCGCTTTTCCTCTTCGATTGCTCGCACTTTTTCTTCCTCTTTTCGCTTTCTGATGTTCTAAAAATCAATAGAAATTGTATAAAAGTAACCTGATATAATATAGGCTCACCTCTAAAGAATCAACCCATAATTTGATCATATCCTTGGAACCCTCTTCAAGGTATTTCTTTCTAGCTTCTTCCCTTTCCCTTTCTTCTTTAGCGATTTTGTTTCTATCCAATTGCTTGCGGATTTTATTCATCTCTGTGCTGGTAATGTGCAAGGCATGGCTCCGTTCTGATACGAACAAACACGAAATTATGAAAAATAATTTAAAGTTGCCAGTTTACCTGATATTTTGGTGTTCTCCGGCGTTTGCCCGGCGAAGTAATAATACCTGCTCTCCATTTGGGAATAAAATAAACGCGTTTGAAAGCGCTGATAAAAAAAATAAGGCTGTTTTTTGGCAATCACACCGATGTCAAAGTCTTCTTCGAATCATTAGAGTATATGTAAATCCGAAAATCAATATCGAGCGAGTTGCTTGGAAACTGGTAAACTCTTCGCATCGCTTATTATACAGTGTGGCAAATATGAGAAGGTTTTCGCTAGGTAATTCCCCCATTTGTCGAATTGTCTCACAAATTGGTAGAATTTAGGTAATTCCCCCGTTTGTCGACTTGTGCTACTGGCCTGCAAATTGCTATAATTTTTTTTAATTGAACAAAGTTGACAATTATTTCGTTGCGCGCAAGCCGCGGTAGTGCTTCAGTCAAATGCGTCTCAGGCTCAGTGCAGTCTCCCGTTTGCTCCGGCCGGCTTGGCTTTGGCTCAGGCTCAGTTTCAGGCAATCGGAATTCAGTTCGTGGGGAACGTCCGTGCGGAATGGAAGCGCGCCGGGCCGAGTTGTGACCGACGTTGCACGTGCAAGTTTACGCCCGCGCCAAGATGAAGCGCGATTTTTTCAAATCCGCCGGATTTCTGATTGTGTTCGCGTCTTTAGTGCAAAGGACGTGCACGCAAGGTAAACGAATTATTATTATTTTTTCGTATAAAATGCTAATCAATCAACTGTTGCACAATTAAAACGTAATTGAACTCGTTCGTTCGTCGATTAATTGTAAGATTAATTGTTGGGGCAGAGTAATTAAAGTTAAGTAGAGGACTAATTTTAGAACAAATTGTAGGTGCCCGTTGATTGAAATTTGGATCTATTAATGTATGAATGTGCTTCCGAAATTTATTGGGTACTAATGGAAATTGTTTCATTAAGTATCAAGAGCTAAGAGATAAACTGTTGGAGTTCAAGAAGAGCGATATATTCTAACTAAAATAAATGACCGCAGCTGCTGACAATGTTATCAACATTGATTACGTCTACATGGTTATTTAGCTGTTTCGAATAGGTCACGTTCGAAGATCAATCAACATTTAAAAAACACTTTACTAAACAAAAAAAAATCTCGACTCAACCCCCTTGTAATAACACTTTTACCAAGTCACGCGAAATTAATCTGTTACATTTGTATCCCAATATTGAAAGTACCTGTATAATATAAAACAAGTCGCTAACGACAATCCGGTTCGACTTCCCCATTGACAGATCTTTTAAATCTCTATACAAGTCGAATGGCCTACCGTCACTTAATCTGTCACGTCTTGGACAGAAATTTAAAATGAAGACTTCATCGAAGATAAAGTTTTTTTATAGTGCGGTTGTTTTGTGCAATTTTCGCCGTAATTCGAGCTTGACGTCATCGATTAGTTGTCGTGGATATTTAATTGAATTATATTTTATGTGAATTTTATTCGACTCACGTTTTGTAACATTGTATCGTAATTTAATATCGATAAATTTCCGGACAGGCCAAATCGAGTATGAAATGATACGAAAGTAATTACTCGCTAGTTCTAGTTGCATGTTTTTCCTACTTATGCACGATAATATTTGAATAATAAGCGGTATATTTGTAGGTAGGAAAATTCTGCTTCGCCTCTTTGCGCAAATATTCCCATTTACTTTGATACGTTTCGGTTTATTAGTAATAAATATTGATATTTATTTAAGCACAAAGGCTAAGAAATTGCACTGAACAAGGTAGCTCGTAATAAATTCACGTCGTTATTTATGTATAATTTAATTAACGCATTTTTATTTTTTTTAATTGCAGATTTAATGTGCTGTTCTCAGGCAACTGGATCCTGTCGAAGCATTTGTGAAAAGGTATTCATAACGATTACGAAAGATTTTACGCATAACTGTTTTTATTGCCGTTCTTATCAATACAGTTGAAGTATTTCCAAATTTGAATAAATTATTCCTTATCTTCTCGTAATATACGATTATGATGCATCTTCAATAATTTATACAACAGAAATTTGTGTCTCAATTATACCTACATAATTCGAATGCAAGTGATGGAATTGGAATGGAATTGTTTTTAATTAGGTACATTTTTAATTAGTAAAATGAGCGTTATAAGGAATTAAATAATAACCATCTAATTGGTAATTTCATTTGTGGCACTCGACGATTCTATCACGGTTACAAACGTGACCGGATATCTTTGAGGACATCTTGCGGAGAAAAGGAAACTAGCTTCCTTTGAAAAACGATTTATGAATTTATAAATATTTACGGATTGTTATTCATTCAATGCAACGCCGTATCTTCCTTGTTTACAGTTCGTAGTAATTATTCTAATCGAAGTAATGCATTTGTAAGAAATGCGCAAAGATTCGAAAACAACTAATATTTCTCGCTATAAAGAGACACAATTCCTGAATGATGCATTGTTCCAGCTGCCGACTATTCAAAAGGAATAATAGTAATAGTAGTATTAAAGAAATCTCGTCGAATACAAATTGTGCACGTTTCCGTCTTACGGCGTTTCTTTTTTCGAAATGGGGGACCCTTCGGGGTCCTTTTTGTCGCCTGACAAAGCCGGGTAATTCGAGAACAAACACTTTTGATGCGGCCCGTCGCTGTTTGACGTATTATTGACAGCGTGAAAGGAGCGTTTAAAGGCTAAATAAACCCCATTGTGCGACCGGCGTCCCGAATTAACAGTTTTAAGGCGAAGATTATCGTCTATTTCGAAACGAAAGAATGAAAATAGATGGGAAAAACGATGATTTTTTGGCGACGTTTTCCACTGGCAAGTGCCCAAGTTATTTCCATCGCGACCGGCTTTATCCCGTTCCGACTCCCACAAATCACGGCCGGGTCTTTCTCCGCGCGCTAACTAACTCGAAACGTGCTTCGAATAAATTATAGAATCATCTTACATTAAAGCGGTATATCAAATCGTATTTACTCCCGAAATTACTCTTCCTAATTTTCGACGCGGTTCAAAAACAATTCCCATTGTATGGTAATTGTTTCCATTGAGATTGCCCACACCTTTCATATAATCTAATCCTCTTTACAAATATTTACTTTGCTAACCACCACACGAAATTCGTATAAGTTAATGCCCGTCGCTTCGTATCCGTCGAGAATCTCACCTGGTGACTAATAAAATATTCAAGAAGACATTATTTTATTCATAAGGGTCATCAATTCGTCTATCCGTCGGAGACGGCGTGCAGGCATTTCATATTTATCGTTGCGGTGGTATTATTGATGGCGCGGAAGTGGCCAACACAATAAAACGAATACTTTTCTATGTAAATTTCCATTATTTATGATTTAGTCGATTTTTGCTGTAGAAGTTACTCGATTCCTCGAAAGTCGGATGAGCAAGCGGGGCACGTAGAGTCGAAGGAGAGACAATTGAGGCTCGCAATGAATGCATTATTATCTATTAAAATTTATCAACCACAAAGCGGTCAAAGAACTTAAATTAATTAACGAGCCTCGATGGAAATAAGACCGTTTTATATGCGAGTTATAAATGCACTTGGTCTGAAAAAATTGTAACATAATTTTCGTTTAATCCACGTTAAATTTATAAAACTCGTTAAACGCGTTTTACGGCCAATCAAACGCTAAATGTAATTAGAATTATATAATAAACAACGCAGGAATCAAACGGAAGGTAATAAAGATTTAATAACGCAATAATAAATAAGTTTTAATCCCGACATGTATAGGTAAATTTTTATTTTTAGGTTCTTTGAAAACCGAAAGAAACGTTTCCTTTGATTCAATTTTCTCGACTTGAATAGTACTTATCAATGTTAAATTCTGTTTGAGATGCAAATATTCGAACCCTTTAGTTAGAGGAATAATTATATTCCTTTCCTACCCACTTTGATGTAATCGAGGCTACAAACTACAAAGGGAATTTAAAGCAATTGCATATTGCATACGAAATAAAGACAATAAAATACTCGAAAGTATAGTCGCCTCAAAATACCAGCATTTTTATTATAGCCTTATTAAAATTTAATATTTGCGCGTTTTATAATTTATTTGCACAGCTAATTAATAACTGCCATAATTTATTATTGAATTAGGATAAATGTTATCAGTAATGAGTAATTAAGGCGATATTTTCGATTCACTCTATATACAGGGCGATTCGATAAATTCCGCAATTTCGTTGCTTCAACTTTCCAATTAAATTCGACATCGGTTCGCGAGATAAACCGCATGCAGCGAATAAATACCTGTTTTATCGACTTTAACAACGCGACATTGGGATTTCTCTTATCAAATGCGTTTCCTTCGCCACTTGAAATGCAAAACAAAACGTTCAATACGAAAACTCCTACGTAGAATTGTCATAAAAACACGATGGTGGCAGAGACAATAAATAATACCAATAACAGCGACTTTATAGGTATCTTAATGTTCATACTACACGTTAAGGCTAAACGCAAAACTTTTACTGGATACGCCAGGTCTGGAATAGATACTTTCTGGTAACTCTAAAGCACGAAATGAATATTACTAGTGTCCTACTTTCCATTCAGTTATCTGTACACGAATAAGTTAATGTGTTTACCCAATTAAAAACTGTTTATAATTAGCGAAATGTTGATAGGATAATTGCAAACGCGCGTTTTACGAGTCCTGTCCTGCCGGGGGCCGCCTTCGAAATATTCAAATGAATGGCATTTCTCACGCTGAGCACCACATGGGCGCACAATTCATCGAAATAAAATAAGAGCAAGAGAACCGCGCGTACGAATAAATACTAAATAATAGTTGACACAAGCGCGCTAAAGAATTCGCCATAAGATACAGAATAAACAACTCATCCGAGCCGATTCAACGAGAGAAGATGCGAAAATTAAATATTTTGACAACGCGAATATAACAAAAACAAAACCGGTGGGAAAGAGAACTTCATCGTCGACGACTCTACCGTATTAATTTTAAGTCGTATTTTTGGAACACCTACAATTAAAAGAAATAAATAGGAAGTCACCGGAGTCGAGATTAAATTACCGAGCCGTTTAGATGACGTGATGAATGCCGGTAAACGAAGCGCTTGATGGGATGGATCGCTTTTTAGGCCGGGCGCAAAATGAAGCGCAGCTTGGTGAGGTGACGCAGCGTGAGTCACGGTGAGATTTGGAAAGGGGGTAACTGCCAGCGCGAAAGCCGCGCAAATAATACCGCAGTTGTAATAACCTGCTTGCGCTTTCAAGAACCCAGTTGGTTTAACAAGATGGAAATAGCTTCCGCCCTTACGTTTGAGTTTAGTTCTGAATCTGATTCGGAAGATGAGTTCATGTCCGATGTTGTATCGATGACCTTAAAAACGAGTAATAAAAAGGCAGCGAGAAGTTCATACATAAAAAAAAGGAAAACTCACGGAGAATTCGCTCTAACCAAAGAATTTAACGATGCACAGTTTAAAAATTATTTTCGACTAAACCGTGATCAGTTTAGTGAAGTGCATGAGATCATCAAGAAAGAAATTTACGCAGAAGGATGTAACGCTACAAGGCCCATCGGGACGGAAGAGAAACTAGCTGTTTTTCTAAGGTAAGTTATTTTATTCGTATTCAATTTATTTCTCTGTAAAATTAGTGATTAATCAGTTCGTCTCCAGTGTTACCCGTAGGGCAGTCGTTCTGTTCCCTATGAATATCAAATGAGCTTAAGAGTGAATGTTCCGAATAGAAACTGGTTGATGTTGATGCTCTGCTGCTAGATGGGGTGGCTGCAGGAACAGAATGTAGAGTATGGTAGTAGGGCTGCTGCTGATCAAGGCTGTGCTGCTGGTGGACAGGAGAACTAATGCCCAGTAACATGGCTTCCGCTTGTGACACTTCGTTGAACAAACGATTTTTAACCATGTGTTGATATGAGGGTGGCATTCGTTTGGTAGACTGGTACATTGCCATAAAAAAATTAAATAGGGGGTCATTTTGAGTTGGTTGTATTTGTTGTAGCAAAGTTCTTCTCTCTTCCATTCTTGCTTTAGCCCTCTCCTCACGTTTCTCAATGCTTTCTTTAAATAGTGTAGCAACGTTATCTTTCTTAAGTTTTTTAACTGCTTTGGGGGTTGCACTGGACGTACGCATTGTAGGAAGTTTTTCTGAAAGTGTTTGAGATTGGGATTCATCCTCCACATTTTCGCTTTGCTGCTCTATGTCCATTTGCTGCAAATTTTCATTGTCTACCTCTACAGCTTCTTCATTGACTTCAAAATCTTGTGATATATTTTCAGTTTCATTGTCTTGGAGGTTTCCTTCTCTAGATTTATTGGCCATATAAGGCTGCAGAAATCCCATCTGTTTTTGAAATTTCCATTCTTTCACAACTTCCGCGCCTGCTCCACTTTTGAAACATTTTTTTTGTCGTCTAATCGCATCTCTCAATGAATGTCGTAGTTTTTCCCATAGTGACTTTGCTTCGGATCCTACAACAATAAATTAACTTCACAGTTGTAATAACATAACCCTTTAAAAATTCTATACAAAAATCAAACATTTAAAAAAAATGGGAAAACTTGGGGGGAATGTGGGAAAAGTGTTAAACCTGTTTCATTTTTTTAACAGATTATTGTATTTCAGATACTTGGCCACAGGAAACAGCTATAAAAGTATGGCGTACAGCTATAGGATGGGTGATCGAACCGTCTCCAATATTGTGCGAGACGTTTCTGAAGCAATATGGAAGCTGATGCAACCAATATATTTGCCCGAACCAACAGAAGAACAGTGGAAATCAGTAGCAGATTCATTTCAGAGAAAATGGCAATTTCCACATTGCATTGGTGCCATTGATGGCAAACATGTGGTCATTAAAAAGCCTGGTAAAAGTGGATCCTCTTTTATTAATTATAAACATACTTTCTCGATTGTGCTAATGGCTGTCGTCGACTCGAATTATAAATTCATCACCATTGATGTGGGGTCCCAAGGAAGATTCAGTGATGGAAACGTTTTCAGCACAGGCGTTTTAGCAAAGAAAATGCTGAATCAAACTTTACATCTCCCAGCACCTAGTGAAATACCTCCACTTGTGGACCCAATCCCGTATGTGTTTGTAGGAGATGAGGCCTTCCCATTATCTGACAATTTGATGCGACCTTATTCTAAACGAGGTGTCATTGATAATTTTGAAAACAAGGTGTTTAATTACAGACTGTCACGTGCACGTCAAACGGTTGAATGCGCTTTCGGTATACTTGCCTCGCGTTTTCGAGTTTTCCGAACACCTTTCGAAATTAAAGTAGAAAGTGTGATTAATGTTGTCAAGGCCGCATGTGTATTGCACAATTATTTAAGGAACTCGTCAGTACCTCACAGTGAAGAGGAATATAATGAAGATATGCCGCAAGATCAGCTGCTCCCATTGCAATCGAGCAATGCTCGAAGTACACGAAAAGCTTTTAAGATTCGAGAAGACTTTACGCATTATTTTAACTCTGCAGGAGCGGTACCTTGGCAGAGGGAAAGTATTGCTAGAGGGAAATATTGACAATTTACAATAAATAAACCGTAAATAAAACTTACCACTCTTCATTCCGATTTCCTTAGCGATTTCCCCCCACTTTTCAGTTTTTAATTTCGTTCTCATGTAGTCTGCATGACTAATATCATACAGAATTTGGCGAATCCGCACGGCTTCGATTAATTTCTCTTCCATTACTTCCACTCACCGTGAATAACTACAAGAAACTGCGGGATCGGCACTGTGTTCCGCAGGATCACGTTAAGCTAAAACTGCGTCACGTCACACTGCTAATCACTATGCGCAAAGGTATTTATTTATTAGGTTCACAAAATCTCACCGTGACTCACGCTGCGTCACCTCACCAAGCTGCGCTTCATTTTGCGCCCGGCCTTAAAATGTAACAAACGCGCGTACAAATTCGATATTAAAGTGGCTTCGGATGGTTCGCTAATTGAATTAGGAAGAGGCGACGGTTCGGAGGATTTGGATTCGAATTTAAAATTAAAATGCGATCCCGCCGAGGGCACCATGACCGATGGGTGTACGTTACATGTTCGGGTTCCCCGCAGGACGCGCTGCCCGCTGGTTTTGCTTCGTATATCAACGGAAGGCCCATCTCGATCGTACATCATATTGACTCGTATCTCGTTTGGCTTGTCTACCGGGCAGCAAACCCAAAAAAAATAAATAAAAAATACCACCTTTCCGATTTTGCCTCGTGTAAAACCTAATCGATTCATTGGTCGAGTAAAACTCCTTTCTATCATACTGTTAGTATACCCTTCGCCCTTCTTTTATTCCATTATAGCTCGGTATCTAAACGGATTTGAATGCTTATTCCACCCACGATCTACACACATTTGCATAAATTATTGTGTATGCAAGCGATTTAAATAATATGCAGCTTGTTTTTGCGCTGATTTTTTATAATGAGTCGTAATTTTATATTCACACTTGTCCGGAACATGTGTTACAGGCTCCGATTCGCTCCGATTATAACGACAATAATTCTATAAGAATTGCATATCTATTATGTAAAATAATAATAGCGACTAATAGGCGCCTTTGGGGGAGTTTTTTTCGTAATATTTGCAGTCAAAAAATATTTTTTCAAGACGACAAAGCGCCGAGTAAAATATGCTAAGTGGTTTTAAATACTGATGCACAACTGCGGGTAGGGATTCACCGAGGCATCTGGGGCCATGTGAGCTATTTCAGGCCTCTGTTTGAAAGATTAATGGGTTACGTTTCCTTTTTATGAAATGACACCATTATGCCAGTTTTCGAAGAATATCGAGTTTGTAAACAATCGTCGATACGAGGGTACCTCGAATAGTACTCGCATTGCCACTTCCTATATTTTTATAGCGTGTTAATCGTAGTGCATTTCGTTATAAAAAAATCAACGTTGACAAATAGGAGTTGAAAAAAGCCTCCCCTTAAACGGTGGCAGCTAAATATGCGCCACAAATTAAAACTAACGTAAACACGGCGATTCGAAGATTTACGGCCCGACGGGCCACTCTTTGAATCCCAGTTCTGGTGTTTAATTTTGTTTAGAGAACGAAACGCGGGGCCGACAGAACCGATGCTTCATCTCGAACTCTTTGAAGATCAAACGCCCGCCGGATCCAAACTGAAAAAACAACTCCTGTTTATCCTTCCAGAAAGTATAGGCTAAACGATTTTTTAACCACTTTTACACGGATTATTTATCTTAACTTTAGCGCAGATTTTCGAGGTTTTCGAATCCCACCGGACCCGGTAAAATAGCCTCGCATAAAACCGTAATAAATCTAAACCCAATAGACTCTTTCAACGAGCCGTTCAGTTTTCGTACGAACGCCTTTTGTGTGTACAGTCGTTTTCACTAATTTGGTCACTAAATATAACCCGCAAGAATGTTAATTCAATTCTGGCGACAGCGAGAGCTCGAGAGCACGTTCGTCGTTTTTCGCTCTAAATTGAGCGACGCCTAATTTTACGATTTTCATCCTTACCACATGCAATTCAATTACTGTTCGTTTTTCAGATATCTTTAGTCCAATTGGCTGCCGACGTGGAATTGAGAAATCACACCGTTTCCGAAGTTCAGAAATTCTGCTCCATACACCTGGTAAGTAAGAACTTATAACAACTTTAGATGTACAACCAACCCGGGTAAATTATTTAGCATCAGCTACAAAACTTCACGAAAACGAAACCTCCGTTCCACCAGCGTAATTAATAGTTTTTGTAGAGCATCTCGCTTAAATAAAGCAGATCCCCGCTTGTATAGGGCTCGGGTCATAGATGCACCACTTCAAATCCATTTCGGACAGATTCTACAAAAAACGTTATCCATAAATAAGAATGTCTGTCTCGCAAGTAGGAAATGCGATTTGACAGTGGAGACTAAACACATGTTCGAAATTGTGATTGTACGGTAAACAGGCCCATAACGTAAACCACAACGATTTTCGAGCGAGTTTAACGAACTCGTTTTTACAATTTTATCGGACGCCCAATAGTAAATCTAAATCTACCGCATAATCGTCGCGTATAAAACGCTAATGAACGTACTTAATTTGAAGAAAACTCAATGTAGATATCTATCTGGTTCTTACAAGTTGTGACCAATTTGAATAAGTACGTGTGAACGTCCAGATAAGCGCGTGGGCATAAATTCCCCGCACTGTTAAATGCCGTAAATTGTTGATAGATCCCAATCTACCTTGTTAATTGGATAGTAATTTTTTTTGTGTGTTTATTTCCAGACTTCGTTTTGGGAGTGCTTGAACGCCACGTTCAAAGGTAAGTGAAAACGATTTGAACTTGAATTTAGTTGTCAACTCATAATTGAATCGATTTGAAAGCGAACAGAAACCGCATTTTTTGTCACCTGCGACGCGAGCCCATAGAATGATAATGGGACACCCCACCCATTCGGAGCCTCGACTATGGGTTACAAATGAATCGCATTTGCGTTTTGTGATTGTTTAAATATTCCGTTTCCGCGTTAAAGAGCACGCGGGTCGCCTAACAACACCCGAAACAACCATTTTTTACGATCGACTAGCGCGTAAAAACCTCGCTGGGGATATTCGGAATGTGTACGAATCAATTTGACCTGGCTATATTGGAGCTGAAAATGAAAAATTTAATTAAGCCGATGCGATCTGGATGGCGATTCTCGTTAAAAAGAGGAACCCGATTATTCACAGTTACTTACAGAATTAATTAAAACCCGTACGCTATGCAAACATGTCCGAGAGATATCTTCGGACGAGATATGGGGCAGGCCCTCCCATTAGAAAACTGGACTCGAGATGTACGCCGGCCGATTTCTTTGTTTTATTCTTATTTTCCCGTTCGCCTTTTTTTTTATTCTTACGAGTTGGCAACAGCCAATTTACTTTTAACCAAGACTAGCAGCATATATTATACAATTGAAACTACTCCTAATTCCTCGGTTTCTAACAAAGTTAAATTGAGTTTTCCTGTACTCGAAAGCAAAAAATAATACTTGTTTATTTAAACTGTTAATTAGACGTAACAGTTTTTATTACCCCTAACGAAACCGATGACCGTTATAACCCTTTCCGTCCACAGCACAAATTACTCCCATCTTTCCTCCGGGAAACGAGATAATAGCTCGCAATTGGCTCTCATTAAAGTACTAAAGTACATACCACGTTATACTCCAATCCACCCGCACATACACTCGACTCCGAATAACTTATTCATCGTCGAATATACGAAGGGGCGATTACATTTCTGCTCTTAGGGTTAATTCGATTCGAATGTGTAATTTGTCCAGCGGTTAATTTCACGTTTTAGTATAACGTAACGTCTCTTTCGCCGGGAATTAAAAATATATTCCGCGAATAAAACCGCGGATGGTTTACGTACTTACCATCGACACGAGAGTCGCGGGGTCTATCGCAAAACCGAACAAAAGATATCGCTCGCAAATCGTGCTGAAAAGGTCTCAGTACGCCACGAATATCGAGAACAGCGGCGGGCGCTTCAATAGAATTTAATGCAGAGCTATCCCGAGTGATACTCGCCTATAGTTTGAAGGTGTAACCGAAGAATACTCTTCGGGGCGACTTCGAAGCTGACGAGCCGCCGCTGGTGGTGCCCATTGGACCGGGCGCGACGGGAAACCGGCCCATAAATCTGCATCGCCGTGGACATCCCTAGCACGCCGCAGATTCAAGTAGCTTCCTATCGCACATCTCCACGCAAAATACTGTCAACTCGGGTCACCGGCGTGGCTCGTTTCGCAAAGCGAACAACAAAACCCATATCGAACCGAAGGTTTAAAAAGTCAATAAAGATATCCCAGTACAAGAAGCTTACTGAATTTTTTTTGTAACCGATATTTTATGCGTTGCTTTTAGATATATCGAGGGGGGATTCTTGGTCGGGGAGGATCTGCTGCGGGTTGCCGCACAGCGAAAGCTGCCGCAAAGCCTGCGTGACCGCCACTTCGAGCTTGGATTTAACCAACGGTTGCAGGCAGAGCGATGAAATAGCCTTTTTCAGCTGTCTGGAGAGGCAGGAAGGTGAGTTTGAGGCGTCTACCGCAGCTCGAAATTTACTCGTTTTATTCAGCGGCTGCTGATTGTTGTAACAACGCGAGGACCGAAGACTGCAACGCCGTCTGCGTGGATTTATTCCGAAACCAATTGGTGCCTTCCAAACTCCAGAAGCAGAAAGTTAAGGAGTACTGCGAGAACGATAATCCCAGGGTGACCGATTGCGTGAAGGATCTGGTGAAGGTAACGCCGGTGAAAAGCACGCACAAACGTAAGAGTATTAACTTTTGCAACAATTTTAGGTAAATTTAAGATTTTGTTTGTTTGTAGACATCCATTGTTGCGAAAAATCGAACGTTATCAAATGCAGAGAGTCCTGCAAGAAGGTGCTGTCGACGAAGAATACAATACAAGAAATCCTCGATGGTCTCGCTCAAGGAGGATGCGGTTTACCCATGCCACAAGTAAATCCTCTCATTTATTATAAATCCTAATCTAAAGGTTTCTTACTTCGCAGGAATATTTTTGGCAGTGCTTCCTTCGCTCCGATTCCGCCGGGCCGCTATCGAATTCCGTAAGAGTCTCCAGTATAGATCGCGTGGGAATCGACAGCGCCAAATGGCATTGCTGTCACAAGGCCAATTCCCCTCAATGCGCCCGGTTGTGCTCCAAGACCTTCACGAAATTCTGGTCGAAATTCTGGGACGAATTCCGGCACAAGTGCCTCAGCCAGATCTCCGAGGAAGGCCTCAGGTCGTGCATCGACGAAGGTAAATAAACTAATTTTTGATCACATCGATGTTTACTCGTAAATTTCCTTTGTAGTTGATGAACCGTGTGAGCTCGGTTGCGATGGGCTGAGCTTCTGTACCAACTTCAACAACAAACCTACCGAATTATTCAGGTCTTGTAACGCTCAAGCCGATGAGGCTGCAAGAAACGACGTGGCTCTTTGGCAAACGCAACACAACATTTCCTTAGGCAAGTAGTATCAACTACCAACAAATTTGTATTACAATGAAGTTTTTCCATGTAGCCGAAGGTCTAACGTTACCGCTCAAAACCACGTCGAAATGCTCCCAGAACATCTGGAAAGCCGTCGCTTGTACGCTGCAAATCAAACCGTGCTCGAGGATATCGCACGCCAACCAGATCTGCAGGGACGTCTGCCTGGAGATCCTCACGCAATGCGTGGATTGGACCCGGGTGTCGCCCGTCCATTCGCCCGAATCCGTCTGCGAGAGCATCTCCCCGGACGATCCGAACGGCTCCTGCGTCCGGCTGCAGACCTACCTGAACCCGTCGTCCTACAAATCCTCGCGGATCACCGGCGAGGTAATCAGCCCTTGCAAGGGAAACCCCTGCGAACCGCACGAGGTCTGCACGATAAACCGGAACTGCTTGCACGGGATGAATTGCAAGCCGTACAATTGCCAACCAGGGTGTAAATTAGGTCAGTTTTCTGAGGTTTCTTTTACTTGCAACTTCGGTAATACTATTTTTAAGGAAACGCGGTTTGCGTGAGAATATTAGTAATAGATTAATGAATATTTTGCGAAAGTTTCAAAAAAATCGTTAATGTATTTTCCGAGAAAATCATGAATCCCCCAAAAATATACTCCTTTACTCCAATGACCAGTCAATAAATGCCTCTATTAGCTATTGCTGACATATTTGTGATATATTTTTAGGTGAAGTATCCCAATATATGGTCCCTCACGGAACATACGTCTGGATCCCTACACCGAACAGCTCCGAAGGGTGCGTGCGAATTTGCAAATGCAACGGCAACAAAATCGACGAATGCCTGCGATTGCTGTGCTTCTCTCTAACCTCCTGCCTGCTGGGCAACACCCAGGAACTCCACGGTTCGGTCTTCGCCATCGAGTGCAACAAATGCAGCTGCTACGCCGGCGAGACGATCTGCAGCAGGAAGCAATGCGAGAGCACGAGCTTGAGCGGCAGGAATACCGGTTACACCACGTTACCGTGCAACTGCCCGCCGCATTACGTGCCGGTTTGCGGCCGCAACGGCGTCACTTACCCCTCTACCTGTCTGGCAAAGTAAGATTTGAGTTACCCCGAAAGCCATCGGGAGCTTACTAGTTGATTGTTTTAGGTGCGCGGACCTGCAAGACTCCGACATCGAATACTATCCGTGTCAAGATCCTTGTAAAACCAATACGTGTCCGGTAGGTCAGAAGTGCGTTCCCAATTCCCAAGTTTGCTTGACTCTTATGCACAAACCGTGCAAGCAGTACGAATGCAGTAAGTGTTTAATCGTGCGTTGGAATTTATAATTGCTAATATCGATTTGTTTTTGTACTAGTAAACGGGTCGTCGAATTGTTCGCATCTACCGTTGGACCCGGTTTGCGATGTGGATAACCAAGAGTACGAAAATTCCTGTCTTCTCGCCCATCATAATGCGAAATTGGCCTACAGAGGACCTTGTTTGCCTAAATGCAATTACAGATCGCAAGTTTGCGGGATCAATGGGAAGACTTACGTGTCAGAATGCGCTGCCATTGCTGATATGGTTTCCGTAGATTACCAAGGACCTTGCACAGCTATGGGATTAATCGGTAACGTTAAAGCGAAACAATGCCATGGGGTAAAGTGTCCTGAATTGAAAAATCCGAATTGCATAGGTAAATATTACGAAAAAAATCACAAATTTCGGTATTTTACTAGAGTATGTTCAACGAACAGGTATCACTCCTCCTGGTGCTTGTTGTCCAATATGCGGTGGAGCTCTTCGCCTGCTGTATTCAAGGAAACAAATCGACAGAGCGTTGTTTGTTATCCAAAGCCAAACCACCAAACCTCTAAACCTCTACTCAATGCTGAAGGCTCTAGAGCGGCAAATACAAGTAGCTCAATGCTCGCTTAAAGGCTACCTTACAGTGGAGCAGGACATTTTCGTAGCAGTACATAGTACTGAGAGGTAATACGCTGCTTTTATACCTAATATTACATATGTAAGTAAATTTATAATTGCAGGAAACCTTCAGAGGTGCAATTGGAAGCTTGCATAAGAGAAGCGGAGAAAATCGCGAGTCTAATTAACATCCAGAGTTCGAGGATAATCAGCGAATTGAGCCTCAGTTCTCTAACGGCTGCGACGATTGTTCACACGCAGGTTAGCTCTTCAGCAGGAGTTAATTTCGAGGCTTCAATGGCGGTTTTCGTGGTGTTGGTGTGCGTTAGGGTGTTGCGATGAATCAGTTTAGAGGATGTCGTTTCTTTAAGCAGTTACCAAAAAATATTTCGTGATTGATGGGAGAAGGAATTGCGGCCAAATTCGCCATTTTATTTCGATCCCGTCGAGGATCGAAATGCATGACAAATGTATCTGTGATAATTCGAATAGGTTAGCGGTTTTTTTTATTAGTTAGATTTAGAGTTTAATTTCTAATGGTGTACATAAAAAGGTAACCTCAGTAATTCTTGTGCCTTATTAATTATTAAGAGAAAATGATGGATGTTTAGTTGAGTTATTATTCCATTTTGTTACCAAAGAATTTGTTGAAAATAGGTGTGTCTGTACGAAATCACTTTCTACCCATGATACATTAACTGCATTTTAATTTTATATTTTTTTTAAATGGATTATATTTAATTGTTATTTGTTTACCGCATTCGCACTCTTTTAATATACGTAATTTTAAAACCATCAAATCTCAAGGATGTTACTGTTATTTGTTTGAATTATTGTTGTTTGAAATATGTTTTACCGATTGATTATTGTATATAATTTGACAATAAAAAATATACTTACATTGAGCATGCAATTTTAATTCTTTCCTCCTCTTCTACTTCAATCTACCAGATAAATAACTATTTTTTGCATTATACGCGAATAAGGTGAGATCGAAAACAAGAATCGATAAGCCAATCGATAAACGCGAACTGCCAAAATTGACGTTAATGACGTTTTATATGACAGAAGTTTAATAGAGGTGGGAATTGGTTTCTTGATGTAGAGGGGCAGTAACCACTGTTACAAAATAAGCGTTATTTTTCTCCTGATTACTCTACTCTCTTCGCTCTCTTACCGCTGCAAAAATCCATCAAACAGATGAAACTAATCAATCCAGTCAGCACAATGCTAATTAAAGGGATTAACAAAAAAAAAATAAAGTATTCCATTCCGGGAACGTTGGCGTTTCCATGGCCCGGTCGCTAATTGGCTGCACCTGAACGAAACACTCCGGACCCGATTGCCGTCTCCCGGAGGAATCCGTGGGCGATGTTTACGGCCCCCCGACGACGGGGCGAAGTTTGCGCCGTTAGAGTTCCCAAACCGAGCCGAACTCCGCTCAGTTTCGCAACCTCGCTAGTCCGCGGAGCTCCAGCCGACCGGTCGGCTCTAATTCGAGTTCTTCTATGAGAATATCGGCGGGCGAATTTTACCCGGTAAGTTGTGGAGTTTTTGCTAGAAGAAAGTTTCTTTTTTGCAAGTTTTTTTGCAAGTTTTCGAAACTGGTATAAATTATTTTGATACCTACCTATAAGCTTAAATTGTTATGGCTGTATTATTGTGGATTGGTTGATGGATTTTCCGGTAAACCAATTTTTCGCAAATGAATGTTTTCGTTTGTTAAATATTCATTGAACAATTTTCATTCGTTGTTGTTTTCGATAGGCGTTCGGTATTAAAACGCACGTAGCTAAAACGACCGTTTTCATGGGAAGTAATTTTAGATGGGAATTTCATTTCATTTCATTTCGAATAAATTGCGGTCTCGGTGAAATTAAACTTTTATCGATAACGATATTGTAAACGTAACGCGGTAAATTTAATGTTAATTAATAAAAACGGATATACCGATTCGTAATGGAAATACAAATCGTAACTTATCTGCGGTTGTATAACGACGTGCAAAGGAAAATCGAGCAATTTTCGCCTTCATAAAAACATTAATAGAGAAAAAGTAATTTTCTGTTACATATTGAGGGATAAAAATGTACTGTGGACGTGGAAAATCTGTGCCCACACGTGATGAATCGACCCGGTGAAATAACGTAATTAATATGATAATAACATGTCTGTCCATCAACGAGAGCCCTTCATATTTTCGCAATATTCACCCAACAAACGATCAAAACTACATGTTCCAATAAAACTCTTTCGTTCCGATAAATCTCCTCATAAAACGAACCAATTAATTTTCTGAATGTAATTCATCAAATTCTCTCCCGAAAGGACCCGGCATAACTGAGGTGAATAAAACAAAAATGATACAGAAACATCCCCTTGGAAACATTAATAACGCCCTGGAAAAATTACCGCTATATCTCTGCAGCCGAGTTTAATATTTTAATTACTTCCATGGCAATTTCGTAGTTTTAATAGCTTCCAATAATCAAGTTATATCACTTGGCAGGCTATTAAAACCGGAACAGTATTTTCATGAAATACCAAACCACGTAGTAATATACGAAAAACTCCAGAAGACAATAAACTATAACCAATAACAAGCTAATTAAATATTGATGTTAGAAAAAGCGATTTTTTGGTGCCTCGATAAATAAAATTATGTAATCGAATTCAAAATGGCCAATCGACTGTGTCCGATCCCGGTAATTTCCGCATAAAATAAATTTTATGGAATAACGTCCGTTACATATTCTACGAATCGAAGTAAAAGTAGTCTGAATTTTTATTTCGCACTATCCACGTTCCAATAACGAACCGAACGAAAATCTATTCGCGACTTTTTAAATCAGTTCTCACCGGAATTAATTATTTAATAGAACGATTTTTTAATGAAAAAATTTAGCCGCTCCGAATCGTGTTTTATATTTAATCTAATTTACTACAAAAGTTGTTTAATAGACATTTTTTAACATCTATAGATAGTGAATTAGTTTGCTGTTAAACTAGTGTTAATTAAACACTTGTTAAATTAGGGAAAATAAAACTAGTCTACGCATATGATTTCCATTACAAAGCCTAAGGCCGTTACTTTCTTTTTCACTGCTAATGTTGTAGCATACCCGAACCTTTGTGTGTATTAACCAAGCGAATGAATCTACTTAATAATCCCGTTAGACGGGCAGCATACGTGTGGCACATAAACATTATTTTTCACTGTAATGAGTTGCGAGATTAACCGCAGACAAATTGCACTAGTAATTGTCCTGTCTAAATCTGAATTAAGGTCTCCCGGGCACGTCGTTCGTTATTCACGATTTTGATAGTTTATACAGGATGAATTTTGCATCAGGTTAAATGCATATTGAAATTGTCTTGCACCATGTGTTGTACGGAAACCGCCGAAAATATTTGCGTTTAAGTAGGTTAAATCATCATCGGAATGAAAATAATAAACGTGTATGTGAATATCGACGAATGTGCAGGCACCTACTTACACCAAACAGAGCATATGGCGCGAGAAAACGGTTAATTACAAGAAAACCTTTTCGCTTTTACTGCATTTAAAGCACCTACACCTAATTTGAATACCCCAATAATCGCCGTTTGTTTTTTTATAACAGTTTAACTCGGTTTTCCGTCGCCATCGGAACCTATCGACGCATAATTAATTTTAATTATGTCCTCGTCACAAAATCCGATCGCCTAGATTAAAAACCGACCGCAAAAATTACGTAGTTTTCTTGCGCAACCTCGAAAATCAATTGGGTAGCCTTTGTGTAAATTCGGCCGAAGAATTTCCGCCGGTCCGTCGAGCGCAAAACGGCGCGCTCCGCAAAAAGTTTCTATTTTTTTTATTCTAATTACCTCGATGATTTGCTTTTCGTGAATTATAAATATCCGCCGATTATCTCGATTATAATAGAAAGCCGAACCGAGGAAATTGCTCGGCTAAAAAGCTCCAGCTTTGGAGAGTATTTCGAATTTTAAAATCTTCAAATTAATAGAAGTAGCACTATCTCAGATGCTTTACGATTATTGCGAAAATCCGTTAGAGCGCTGCCATAAAATGGCCGTTAACAAATGAACGATTCATCCCGTCGGGCGACGATCTCGAAATTGTAAAAGGAAATGAAGAACAAATCGAGATTTTTAATTAATTAGAACTTTTTATAGCCTTGTACGAGTTCATCTACTAACTTCAATGCTCGTTGTTTTATTTGTGTTTAATTCTTTAGCGAGCTTGTAGATAGATTAGTTCATATTCAATAACATGGTGTCTTCAATAACAGATTTGTTTTTGGGTAGAAAAAATTTGTTTTTGTGGCAAAAACCAAGCAAATTTAATTTATCAAGTATCGGGGTTGTTGGGCAAAGGTTGAAATAATATGGTGATGGTTTTTATCTCAAAAAAAGTCCCCATCGATATACAAATTGCCCTATTTTTCTACACGAAAACACCTCGGTTTCTACTCCACTATTCTGTACTCTACTCTATACTCTAATTCTCCCTTTAGATCTCCTTTTAAATCTCCTCCTTCAATGTGACGCCCTGTATGTTAGCAAATAAAATTGAAAACTTGTAACCTGCAAGATACAGCAAGATTTACGGCTTGTAGTGTAAACTGGACATGTTTACCACCGCGTACGATAAGGGATGTACAAACGAAGAAAATCATTCCAGCGGCGCATGAAGAAAAATACCTTCTTCAGCGAGGCGAATCGCCACCTCTGCACGATCGCCGGTCGTGCTCGCAGAAAACCTACATCCTTATAACAGACAGCCGACCGGAGGAAACCGCCTCATTCGTCGGCGACAGGCCGTAAAAGATCTAACGAGAAACCGTCTAAATAGAAAGACCGGAGAGGAGAAAAAAAAGTAGCAACGACCTGGGAAAAAGTGCGGCGAATTATCCAACGGGTGTATATCGATGGAGTGCGGTCCGTGAAAGCGACAGTAGCTGGTAAAAATCGACGGGCCGGAGTTCAGTTTCAGTCGGTGGTCGTCTTCTGCTGGACATCGGGACACTCTGGGCGATAGCTGGTGCCAGTCGAAACCGGTCAGGAGCCGCTGGTCGATCGGACGTGAAAGTGAATTGTGAGTTCGACGTGCGTCTAGTGGAATTTTAATTTTACTTATTGCGTTTTGTCGCAACGGGTTTTTATTCGAGGTTGATTGTTGTATTGTTAGCTGATGGCGATTTAACCGATTAACCGGGTTCGGTTTGTTTGTTTGACGGCTTTTTCCGGGTCGGGGGATGCGAATATGAAAACGCGATTTATTCGTAATAATAAAAGTTTTCAGTGGGTTCGTATACTTGGGCGAAAATCCGGATTAACTTCAATAGAGAATTTTATTCCGAGTCGAAGTTTTCATACGAGGAAAATCGAGGAAAACACGTCGAAAATATTCTCCCTCGAGGAAACAACCTTGATATTTATGTATTATAGCAGGTGCGCGGTGTGTTGACAAATAACGCGAAATTTCTCATTCGCTAGTTTCGAATGCAATTATTTTTTTACAACAACTTTTTCGTCGCGCGTTTTTAAATTTTTGTTCCTAACGCGAACACTTTCTTTCTTCCATATCGAACAAACTATAAAAATTCCAATTTGTAGCGTTTCTACGCGTTTTAAACGACTTATTTGCATTTTGACTGAGAAACTCATTACGCAAAAGCGACCCTCGAAAGAGCGCTCGATATAATATTTTGAGTTAATTCATAGCCCACTGACAATACGCTCTAATCAAAAGCTCCTTCACGTGACAGCGATTTCGCAAAATAGAATTATTTCACGACCGCGAAATAACATGTTATTTAAACGCCTACGAGTAAACTCTCGCGAGATTACCATCTTCGTCAATCGCGAATCGAGACATCGGCTGTAGAAAAATCCCGGCAAAAGCATCGTAAAAATAAAGAGGAAACGTATATGAATACACAAATACGGAACGGTAAATATCTGAAAATTGTAGGTCATACCTCCGAGCCATCTAAGTTTTACTTTTAACCGTAGGAAAGCTGGCGTTTTATAACTTTAGATCCGCGTGTTTAATGTCGAATGCTTCACCTGCGAGCCGCTAACAGGGTGTGGTCTCGTTCGCCCCGTTCGCAAAAGCGAATGAGAGAGGAAAGTTTCGTGTTGTGGTACAAATAATTCATCTCGGCTATTTGCTTAGTTTCCATTCTTGCGGTTTGCACCTCTCGATTCAAAACGGACTCGCCGTTTACTCGAGTGCGTATCTAATTATTGTTTTCGTCGGAATTAGCTTTCACTGAATCGCAGAAACATCTCGTTGATGCGCGTTTAAACTCGATTGCTTGCGCATTTTTTAATGCACCGCTGACCGTCGACAACAATCGCGATGCAATGTTTACCATCTCGTGAGAATCGAGGATTGTTTTGCTCGTTGTTTTATTTTTTTTTTCATGCTCTACATAACTAAAGATTTTGTTTACTCGCTGGTATACTCGAATAAAAACCTTATGCGAAAATTCTTGCTATTAAATTGACCAGTTATTTTGTTTCAGCGATTTAAGTGTACCTACTCGGCAATAATGGCAACTCTAGTAGAGTAAACTTCGGTATAAATTACCTTACAATGGGTTTACATTTAGCCCCTCAAACTGTGATCTGTTCTTGTTTTAATAATCGCCTGCAACGAGCTTATTAAAATGAAGCATTTAGTATTATTAATTAGTTTAGTCGCAATAAATTGTGCAATACGAGTACCAAATAATTGGCATGATATTTATCCTACTGCGGTAACGGTGAGAGCCTACAAGGAATTCAAGCCGCGACGAAGCAGCGTGGGGAGGCAGTATTACTACAAAAATCCGCAAAGATTCGCCGATATTTCCAATACGGGATGGAAACCGGCGGTGTCGAATTTAAACCCTGTTAAATCCAAACAAATCAAACCGAAGTTTTACAAAAAACCACTAGACGGAAACCGATTTAATCGATTAAACGCAGTACCGTACATAACGTACAAAAGAACAGCGAATTCTCCTTTATTCATAACACCCGAAAGTATATCGTCGAAAGCTTATCCGAACATCCAGAAGAAACCTTCGAAAATCATCCAGAAGAAGCCCAACTACACAACCTTCGATCACGCCAATAATGTACCGTTCAACTACCCATCGAAACAACAACAACACTTCGATAATTTCCACCGCCCGCTCTCCCATCATCAATCGTACGAGCCGAACAAAAATATCGTCAATTATTTCCAAGCCGTGAAAAGCGACAGCTTCCTGCCCGACGATAAATTAATAACCTACACGAACGCGGAAATCAACGATAACACAAACAGCTTCACCGCCTACGACGCGCCCCGGGATAATCAAATCGACAGCCACTCGCCGAGCTACATCAGCCATCTGCAGAAAAACTATCGAGACGACGCGAACTTCGAGCCCGAGCAGGAAGACAAACATTACGTTAAAGAAGAAGATCCGAAATTCGAGAGGAACGAAGCGCCGCCACATCCAGTCAGCTCGCACGAAATCCCGAAAGAAATCCCAACTAAACCGATCTACCCGGGTAAAGGGCTGTGGGCGCGACCCGGCCTGAAGCACAAACCCTTCGTGAGCCAGCAAACTTACGAAGAACTCAAAGACGATGGTCCTACTCCCGAAGGTTACGACACCTTCATAGAAGGTCAACAAGTCTTCGAAAGGACCGGCGATAAATTAACGCAACCGTTTAGAGCGTTTCCAGCGCAACAAGAAATCGGTACGTTCATAAACCAACACTCCATCAAAGACACCAACGAGGACACGTCCGAGAATCTTCAAAATCAAGAGGAAGAGAGCGAAGAAGTCGAGGAATTCGTCCCGACGAAACTCTACGCTCAAGTCAGAGCCAGCGAGAATACCGAGTACCTTCCAATGGAGGAAGCTGAGGACGGTGTACTGCGCGAGGCCATCAACGAATCTAAAATTCATACGATATACACGGAAGAAGGGTACGAGGACAGCGCCTACGATCACGCCGGGCACGAGAAGGAGGCCGAAAACGACGAGGGTTTCGAGGATTTGCAGCGCGAGAAGCAGCAGAAGACCGAGAAAAGGGTACCAGAAGCTAAATACCGGCTGTTGCCGCCGAGTTTGCACCGCACGAAGTTCTCCTACGGTGGAAATCTACTCACCGATGAGGAGATCGCGGATATAAAGCAGAAGCAGCTGGGTTTGGGCGACAGCGATGCGGAAGGCACGCACTTCGAGGATTTGCCGTTGGAAGAAGACGTTGAGGAAAATGAAGAAATCGATGAAATAAGCGAAGAATCGACGGAGCCTCCCAAACTGCCTAAGAGAAACAACAATTTTATCAGTACAAAGGAAACGAAAACGATGACAACGAAAGAAAACAACGAAGGTGATACTGAAACCGAAATATCCAGCAAAGTGAAGATAATTTTACAACCCAACAACAGCACAGAATCTAAAAAATATGAGAAAGTATTTCCCAAAATTTATAAAACTATTAAGAGAAAGAAGCAAAAAATCGAAGGCGAAGCAAGTAATGAAGAAACCGATAACAATAAAAATGGAATTTACATCGAAGAAATTACAACAACCACTGAATATCCAACAACAGAGTATCAAGATTTGCCTGAAGAAATCCCCATTACGACTGTACCTACCACAGCTATACCCAAGCCGGTACACATCCCAAACGAAGAAGCTTTAGAAGACATCAACAAAGCCTTTCAGAAGATTAACAGAAGAAATAAACGAAGCACCGACGACAAGAAAACGAAATATCCATATTACGATGACTACAAATCGATGGGACTAAATGTAGATTCACCGTTGAGATACTCCGAAGATATGAAGCAAATACCTCGTAAATTAGGCAAGAAAATGGTGTTCTACGAACAAGCGGAGAAAAGAGTACCTTGTCCTGATATAGATACTTCACTCAATCCAATACCAGATAGAATTCAAAACGTCGAGAAGAAAGTTAACGAAAAAAATCAAATCAATATTAACCATGATAGTGATGACAATGATGATTCAAATGGAGATGATAATGATGATGACAAAGAAGAAGAAGAAGTAGAAGAGGTGAGTGGTAGTGAAGAATCGGTTAAAAATAGGAGGAAACGAGATGCAGATGACGATTCTCATTCGCCGAGAATAGCCGGTTTGGGAAACAAAATCGACTGTCTAAAAGTTCGATATTTCGGCGAGAATCCTCTAGACAGTCCCATATTTGATGAAATTACCGTTGGAACGGTCGAACCTATTTTCAAACCTTTGAAAACTGTTAAATTAAAAGATAAGCTTATTAAAAAAGAACCAAATAATCAACTCAAAAAGGATATTCAACCAAAGAAGGATATTCAGCCCGTATTAATTAACGCGACAAAAGACAACGCTGTTTCCACAGTATCTACAATCAGTTTATTAACAACTCCTGATTATACAATCGAATTGAAACCCAAACACATTTACGATCAAATCGAATTATTGGAACATCTACCCAATCACAGAGAAAGCGTCAACACCAACAAATCATCCACTAATCAAAAGGAACTAAGTTTTACTTCACGACAAGACAAATCGATAGACGAAGATAACATCGCTTACGAATCCACCGACAACCACCCGAAACTTCCAGAAGCCGAAGAACTAAGAAGGCGAAGAAAAATCAGAAGAAAAAGACCGTTGTATCAAATTTTCGACGTCAACAAATACCTACCCACGACACCTCCTCCAATTTTACAACCGATAACTCCTTATCCCCAACTAACTCCTTTAGTTAACACTAAACTTCCAGTACCAAAAGCGACCAAACTTCAAATATTCGACGTTAACAAATTCATTCCGACCACACCGTCGATTATCCGGGAAATAATAACATCCAGCACGGTGTTGCCCAAATACAAAGTCCTCAGCGAAGTGTTCTACAAGGACGACATAAAACCCAACGAGCAACTGAACGTGTTCACCGACATCCTAAACAACATCAAAAATTCATCGCAAATTCAAAACGATACACTCGACGAACCGTCAGAGCCGGTCTCCGTCAAACTGAACTCCCAAAATCGCTTTCGATACGAAGACTTGAAGAAGCCATCTCCCGCTCACCAGCACGATTCCTATTTGCAGGCTTACGGTGATCAGGAGATCGATCAGAATTATTTATCGCCTGTAGCAACCACCACTAGTACCACCACGTTAAGGCCCACCACTTACAGACGCACCAGGTACAAGGTGAAGAAGACGCCGGAGCGTTCGGAAAGCGCCGATAGAGATTTCCAGCAGCAGCTCAAGCTGTACGTCGCTCTTCAGGAGAGTAAGAAGAAAGAAAAGGAACAGCAGAGTTCTACTGCGAACGATTTTGGTTACACGATTCCGGTGAACGAAGATACGAATGATTACGTGGAGAAGACTACTAAAGTGGTGGGTTTATTACCGCCTGGAAGTGTTCGTTATAAAACCATTTACCATCCGAAGCGCGATAATAATCAGCAGATCGCCTCTCCCAATCTGATAAAAAGGAAAATGAACAAATTCTTCGTTGTGGGGTTAAAGCCGCCTCCTCATCAAAAGCAACTCACCTACTTGGATTATTTGAATAAAAACAACGGTAGGAAGTCAACGTTGCGAAGAGGTAGAAGAAGCGCAAATAGAGGCTCTTATGCTTCGTTTTCGAGAAATAGAGGCGACTCTCAGGAAGCTACTGCTGTGGAAGATGACGATGATTACAAGCCGCACAGATCGAAGAATTACTATTACGATGAAAAGACCGGTAAAATTATCTACGCTTCAACCAAAAAACCGGATAACGAAGAGTACGTGGATTACGAGGAAATCACGGAAGAACTTCCAGCGCCTCCGTCGACCTCCAAGCCACTTCAAGATCCTGTCTTCGCTACCGCTACTCCACCACCGGAGGGTAAAGGGTACGTGGATTATGTTTTAAAATTGAAACAACACCCGAATTACCAGTACATACCGGATCCTACTACAACCGAAAAAGGACTGGAGCCTCCTACGCAAAAGACAACAACAACGGTGAAACCCCAATCTACTACTCCACCGGAATTTCTCAATATCCTTGCTAAAGTGCGACAGAATTCCGAATACAAACTTATCGGAGACAAAAAAGAGAAAACAACTCCAACACCTGATGATACGTCCATCGAAGAAGATGAAGATGTTCCTTTAGAAAACGTGCAAAATTCCCCTGGAAGACACAACTTAGATACCAATGAATATTTTGGTATATTCGACGTTACAGATTTCATACCTAAAATAAAAAATTACTTACCGAAAACTTCATACGACACTTCTAAGTATAAAACCATCGAAAGACCTACTACACAAAAGAGCGATGAAGATGAAGATGATGATGAAGATAAAGTTGAAACAAGTTCAACCACACAGGCAACAATTCAAACGACTACAACGCAAAAATCCTTCGTTATAATAACCGAAGAAATCCCAAATCGAGACACCATAACCAAGCAATCGGAAGAACGACCGGTTACAGTGAGAAGAAGACGTCCAACTACCACTAGAACAACCAGTACAACACAAAAGCCTACAACAAAAGCGCCTATTTTGAGAAGAAGACCAACCATTTTGCGTAGCACTAAAACAACTACCCCCCTCACAACTACAGAAACTGTAAGAAGAACGTTTCGCAGAAGACCTACAACTCAGAGGACACCGATAGGGGAGCTCTCGAATTACGAACAAAACAACACAGCAAAAGTATTAAGAAGACGATCGGAACAAACAACAACAACAGAACCAACGAGCACTACCCGCAAGACTAACAATTTCATCGAAACGTTTAAAAAATTCCACAGAAACAAGAAGCACCAGAATGCGCCTGAACAAGCCAAAAAGAGCAAAGAACCCGTTAACAAAGACGTCGAAATAATCGCGGAGTACGATAAAACCAAACGACATGGAGGTAATTACAGAAGCATCGAAGATATTGAAGAACTAATGGAAGAAGAAAACGCTGAAGACGATTCCAAAGGAAATCCGAACTCGAATTCCCTAAGGATCAGTCTATTGCCTAGCAAAGAGGACGCAGAAGAAAACAATGAAGATTCGTTAGAAGGAAGATCTTTACCGACGAAGAAGATTGTTAAGAAGAAAGGGAAATACGTAACAGAGTCCAGTGTGGAAAGACTGACCGATGTTGTACCGAAACCTGAAATGTTTTACACTGATCCCACTCTCCCTAGATCAATAAATATGCTAATTAATGACGATGATTTGTCCAGTACTGAGATACAGGACATCCTAAGCAGCACCGATTCGAGCGAGGCTACTGCAAACAAACAAGTAAACAATAATAGTAAAAAACCTGTTATTATAAAAGATCCTAGTAAGAGATTGTATTTTTACGCTCCAGTTTAACTGTTGTAAATAAATTTTTATATACCTAAATCCCGTAATAAAATTATTTGTTAATTTGCTGTTTGTTTTCCATCCAATATCCAATATAAAACGAAATGAAACGAACAATAAAATTTTACGTCCAAGAGCGCTGACACGATGAAAATCAAACGGATTTACTTTTTGAATAAATCCAATAATTCATTTTTTGCACGTGTTTGATCGTCAAACAGACTAATGAAAGAGATGAAATATGAGGTACAAATATCACAAATTGGCGAGATTTGGGAGATTCTATTATAAAAAAAATTACGATAAATCTCTAGGTAAATTATGTTGCCTAAGCTTAAGTAACGCAGGCTTGAAAAAAATAACGTAGAAAGTTTTCACATTCACGCATTCTGCTGCAAATTTTATCACATTTAACGATCAGGTAGATGCGGTAGTTTAAGTGTCACCTTTGAGCAGCCATTACGTACTCTAGACAGGCACACATTAAGTTCCTCCTTGATTGTAACATGGAATATTAATAGGTTGTTTAGCAGGAATGTTTGAACTTTATCAAAGATATTAACCCACCGAACTCGGCGGGAGCGCTCCGCATTCTCAACGATCTAACGAAATAATTGACGCGAGGTTAAAGAGATTCGACGAGCTCCACCGTCTGGAGCTCCCTGCTTAACTCCAACAAAAGACAATGCTCGTGGAGTTCACAAGTTGTCGAATTGTGGAGAACCTTCGAACTCCCGTATGCAAATTGATGGAGTAATTAATTAGGTAGGCAATTACGAAGAAAAAATCCCTCGTTCCGCGTAATTTATGCGAGTAATCTCGTCGAGCTCGAACCGAACCTGTTCGTTAAGAGAGTAAACCCGAACGCTCTATCCTAAAGATTTTACGACTCGTATAAATCTTGCAGAGTTTATCTTTGCTCCAGCTTGAAGAACAATAGAACAAAGTGTACTTGGAAAGGTCAAGACCCGTTGACCCCCGGGTCCCTACGCAGCGGATTTTTTAGAGAAAGTTTACTTGTATCGCTTTATTTTCCATTATCTCGATCGATATAACTTTATTTCCAACAACAATACAGCATTCTGGCGAAGAAAGTAAATTCGTGATCCAATCCGGAATAAAGCCTCGCGCTTATCCCCGGCTAATCGATTGTTTGGAACTCATTACTGTGTTTTTTTTTTAGTGAAATTCCAAATTATGATGATCTTCGGCGCGCCTGCCGCGGTGAGCAAGGATTTCTGGAAAAGGGAATTGCTGGTGTCCTCTTGGCAAGGCGATCGTCGGAATGCGGTGAGGTTTTTCAGATCGTCGCCGAGTCCTTACAGGATCCTGTTCGACGAGAGCGAAGGGGCGCCCGCGAAAGAGGAACCTCTGGTGCAGGAGCGCCAGAATTCCGACGCGAGGAAACGTAAGTTTTTACCGACATATTAATTAATTCCACGGTTAATTCAATTATCTCGATCGTCCACAGGTTGTTAAAAGCGTAAATATAAATTGCCGGTAAAGTTTACATTGTTAATTTCTCCTGAAAGCTATATCGTAGTCTTCAAAACGTGCTGTCGAATGCATTTGGGATTTATTATTTTCATGTTTTATCTCCTTTACGTTGTGAAACGAAAAAAAGAAACCAATTTTTTATTATCTTGCCTCGCTCATTGCATAAGTAATTTACATTACGTTTGCCTCAGGGAATTTTTATTCACCTGTTTACGACGTATTTAGGGCAAGAATGGATAATACATTAAATCTTATAACCAGGAAAAATCTCATTTTCTATTTCGTAAATATTATATGAGCATGATAAATAAATGATCGATCAAGGAGGGCTCCAAGGTCGATTTTTGCGTTGGCATTCTTGCAGATGTAACCAATAAAATATAGTCGGATTTTATTGAATGCGAATACAAACACTGAAATACGCTTATTCAATTTCGTTTTATGGTCTAAACAGAAAATATTGCCGAAAGCGCCGCCGGAGGCGTCGTAATATATGCATTAAGATCTCCGATCATTTATTTCTCCCGCTATTTATTGCCGGATCAAATATTCAAATTCTAATCACATTACCGTGCACATTCAACGAGGGTGTGCCAACACAAAGTAAAGCCCGATAAGGAAGCTAATTAGGTAGATAAGAGAACAAAAATCCGAGCCATTAGAATGCAAAGCCGACTTTCCTTTAACTACACGTTTCTTTTTCTCGTCGCAACGAAGTTATTGACCCAAATATAATGGAATAATGGAATTCCCTCATATCTTTCGAGATGAACCTGTCACATCCGAGACGATCCTGCTTTATATCCATTAAGCTCCATTACATCTCCACCAGTAACGAGTAAGGCAAAAGAACAGAACGTTTTGACAGTGAAAAAAACCGCCGGTATTTTTCACAAAGCAAACGAGATTTACACGTCGAGAGGTACAATCAAACGACGGATCGTCTTGTTGATTTCCATCGAATCAAAACTGCTTAATTAACCGAAAGTTTCGACGGCGTCTAATCTAATTTTCCAGACCTGCTGTACCCGTATTCATTAGCGCTGGGCGCCGCCTGCGGTCTGCTGATCCTCACCGTTCTGATACTGTACGTTTTCCTGCGGAGGAACAGGAGCAAATGCGACGAAGGGGAGAAGCGCGCCTTGTCGAGCGTGCTCGTTTACCCGACCCAGCAGACCGGCTCGCCGCCTCAATTTTTGTAAGTTAATACTCTGCCCATCTTCGCCCGTTTCGATTATTTATTTTACCAGCTTTTCAAGCGGTTTTATTGTTTGTCGTACTTATATAGGTCCGATGGATTACAGAAAAACTTCTTCTTTTAATTCCTTCATTCAAATTCAATTCACTGAATCCTCTTGTAGATGCTCGAAGGAATCAGTTCGTAACGAATGCACTATTAATTTTATTTTTAGATGCAGAAGTCGAATGGGAATTGATGGAAACGGTAGTAAACTTTATGCATTTCAAGCGAGTACAACAAAAAGTGCTATATCCAGGTCTTTTAAGAATAAAGTAAATAAACTTGTGAATAGAATCTCTTTGCACAAATCCAAGGAAATCCTCTTTATTTCTCTTTTACGATTTCTCAAAAGAATCGTGCTATTCCACCTACCTGCAATCGAACGTTTGTTATCTTCCAGGACGAAGGAAATCAACTTCAGCCTGCCGCCGTTGAGGAGTACTTCGCTGGGGGACTTGGTGCTATCGGCGGAGGACATCCACGGCGACGGGGAGGGCGGCAGCGAGGCGCTGCTGCTGCCGCCCGTGGGGCAGAACGTTCGATCCAATTCGTTCAGTACGTGAGAGGCGGCGTTTTTTTTATTAATTCGAACGGGCCCGTTCCCGCTCCCGTTCCCGTCGAGCGCTCTCCGACCGAAAATTTTATCGGTTCGGAGTTTTCCACGAAGCGCTCGGCGGTTTCGGGGGAGGAATCGAATTTTTCTTAACGTATCCAATTTATCCGAAAGTAATTATCGGGGAAACCAATTACTTGTTTTTTGTTCTACACGAATTAATCTTTTTTTTTTGGGAAGAAAAAAACTTGTTTATCCGCCACACACACGATCCTATACACTTTTTATGTTATTGGATCATCCCACAATTTATTAAAAATTACTTGTGAAAATGTACACAGGTTGTTATGGATTGGGGGTGATCGAGCCGGCTTTGTACAAGAGCACTCTGGATTTGGACGAGATACAATGGCCAGATGGTCATATAGGGAGAATATGGTTTTCATTGAGGTACGAACCATCCACTGAAAAATTGCTGGTGTCTTTGCTGAAAGCCAAAAACTTACCATCCAGGACCATCGGAACTGTGAATAGCTGCGACCCCTTCGTAAGGTATAATAAATTTTCGATTATATCACCAAATTCTAACCATAATCAATCATAGATTGCAGTTACTACCGGATGAAAGAAGATACCTCCAGTCTAGACAGAAGAAGAAAACTTGCAATCCGTACTTCGACGAAACTCTAGTGTTCCAGGTAAGAAATTTTAACTAAAATCTATACCCAGTAAACAGTACTTTAAATTATCATAGGTATCAGCAAAAGACATGGCAGATCACACCCTCAAATTAACCGTGATTGATGGAGGTCGCACGAAGAAGAAATCGGAAATCGGCCACATTACTTTCCCTCTAAAGGACCTGGAAATCGGCGACGGACTCGAACAGGAACTCTTCAAAATGGATCTGGAGAAGGTACAAAATATCTCTATAAGGAACTGATTCATTACGCGCCCGTTCTCAATCGACTCATTATAAGCAAATAAATTCCAGCCAGTCTTCCGTATCGAAACGGCTCGTTATTTAATAGCGTATATTTGACTAAACGCCGACAAAATCGCGAGGTGAAAGTAAATTCTGCAGGTTAGATAGGCTGGTCGAGGAAATTTTTTGCGTTACAGTTCACGCTATTTCTTGATCGATATAAGTAACCGACGATACGTTTATATAACGCCATATTATTGGAGTTTTTGTATAATTTTCAGGAAGCTCCGGAATACAAGACTGATCTAGGAGAGCTGCTAATTTCCTTGGTTTACAACGAAAATTTATGCAGACTTACAGCCACTGTAATAGAAGCCAGACGACTCAAAGTGAGTACAATTTATCTCGGTAATTATTTAGTTCGATGATTATAAGAAAACTGTTTACGATCGGCAACTTTTAAACTTTAAACTACAGCAGTATCGGAACTTATACTTAGCGGTTGACTAATTGAAAATTTACCACGAAACGTATACTTATTGCGAAACGAAACCCCTGAATAAATAAAGCGTTCGGAAAAGTTTAGCCCCCGCGCGGCTCCCGCGCGCGCTCGAGCCCTCCCTGTCGGTTCCGTATACTTCGGAAATCTCGCCGGCGAGCGGTCATTTCTCGCGCGACCGTCTCGAAATGGCGAAGATAGAAAGTGAAAACGGCCGCGTCGATGTCAACATGAACGGCGACGCCTGGGAGAATGTCATCGACATCGAGGAAGAGAGCGCGCCCAAATCGGCCGAAGCCGTCGTGGAGGCGGCCCGGAAGGTTTTCGCTTCCGGGAAAACGCGCCCGATCGACTTTCGGAAGGACCAGCTGAAGAAGTTTTTGACCTTTCTGGAGGATGAGAAGGAGGGCATGGTGAAGGCGGTGCATAAGGTAAGTACCTATATGGGATATTTGCTTGGAATTTATTATGTTATGAACGTTTTTGATTGTTAGTATACAGGGTTTTTCAATGTAGAGTGGTCCATTGGAGTTCCTAAAGTGTTTAGAGTTTAGGAGTAGGTGTGGTAATTTTTCCAAAAAGTTTGTTTATTTCATAAACGACTGGATTTGAGTATAGGGAATACTTACATGGATCGAAAGGACTTGAAAATACCTACTACCTACTGTCTTAAAACATGGGGTTATTCATTTGAAATAACAAAGTTATGGCCAGTTTAAGTTAGTCAGATAATTAAACGCCCTTGATATGAACTATGAAAACTAATTTAGTTTCATTTAGTACTGTATCTAGACATTAGCGATACAAATTTTATACTTCCAGGTGAATTATTACCCTTTATGAAAAACCATATATACATATTGTCCTAAAACTAACGAGGCAATGAGGTAAAAATCTTCTTATATGATTTCGTCACCAACAATTCGGTATTTCTTGAAACTAGAGTATTAAACTTGTAGGGTTATTATCTAAAAATTTTTTTTCAATTCAACTTCCATAAATTATTTTTTAATTTATTTTACTCTTACTTAGTATCTAATTAGACCAAATTTCCGATGTAGATACTTCAATTCGCATTAATAATTTACGATAGTTTAGCTTGAATTTAATTACATTAATAATTAAATAAAATAATTTATTTCGTATATATGAATTAATAAGTGCGTATCGATTTCGGCTCGATCTCAAAAGAAAATTTGGTATTCTAAAAAAAATAGGACAGCGAAATCGGAACGAATTGATTAAATATTCAACCGAGTTTCACTAGGAAGAAACTTTACCTCGAAAATTACACGTACCGAGCCTATTATTCCGACAATTCGGACAATATGTATAAAATCTAAAACACGGGGAGTCATCGACCGGATTTTCACGCCCACCATCGAATTTCACACTGAACACAGAGCTTTTTATTCAGGACCTGCGGAAGCACCGGCAGGAATCCGAAACCTGCGAAATCGAATTGGTCGCCAACGACCTGCGACATACGCTGTTAGAATTGAAAAAATGGTCGAAACCGAAATGCCCCGAAAAAAGGGTGGTCAATTTGCTGGACGGGGTCTACATTTACAACGATCCCTACGGGGTGGTTTTGATTATTGGCGCTTGGAATTACCCGATATTATTATCTCTCGGTCCGATGATTGGTAAGTTTAAGTTCGCACATGAATCGATAATCTAGTTATACTTGCACCTATTCAGTTAATTTCCCGTTCGATCGAATTAATTACTTACTCAAACTTATTTCTAGTCGAGACTAATTTTTATTTATGAAATATTCAAGATAAATAACAGCAATCAATAAAGCCATTCCCAATCCTACTTAACAGGAATAATTGAATAGAAATATTAACGTGGACGTCTGACGTGGATTTCTTTTCGTTTTCTTTGCATAAATCAAACTAATTCACGAAATTTCCGTAGGAGCTATAGCAGCTGGCAACGCCGTAATTTTGAAGCCATCGGAATTGTCTCCTCACACGGCTCATTTTCTAGCCACCGTATTAACCAAATACTTAGACAAAGAGACTTTCCAGGTATACTTAGGAGGAATAGAGGAAACCACCGAATTGCTAGAATTTAAATTCGATTATATTTTCTTCACCGGTTCCACGCAAGTAGGAAAAATCATTCACCAAGCCGCCGCTAAAAATCTAACACCTTGTACGTTAGAATTGGGTAAGTATTGATTATTAACAATGTTTGTACGATTGTTAATAAATGTTTATACCAGGCGGTAAGAGTCCCGTGTTCCTGGACGAATCCGCGGACATGGAGAAAGCCACCAAGCGGATCCTCTGGGGCAAGCTCCTCAACAGCGGCCAAACCTGCGTAGCCCCCGACTACGTCCTCTGCACCAAAGCCACCGAGAAGGTTTTCCTGCAGCACGCCACCAAAATCCTCACCGAATTCTACGGCGCCGATCCGAGGAACTCGACCTACCTCAGCCGCATCGTCACCGAGCGCCACTTCAAGCGCCTGGTGGAGTTCATCAAGCCGGAGCACGTGGCCGTCGGCGGGAAATTCGACGCCGAGACGCGCGTCATCGCGCCCACCATCCTCGTCGACGTCGATCCCGACGATCCCGTCCTGCGCGAGGAGATCTTCGGGCCGATCATGCCGGTGATCAACGTGAAGGACCACAAGGAGGCCATCGAGTTCATCAACGCGCGGGAGAAGCCGCTGGCGCTGTACGTCTTCACCAAAGACAAGGAGGTCAGGAACGCCATGCTGGCGGAGACTTCCTCGGGGGGCGCTGTGGTCAACGATACGGTGACTCATCTCATCACCGAGAACCTGCCGTTCGGGGGCGTCGGTTTCAGCGGGATGGGATCATATCACGGGAAGCATGGCTATGATACCTTCTCTCACCAGAAGGCGGTGCTGGTGAAGGACTTCACGGGGTTCACCGAGCTGTCTTTGTCGCTGCGCTATCCGCCCTACAACGACGCCAAGACGGCCATCATGAATTTCGCTTTGAAGAAGAGACGGGGAGTGCCGATGGGGTTGGTGAAGAACGCGGGGATTTTCACCGCTGGTTTAACGTTTTCGTATTTCTCGCATTTCTTGTGGTGTTTGATAGCCGGATGCAAATATTAATTTTTATGTTAGTTTTTAGCTTTTTGTTGCCTTTAATATTTATGTTAGTGGAGCACTGGGAGTGTTTATTCACCTTAATAATAATTTAGCTCATATCTATGTGGCATATTAGTGTGTAATTACGGAGCATTATTTTTTATCGTTTACGTAATTTGGTTTAAATCTTATCGTGGATAAGAGAACGTGGTGATTTATACATATGTATTTGGGTTTTAATTTTTTTTTTCAATTTAAACTAATCAGGTACTTACCACCACTTTGCACATTACAAAATGAACAATTTTATCTACCTAGAATGAGTAGGTAAGTATACACTGCTGTGATAATTTATTTACATATTTTTGAGCACATTTTATATTAGGTATATTTTTTATTATTAATAAATCTTCAAACGAGCTAATTTATACTTTCAATTAAATCGTTGTATTTCTGAGTTTGTTTAATAAACAATTCAAACGAAGTAATGGTTTTAAAATTGCCCCTTTTAGAGTAGCTGAAAAAACATTGCGCTTTCGGTATTAATGGTTTTGTGATTAATTTCGTTGCAAGGTATGCAAATTAAACATTTGAATTTTTACCAACACACATTTTTGAAGCGGCAAATAAAACGATGTTTATAAAACTGATTAATTGATGGGACGGGAATAACTTGTTTTGGTCGGCCTTCGACCAAAACAACCATGAAATAAGACGAAAATGTTGAATTACAAGTGTATTAAAAACTATCACAACCATATAAACTTACTAATTTTTTTATATCCTTATTTGTCTTCTACGTAATGATAAATATAATAAGCCGATACTGCTGTTATTATGCCTAAAGTGTATGTCAGAACATGTCCAATAAACTTCGTGGGTAATCCCATGTTATGCCTGAAAAATAAAACTGATATATTTTTCAACCTCTAAAAAATCTATAAAAATTAATATTTATTATTATCACCGTGTTTCTTCTCGTAAAATATTCACTAAGCATTCCTATCGATTACTTACAATATCGCTGTTTTGAGGAATTTCGTGTTAAACTCCTTGTACGGAGGATATTTCACCGATTCGATTTTTTCACCTAAAATATTATAAGATCTCGACAACACAGATTTCTTATGAACGAATGTATCGAAGGAAGCTCTGTCTTTATAAGCACCCATACCTACAAAACAAACAATTTTATAAATATTACATCAAATATCACATGAAAATGTATCATACCAGATTGCCCGACGCCGCCAAACGGCAACCCCTCAGCCACCAGGTGCATAATAGTATCATTAATGGTCACCCCTCCGCTGGACGTCCTCTCCAAAAACTTCTTCTTCGTGCCGGAGTTGTTGGTGAAAACGTACAAAGCCAGCGGTTTCTCCCTGCTGTTGATGAATTCGATGGCATCGTCCTCGCCGCTGACGTTCACGATGGGCAACAGCGGCCCGAATATCTCCTCCTGCATGATCCTGTCGCCGGGCTGCACGTCGATGAGCACCGTCGGCGAAATGAACCGCTCGTCGGCGTCGATGTGCCCGCCGATGGCGATGTTCTGGTTCTTCAGCAGCTGCGTCAGCCGCTCGAAGTGCCTTTGGTTGATGATCCGCCCGAAATCCGGGCTGTTTTTTATCGTACCTTTGAAGTATTCGATTTTTATGGGATTCTAATGGGGCCTAGTGGAGTGTGTTACCTTGGAAAAACTCTTTCATCGCCTTTTCGATGTAACCGAGCAGTTTTATTTGGACGTCTTTGGTGCAGAGGACGTAGTCGGGAGCGATGCAGACTTGTCCGGAATTTTGAATCTTCCCCCAAAAGAGCCTTTTGGCTGCTAGTTGGAGGTTAGCCGAGGCGTCTACGTAGACGGGGCTCTTGCCGCCCAGCTCCAGAGTCGTGGGGGTGAGATAACGAGAGGCGGCTTGATGGATCAATTTTCCTACCTACACAAAAACCATCAATTCTATATACTATTTTGCATTCATCGATCGTTAGAGTACCTGGGACGATCCTGTGTAGAAGATGTAATCAAATCTTTCTTTGAGTAGTTCGGAGGTTTTTTCTGGACCTCCTGTAAATACTGGATAACATTCATTGTCTAGGTATTTGGGAAGTAGAGTCTCTAAGGCGTGACTGGTCGCTTGGGCGAGTTCTGATGGTTTTATTATTACACAGTTTCCAGCTGCTATGGCTCCTGTGTTAAAGAATTTTAATGCTTGTTAGTTCTACAGAGTAGATATAAAAATAATTGACATTCCAAAACAATTAATTTTTAATATAAATACTTGGCTGATAAAATTCTAGGTTTCGCAAGCCTCCCGTTAGAGTGTCAAACGCATTACCTTATCCATATAAAGGTTGTTCGTCCTTATGATAATTATTCAATGTAATTACTCTGTTACTTTGACCTATTATTCTGTATCGAAAACAATGTTGAATAATAACAACGAGGATAATAATAGAATACTTAATGCGAAGAATGGAATATAAAATTTGGGACAATCGTTTGCATGAAAATATAATAATGTTCTTGGAGATACTTGATCTAGATACATTTATTTAGATTTAATTCACTATTTTAAGATTTCCTTGAAGGAGGAATTAATGACGAAAAAAGCGAAGAAATTAAATAATTTTAAGTGAACTCACCGACGACAGGAGCCAAGAGAACCAATATAGGATAATTCCAAGCACCGATCACTAAAACCACACCGTACGGTTCCTTATAAATATACAAATCGTCGAAGAAATTCTCCAAAGTCCTCGGAACTTTCTCCGGCTTCATCCACTTCCCCAAATTGCTCAGATGCTTCTTGATCTGGTGCTTAACGATGAAGATTTCGCTGACGAGGCTCTCGTGCTTCGACTTCCTCAGGTCCTCGTGCAGGCATTTCAGCAGCGTCTCCTGCTCGTCGTCCAGCATCCGCATCAAGTTCTGGAGCTGCTGCCGCCTGAACGAGGCCGGGAGGGTCCTGCCGCTCCTGAAGACGCTCCTCGTGCGCTCCACCAGGCCGCCGGAGCCGCTGTCCAGGTCGACGACGGACGCGTGGTCCAATTTGGCCCTCGGTATGTGCGGACTGGTAGTCATTGTCTGCGGTAGCTGTTTGGATATCATCGCGTTTTGTGTTTTTAACGAACCGTATCCCGTCGACCTTGGTCGTTGCGTCGAGTTCGATTCGATAAGTTTGCGATTTAATTGCTGTACAATTCGAATCTAATGATAGATACAGATAAATGAATTCGATGTGGATTTTTTGGGGGTTTGTTCGATTTTTTGACGTTTGGCATTTGCTCGATTGGCTTCGCTAATGGGAGTATTCGGATACTATTTCCTAATTTTAGTTGCAGTTGTAATGTGCATTTGAAGAATTCGAATTAGCCTGGTTTCGAAACGAATTTTTGAATTGAATCGAATTTCGTAAATATTACACGCCTTGACTTCGGATTTTTTTTGTTGTCCATATGAGAAAATGTTAACGGTTAATTAGCATTCAGAAAACGACATTGTCAAGGTTCTGTTAAATCAGATCTCTCAATTCGCTTTTTACAATTTTTCGTCGCTACAAAAGAAACGCTTATTAAATTAGGTCTCAATTTCCCGAACTTCGACTTTTATAGAAGAAAAATTGTTCGCTGTTATTGCGCTCGACAGGTTTAATTATATCGAAAGTTCAGCAGTTTTTTCACAAGTTTTCAGTAACTGCCGACCTTCGTTTTTTATAATATAGAAAATCAATTCGACACCAAGTTAAACTTTAACCTTAGCTTGTTACATGTAGACATGTTATTTAATTGTTGATAAACATATTTTATGCACATTAATTTCAATAACAAACTAGGATCTATTTTTAGATACCTAGTGTATACCTAAAAAATTTCCATCCATTCTTAAGAAATTGATTTTCAGTTCCAGGGCGAGAAACACGAGGCCTACGTTCGTCTGACCCTCAGCCACCACTACAAAACAGTGAAGGAAAAAAGAACAGAAGTAACCAAATCTTCTAAGGACAGAACAGTCACCTTCATCGAAGGATTCAACTTCAAAGTACCGACTTCCCAAGTGGAGACCACCAGCCTGGCTTTCCACGTTTTCCAATCGACATCGGGCTACGGTAGGGGTATGTTTTTTATCGAATAATGTAGCCTTTGCGATTTTCCGCACTGAAAATTTGCAAAATAATTTCCTTTTCCAGACAAACTGATCGGCAAATGCGTGCTGGGATCGTACATGTTTTCCAGAGGTAAGGCTCTTATCCAATGGAACACCGCGTTCGCTAATCCCATGGAACAATGCCAACAATGGCAGGCTTTATCGGAATAGCTTAATTAATCGGCGAATTAGATACTAAAAATGAGATTATAAAACGCATTTGTGTATCGCCGATCGACTCAACAATGACCATATTATTTGTACCTGTCGTATTAAACGCTTAATAATTGTAAATGTACTCACACGTATCTAGATGTTATGTATTTGTATGCAACAAATCTATAATGAAGAATATATCAAGTTAGCGTTGGTTTATGTGGCATATATGTCAATGATTCCGAAACCAACTTGATTTATGGATATTTCTCTAATTTCATTCAAGCAGAGGACCACGTCATGAATACAAATGTAGATGTTTAGAAATGTTTAGTATAGATAATTGTAGTAAAGGAATATAATTGATAAGTAGAAACGAATAGTTAAATAGAAAATAAAAATTTATTTTTCTCTTAAGTAAAAGAATAATAAAACTAAAGAATATCACTGCTTTTTTTTTTAATTATCATTAAGTGGAATTTCGTTAAAAATACTATTTACAATTAATCATGTAATGTTTAAATTGAATCGCCTAATCACCAGTCATCATTTCCATGAATTCTACAAAATACGACAATTAACAAAATATTAAACATCAAATCGTTAAACACTCACCATCGAAATCGACGGTACCGGACCCATCGGTATCGATTTCAGCGATGATTCCATCCAAATCCCTGCTGGTTAAATTATCATCCAAAGCAGCCAGGATCTCCTTCAACGTACCAGTGGTGATATAACCGTTGCCCTCCCTATCATACAACCTGCAAAACAACCAAAATGGTTTAGTAACAGCCCGCGCGCTCTGCAGACTTCGCGCCGCTTTACCTGAAAGCCTCCTTCAACTCCTGCTGGGTCTCGGCCTCGTCGAGGTCCTCCTCGAGGAACGGCGAGACGATCTCGTAGAAACTGTCGAAGTTCACCTGGCCCGTCTTGTCGGGATCGTTCTTAATGATCAGCTCGTTCAGGGCCGTCTCGTCGAAGAGCTGCCCGATGGTGTTCAAGATGGTGGCGATTTTTATGGTTTCGATGAAGCCCGTTTTGCCCGTGTCGAACATGGTGAAGGCCTTGCGGATGATTTCCGTTTTCTGATCGTCGTCGCTCTGTAAAAAAAATATTCAAAGTTTCGTGCAAGGTTAGTTAATTTTTTTGCCGCTAACGTTGTTAATTATTACAAATTAAATACATTTGTAGGTAATTGTATTGTTGATAATCAACTTTAATTTTTTGCAAACAAATTTATGAGTGTAATTATTATTCAGAAAAAAATATATAATAACTAAACGTACCATTTTCGAAAACAATTAGCAGTGAACTTATAAAATATAAGTGAGTTTCGTTCTTGTCCTGAAGAACCTTTCAGATAAAATCAAAACTAGCAATATGTCGTAAAAACCGTTGATTATATATTTCTCCCACCGGTCGGCGATATTAAATTAGAAAAATGATTGCGAATTATTTTGAGAATTCTCCAATTTTAATCTACTACAAAACTCTAGTGCATTGTTGCCTGTCAATTGGAAAGAATGAAGCGAACGGTATTTTTGGAATAGGTTTTCGCCGCTTAACGAATTCGTGAAATTTTTGCCTCCAGGACCGTACTCAACTCCAACGAAATCCCTACAACTCTCTTATAAATACTCCACAAAGACCAACGCATCTTCCTGTTTTAGCACCCATCGAAAAACCCTTTAAGTCCACCAGCTTTAGTAAAATTCAATCAGCAGTGATGATGGTCCTGATGATGATTTTCCATACTCCAATCCTGCGCGTTTCATAACGTTTCTGGCAAGTTTATACATCAACTGGGTCAGTCTGATGACACATTAGCGTTTACGAGAGACTCGGGGAATTTTTCCACAAGGTTTCGCTAAAGAAAACGCTTCAGGAATCGAATATGCCGGATCGTTATTTTAAAATGTTTCGAACGCGTCAATCAACGTTGATATAGCCTTACCAGTTAACACGCAAAACTTTATCAATCGATGAAATTGATGAAGTTGAACACTCGTTACAGTTTAAAATAGTTCAACTATTAGTAATACTGCTGGTTAAAATTGTTGGATTTTTTTGTTGTAGTACAACTTATGTACTTGTTTAATTTAAGCAACAGTCGATTCTGTTCTAGTGATATTTTAAACGTTTTATGCGCTGCTATAAATTATTAAATTATTCAGTATTATGTCGCCGACAGTTTAATTGGAAAAGCACCTGTTTTTTACCTTGGCTGAAATAAGTTCGAAATTTGTGGCAGGTCGAACGAAAATACGCGCGTTTTGCGAAAAGTTAGATTATAAACCCGTCGCGGATTGTTTGGTATTGTTCCAATTAATCATCGACTTTATTACAATGGGCGAGTTAATACAGTTTTTCGTATGTTGAAAAAAAAATGTTCTGTTGAAAACCGTTCGCGTTCAACTTCATTCAAAAAAGCTTTACAAACGAAAAAAAAATGTTTGGAAACTCGCGACAACCATAAATTCGCGGATTTTAAAAATAAATCGTTATTTATTTTGTTAAAAACGGCTATAGGTGTACGTTGAAAATAACTCATTTGATGTTAATAAAATATTGGGCGAAATTATTCAGCAAAGCACATGTGTTTTTTTTGTCTAATTGAATTCCACTAATTGACGCACTTCCGTTGCGTCATTGATAAATTTTCCAATGATTTTCGTTATAAATGTGTTCAATAACTGATTTTCAATCATAAAACAATAACTCAACTAATGCTGTAACAAGCCCAACAATTATTATTTAAAATTAGTTTTTACAACAACGAATTATTTTTAGATGAGATTAATATAGTATTTTACCTCAAATGTGCTATTTATATCCTCAAAGTCATATAATAGAAAAATATTTTCAACTGTTAATTAATCTCCTTAAACTAAGTGACACTTTTAATTTACACAGCTCTTCATCAACTTTCCTAAATCAAATATACAGAGTGTTCAGATATCTAATGGAGGAGAAAAATTGCTGGGAAAATTAGCGGAAATTGTGAATTATCTTAATCGATCTCGAAGCGCCATAAAATTGCGATATTACTTCCTGGGCAGTAAAAAATGATTTATCAACAGTACAAATGATATTTCTATACGCGTTATTATGACATTCTCGGTAAACGAGCGCATTAATATGAAATAACGTCTGGAAAACTTGGTGGTCGGCCAATTCAATTTCTACCTGGTATTAATAATTTAATTAAAATGGCGTAAATAAGTTGAGTCTCGGTCTGGAAATATTCGGACACGATTTGAGACGGAATTATATTTTTTGTGTTGCGATTTTCTTAGATATTATTGGAATTTTCGACTCTAAATTAGTGAGTAATTGGAATCGACGTTTCTTGGCACAAATTCGAAAAGTAATTAACACATGTAGGTTAGCGAATGCAACAAAAAGTTTGAACTAATTGGACTAACTTTATTTGAAAATTGTCACTAATAAATCAAGCGTTTCATGTACAATTTAATGTAAACGAGAAAAAATATAGTGTATGGTTTCCTTTATATTTGCGTTAAAAGGATCCATGCACGTTTTTCGTAAAATCAACGCCAACTAATCGAAGCGATGTTTTTCCAATATTTTTCGAAATACCTCGCAAAATTAGTTCAGCTCGTGTTTACTTCCAATCCGCAACAAACGATGTCATTCTCGAAATTCGTTAATTAACATACGCTAATGATCCACCTTCTGTCAGAGCTTCTCTCGTCGCTCATCGAAACGCTTTGGTTCGATATTTTCACCATTTTCTAGCCGTTTTTCCACGTCGAAATGTAAATTTAGATCTCGCTGGAGATAAAACCCTGGAAAACCAGTATAATTTCGTATATAATTGCTCTTCGCCTGTGGGAGGCGTTCAGTCGCGTTATTGCTCGTTTTACCGGTGCAAACGCCCAAACGAAAAATGGTAAAGACCTTTCTAATCTCACTCCTTGCAATCGCTAATTTGATTTCCATTGCAGAATGACGAGGAGCAGAAGATGGCCATACTGCGTAAGGCATTCCAGATGTTCGATACCAAGAAATGCGGACACATCGAGACCCTCAAAATCGCCACCATCTTGAACAGCATGGGGCAGTTGTTCGATGAAACCGAGCTCAACAATCAAATCACCAAGCACGATCCGGATAGAGTAGGTCAAGTTAATTTCGATGCTTTCTGCGAAATCGCCACGCATTTCCTCGAAGAGGACGACGACGAGTCAACCCAGCAGGAGTTGAAGGAAGCTTTCAGGTAAGCAGCTCGTCCTGATGGAGGTTGAGATTGATTAATGTGGTGATTTTGTAGATTGTATGATAAAGAAGGTAATGGCTACATCACCACTGCTACGCTCAAAGAAATATTGAAAGCACTCGATGACAAGCTGACTGGAAGGGAATTGGATGGAATTATCGCTGAAATCGATACCGATGGATCTGGTACTGTCGATTTTGATGGTAAATGCTTCTTTATATCCAGCTTTAGCGATTAAAACTAACTTTGCTATTTTTTCAGAATTCATGGAAATGATGACTGGTGATTAAATCACTAAACTTATTTATAAGCTTACGACTGATAATAATTTAAAAATAAATTTTTTACACAAAATTACAAGTGTAAAAAGTAAGCTTTTTCTTAAGCTCACTTTTAATGCTAGAGTTCAGTACTCACAAAATATTTTTTCGGGAATAGGCAACTTGTACAGCAAGACCTGTCACTTTATTTCGGCAAATTTTCAGGTAGTAAGCTCACAGCGGGGTATGTCGTAAAACTGAGATAAGCGGTTGGGTTGTTTCTTTTATTAGAATTTGAATTTTAGAATATCCGAATTTCGATATTGTAGGAAAATATATTTTCGAATATTTAGAAATGCCGATGACGACAAATTATTTTAAATTAAATAATTCGTATATGGTTTACATTTTTAAAATCATAAAGACGAGCCGATTCCAACGATAGGTCATACTTAATACTTATTATCGATAATAAAGGAGTTACGGCCACTCGCGGGGCTGCCTAAAGTCAAAAAACATAATTTCAAATGGCTGTAGATCCTTTAATATCGACGATAAATAGCAAGTGTAACACATCATTGAAATCAGCTCATAATGAAGATACTAAAAATGTAAAAATATATATGATATTTCATTTTAAATAAAGAAGTTAGTGTCTAATATTTTGCTTCAGTTTATCGGAATTCTGGACAACTGTTTGCAAATTTTCATGCACAGAATTGCATAAGTTGTTCAGTTGTTTTCGAATTAACTCGTATTGTGACAAGTTAAAAACGCTATTTCTTACGATATTAGTATTAGAGAAGTAAAAACATTAAAAAACGGTTTGGTAAAACTTTAAAAATTATTGTCTACCTACTACAATCATTAGTACATTATTAGGTTCGATTGTTCTGCATATAAATAATCGGACAGGTCCGAGTTGTCACCCAAATTTCAAAATTTTACCTGTGCGAAAAAAGGTCATGTCCTAGTTGTCACCCGTCTATTGTTATCCGTTCGATGCAGATTATAAGGGTCTAATTGCTTAATAATCGTGGGTTTTTTGATTTTGGGTTAGAAATAGTTGGTGGATGTTTTGCATTGGAACTTTTAGAGATAAAACCAAATTGCAATAAGGTTACAAAATTTTGTGATTATTTAGTGGAAACGTACATTGACAGCAATTCAAAATTTCCTTCTCAAGTATGGGTCGAACATTCTTCGTCCTTAATACGAACCACAAATGCATGTGAATAATCATTTCATGCGACAAGTAATCAATCGTTTTATACGGGCCACCCTAATGTACATACATTTTTAAATGTTCGTTTAAATTTTCAAATTTGGGTTTGCGTTTGTTCATTAAATAAATTCTACATACATGTAAGTAAAAGGAAATTTGAGTTTATTTAAATTTTAATATTTTCAGAATCATATTGATCTTATAAAATATTTATGTAAAGTTCAAAAAATATTTAATGTATCTATCTAAATAATAAAAAAAACAAAAGTTGGTTACGTTCAAAAAATATTTAGGAATTTTAAACGAAGTAGGATTAATCGAAAACCTAATTGCACCCTGCCATACCTACCCCAGGTAACGGGTGACAACTCGACTCATAAGAACTGACCGGTTAGAATTCGGGTGACAACTCGACCTCTCCGATTGAAATTATCCATTTCAATACATCTCGCATATCGATCAACAATCGAAGGGAATCAATAAAAACAACGTTTTTCTTTTTACCCCTACCGTTTTGATCGATATAGATTCACTCAGTTCCGAATTTTGACTATTGATAAATTGTGACTTCATTGTCTTCGTGTTGTCTATATCCGAATATTCAATTTGTGTGTTATTTTTAAATTTCCACGTGTGTCCTTTGTATCAAAATTGTGATATTGTATTGATAACTTGGTTAAAAATGGTTTATTTAGTTACGATGTATCTAATGTCGACATATTCAATGAAAGGGGTTTGGAGTAAAGAGTATAATTACTTGTTAATATAACATATGTGGTGTTACAAAATCATTTAATAGTACCAACAGTCAAAAAGAGCTTGACATAAATATTTTTTTAAAAATAACTAAGTACTTCCTGTACTTAGTCAAATTTAGTCAAATCAAATTTAGTAACCGGACAATATTTTAAAAAATTCTTGAGGTAAAATAAAAGTAGAATAAAAAATCAAGTATGTAGCAACACTAAATTCAATATTTGCAATTTTAAAATTTAACATCTTAACTGTAGGTAATCGGATTATCGGATTTGGGTCGTAAAATTGAAGACGAAACCAACCCCTCATAAATCATTCTCGGACTGTATAACAAGTTGCCTAAAACTGATAATTTAGTGTTCTGAAACGATGAATTTTTAAACACATTCAACCTAATTATTAACAAATGACAAGGAAAATCAAAAAAAGGGCTTCGTCGCGCGTTCGAAAAGAGTCAGCTCTTTCCATTGGTACAAAAATTGCATACAAAAAGTTAAAAATGTAGCCTGAAAATGGATTATACGATTTCAACATTTTCATTAATTAAGCGAAAACAAAAGCATTTTTCAAAAAAAGGGCTTCGTCGCGCATTACAACTAAATGGGTAGATCATATGTAGAGTGCGACCCCCCTTTCAAATTTCAAAATACGCCCTGAAAACGTCGCGGCGAATCGGGCATTTTACGCCTATTTTCAGAGTACTGAACTCTAGCCTTAATACGAGTAATTTACACTACTTTTACTACTACCTCAAAATTTTCGTAATCTGTGTTGCCTATCAACTCACAAAAGTGTGTAGAAAATGTACTAAATTTTCTTATCGAACACACAGCGCCACCTATACCAATAAAACGTAACTACTAAGCGAACTTTTACAGATGTTTTAATATACGATTTACAAACAAAATTAAATGCATTTATTTGAATCTTGTGACATTGACGAGCGGTTTTATCTATTTAGTTCAATGTTTATTTACAAACAAATAAACTACCGCACTCGTTCCTGCGTGAAAAAATGTCAATATTATTTATTTGCGACACCTGAAGATAAATGCGAGATAAAAATTGGGAAAATGGAGATTCCGGAGCGGGGTCGGCTCGTTATTGACCCGTTTAATTATTGAAATAAAAAAACAAGTACACAGGCGACATTTGCATAAAATCGATATTTTATTTATTTATCACCCACACATACTTTTTGTTTCAAAAGAGAAACATTGCAAACGAAATAAATTATGAATATTTCACTTCCGAATTTCAATTGAGACACTATCCGTTTTACGGCCGTCCTGCAGGTAAAACGAACGATGATTGGACGAAATCGGTAAATTATTCCTGAACAGAAAAAAAACCGCTTTTGATATGCAAAATGTTGAGTAACAATTCGTTCGAATTTTAAAGTTTGTTGAACTCATTGTTACCCAACTTGCGGTACTTCGAATCGAACAAAAAAAGGAGTTTAATTCTAAAGAGATTGATTTAAAGATGAGCGAAATTACCAGATCCTTATCTGCTAAACCAAATTTGAAGGTTTGCTATATTACAGGCAAAATTGAATTCTCTAGCTTATTACATACACCACTTTCAACAACAACTTTTGGTGCTGGTTTACTTTCTTTTAGCGATTTAAAAGTTTTTTATTTACAACTCAAATCATCCCGAAAACATCCTATTATTTCTACGAATAAAAATCCACCTCAAATCGTACAATTCCTTAAGCACACAACCAAAAACCCAGACCAAGGCGACGCGCTAAATTATTTATTTACCCACACACTTTATGCGTTTTTCCAGCGATCCGTTCGACTTAAACAAATCCATTTTCGCTCTTTCAATGGCACTTTTCCGGCGAGCCAAGTAGGTCGGGCGAAAGTGAGATGCGCTCTAGGCCAAGGTAAGCGCAAAGATAACGAAATATGCCGCGGCGCATTTAACAAAATCCGAAGTGAAGCGTGCGGGACGCGCTGTGACATAACATCCGATCCGTTGTCTTAATAATGGTCCAGGAGCTCACCCGCACCAAGTGCAATATGATTTTATATTCCCTAAGAGGAGTGTAGATGCCCACTCGATTCGTCAGATAATCGAAAATAATGCTCAGTCATGTTAACTATTATAGAAAACAATACGAGTTTTTATTCGAGCGAATTGAATGAACTTTGCGTTCTAAGAAGAGTATTAAAGATTACAGTTAAGTACAATACACTTAATAGAAATATATCGATGAAGTATTGGATGAATATTGGTTAGATTTCCTCGAAAATAAGTACAGTAATCGCGCCGCCGCCCCGACCAAAGCTCGGTGCAAGTGCATCGGGCGCGAACCGTGAACTTGCAGATAATCGCCCGCGAAAAATCAACATTGGCTCGCACGAATTCGGGTAGAGTGGGACGGGCCGTCGCCATAAAACGATACCGGCCGCCTCGGCGACTTCGAGTTCTGTCAGCGATGAACGTTCCGAGCGCGCTCGTCTACCAGTTGGCGGTGCTGGCGCTCGCCGGCGTCGCCTCCGCCGGCTGCGGCACGCGGCGGCCCGCCTGGAAGCCCACCAGGCGGCCCAAAGTGGTCGGCGGGCAGGCGCCGCCGCCGGGCGCCGCGCCCTGGCAGGTGGACCTGCGGCTCGGCGACGGCAAGCACCACTGCGGCGGCGCCTTGATCAGCGCCAGGCTGGTGTTGTCCGCCGCGCATTGCTACAACGATGGATTGGTGGCGGTGGCTGGTGCTCATGGTTTACCTGGTATGTATTATACTTAAAGAAATATATGTTTCTATACGATTATTTCTAGGTACTTCGCAATTCGAGCAAATCCTGAAGGTTGAGAAGTTCATCCCTCATCCAGATTTCCGGAAATTGGGAGCGTATTCGCACGATTTGGCTGTTCTTCTGGTGGCTTCTCCTGGATTCGTTTTCAACGAAGTAGTCGAGCCGGCTTGCTTCTCCGATTATTCACCACCTTCGGGTACTTTATGCGAAGTTTCCGGATGGGGCGCCGTAGATCCCAACGACATCGACACCACCTCTCCCATTCTGAAAATTGCAGCCGTCCCCGTTCTATCGTTGGACACCTGCAGGCGAGTAGTCGAGTAAGTAGTGGGTGAACAGTGGATGTTAATAGAGAAATTGCAGGTTGAAAGCGGTGTACGGAGGCAGATCGCAGCAAATACTCGACTCGATGTTGTGCGCTGGTTACCTCGGAGGCGGCATCGACGCCTGCAGCGGAGACTCCGGTGGACCGCTGGTGTGCGAATGGAAAGGCAAGATGGAGTTGGCTGGAATTGTGTCCTGGGGGGAAGGTTGCGCGAAGAGGAACAAACCGGGAGTGTACACCAGGGTGTCCAGTTTCCTGCCTTGGATCAAGGAATGCGCCACTGAGCTAGATGTAGCGCTTTGAATTGAATTTAGTTCCAAAGAATTATTTACGATGACTCTTTGATGGGTTAATAATTTGTTTTATATACTGTGTATATACGTATTACTACGAATGTAGATTATTCTTTATAAAAATGTATTGTTGGAATCCAATAATTATAAATTGTAATAAATTAGAAAAAGAAAATGATGAATAATTTATTTTATAAAGTAAATACTTTTATACAGAAAAAAGGTTACAGACATAATATTAGTAATATGTATATTGTACTAGAATACTATCCAAAAATTTATTGCTTCTAAGTAGACTAGTTTAGTGTCGCTCCTCGGGCACGGGCGCGATAAGTCTTTGCATCGTCAGATATTCGTTGCCGGAGCGCGGCCTCAGCGTGCAGCTGGGCGGCGGCGCGTCGCCGGAGCTGTGCGACGACAGCGACAGCGTCTCGAAGTAGTCCGACATGTCGGAGGTGCCGCTGCTGGTCGAGCCGTTCGGGCACACCGGCACCTCGGCCTCGGCGCTCGCCGACTTCGCCTCGCTCTTGGCGAACTGGAACGTGAGGTCGCGGAGCGGGTCCGACGACTTGGATCGCCTGGGCAGCGTCTGGTTGGCGCAGGCGGGTTGTTTCCGGGGCAGCTCGAACACGCCCGAATCGTTGGAGCTCGACGAGTCGCGGTTGGACTTGCACGGGACCGAGGAGGAGCGACGCACGGCGATGGTTTGGTGGTTGCAATGGCACGGCGACGTGTCCGGCTCCGGTTCGGGCTCGAATCGGCTGGTCGAGGAATCCGCGGAGTTCGATCGCTTCCTTCTTACGTCCAAGTTATCGACGTTGTCTAGGAGTTGCTTGCGCTGGTAGATGGTGCCTTGCAGCATGGAGGAGCCGGATGGTTTGTTGGACCGGTCCAGAACCGGACCCAAATTCGGATTGCTATTGGACAGGATTTTGCCTAATCGTTGTTTGACGGCCGGCGACATCGGTATGTAGCCGGGATGGGGTTGCGACGGTTTATTCGATGGCTCCATCATGAGGTAGTCTTCTTGAGCGTGGCCGCACTTCGTGCACAACGTTTTCGCCTTGTCGGCGATCTCTTTGCTGTTCTCGTACAGTTGGAGGGTTTGAGCAAATTCCATGTTTTCGTAATTGGTGGACGTCGGAGCCGTGGTCGTTGTCGGCGCCGGCGCCAGGTTGGCGTAATTCGCCGCCGTGGCGACCGGCTGTTGGCGGTGGGTCTTCTTCGAGTAGTCCACCGTGGCGTAGATGGCGTGGACGTCTTCTGGGCCGGACCAGCAGGACATCAGGCGCTGGCAGACGCACGGCCTGTCGGGCTCCGGCTGGCGAATCCTCACCACGCAACCGCAAGGTTTCTGCACCGTATCGAACCCGAAACCTTGAATGCATTCCTTTATTTTACGCGGTGTATCGTACAATTCCTCGGCTTTTGATTCCTACAACAATACAAACATAAGTAACCACTATAACGAAATTAAAGTAGTAATATTACCACAGGGTAAGGTATTTTAGGAATGTCGTAATTATCGTAGGACGGTTGAGGCGGCGGAGCGGCGGGTTTTTTCACGTTAGGAGACCCGGTGCCGGGCTTCGGAGGTCTAGCCGGTGGTTTGGTAACAGCCTGGCTCCAGCCGCTGCTGTCGGAGCTGCTGCTGATCGAATGGCGATCGCAGATGTGCTCCCAACAGGGCGTTTCGATGGTCACAGTAGCAGTCGAAGACCTGAAGAAATCGAACTAATCAATCATCTCTGTAGTGTGTTTGATAATGACTTACCTAGACATTGCACCTAATTTACTAATACAGCTCATGCATCGCTCGATAGGCGGCGGACCCCAACCATCGTTTGATATACTATCACCACAGCCATAATTGCTTTCCATGTCGGTATAGGGGGAGTCTGCGCGAGAAATCAAAGAAGATTCGCTCAATTCGAGCCCGATACCTCCCGTCGCTCTCATAGGACCTCGACGAGGACTATCCATAACTACAAAATACCGTTAATTAAACCCAAAAAGCAACCGGATTAAATCTAATGTAGCTTACCCGACATGTTTCTAGACACAGGCCGGCGCCGCGACGCATGCAGATTCCCTACGGAAGCCGCCCTCAGCGTGGTGGTTATCTCCTCGCCCTGGTCGGTGAGGAGCACGTAGAGGCCCTCGCCCTTGATGCACCTGGAGCCGCCTTCGAAGCAGAACCGGCCCTCCACCACGCCGTAGCGCCTTAAATTACTAATAAGCCACTGACCGGCCACCCGCGGCGGCACTCCCGTCGTCAGACAGAAGCCGCGCTCCTGGACGTGGAGGCGGGCCGGGCCCGGGGGCAGCCGGGACTTCGACGGCGAGGAAGACACTAGGACCAGGAAGTGGGGTCCGTCGTTCAGGTGCGAACTTAATTTCACCTACAACAGGATTGTTTAGTAGATTTTTTTCAGCGGAAATTTACTAATTAATTTTTTTTATAAATTTGGCCTCTTTCTTTATAGTGATTCATGCACATCGATAAGTCTCTTTCAATGTCATTCAATAAGTTGTTTGTTAGACCGAATAGCCGAAGCATCCGAGGCCTCATTTAAAAAAGAAGTAGTATTTTTAATCGTTCTCTTTGAATCCTGAACGCTTAAATTATAAGTGAAAATTTGAATTGTGTACGTGCCTGCCATTGCATGAGCCTCTCCCGATTGTCGAAGGCGAGTACTACGACGACGTCCTGGCATAATATAGCTACCGTATGTGATTCCTTATCTAATGTAAAACCAGTCTCCAGGCCGAGGAAATGTTCCAGAGAAAGGGATGCTTTGGTTTGGCCTTGTTTGTACCTATCTTTGGAGTCTCTGTAGAGCTGCAGGTGTAAACAGTCTGTAAGTATAAAATACAATTTATTAGTTTTTCGCTTTAGTTTAGGTTTGTCATTTTTTTATGATTTACAATCAAGCTTTCTATGAGTGTGACAGTTTTAAGACAGGTTAAACAAATTTGTGTTCTGATCTATAAGTAAGCCTAAAAATATTGCTAAAGTAAAGCTTAAAGTTATTTATCCCGTTACTAATAGTACAAGTGTAGTTACAAGTTGCTCTTGAAATTTTTGAAAACTTATACAAACCCCTATAATTAGACAACCAACAATACAGGCTACTTGACTTCTGCTTCTAAAATTGTGATACCTACTGTACAGTCGTGAAGTTAGGTATGATTGAAATAATCTGTCAATTTCAATAAATTGATGACATATTACCATGGCAAATAAACATATACGTTAGTTTGCGATTTTCGAAATTTACTTCTTATTTTTTGTGTTCGACCGAACGAAATATACGGCGAATTCTGCACCGGAACAAACAAGTCCGATCATTTTTCTTTATCAGTCCAACGACGATGACAGCTCGGCTTTTATTCGACTAGATGAAATATTGTTACTCAATTTTCGAAAGATCGTTCTTTATTCATGTTAAAAAAACACAAGAGTAGAGCTGTAAAAAATAATACACAATAATAAGCTCTTGCAGGCGATTGAATTAACGCGCGTAAATCCCTGCAAACTGTCCTGTCCTCCACCAGGAGAGTAACCTGCGGAGTTCCGTTCCCGGCGACTGCTCTGCCACAGCGCTTTATTTCATCGTAATGGACCAAATCCGACAACAGCTTATCCCATTTTGTGCATTAATCACGAAACAAAACTCGCCCAACATCTCCGGCTCCGGCAGGAATCCCTGCGCTCAGTTCCCAGTCGAAAGACTCATTGGCGTTACGGCAGGAACTTTCACTTAGAGCATCAAAATCAACCCTCTAGATAAAAGCTAACTGTCGAGTGCGTTAATTAGAAATGAATATAAATTATTAAGGAATGGCCGGGCGAGATTTTTTGGGATAGAGGGCGCTGCTGTTGTTGTTACAAGGGGGCTCAACCCTATCCTGGTGGAGCCCTCTCGGTTTTCCCGATATTTTTATCTCTCTTTTATAGGCAATCGCACTGCCAGAGACGCGAATCTCCCGACAAGATTGATCACTCCCAAGACTCGTATTAATGGTCGCGCCATCTGGTACCTCATGTCATATTACACGGTTATAAATTAATTTAGGGAGAAAAATATTAATATAATAAATATATCCATATAGGCGGTTTTTTTTCGGCTTGTTTGCGTTGGGAAAGAGTTACGGTTATTCGGTTTTATTGGGGGTTTTATTTAGGGATTATTCGGAATCGGTTCGGCGAACATTAGAGCCGAATAATAGAGCAGCAAATCCCGTTTATTTTTTCCTCGCAGATGAACATTGTAAGGGACGCGAGGCAAAAATCTGTAGTCTTTAGCCATAACAGTTTTTCTTCTCTAACGGCGGTTTTTTAAGCGTCTTTTAGTGAGAATTAATTGGAATTTCGAGTCCATTACGATGCAAAAACCGTCTACGTTTAATATTCGAGTCGTCTTCGGAAATCGGTTCATTAATTAGAAGTCCTGCTTAACATTCACGTCCGCAAATGGCCTTTAACACTAACAGAAACGGTAACAACTTAATTAGAACTTAAACGAATGCCACCAGACTTTATTATAAGCGCCAGATGAAATAGGTAGTTGAATTTGCGAATTATTTAGAGCGAAACTAACAATTTTTCTCCGGGGAGCCGGTGTATATTCGATAAACTTTGAAAGGAAACATCCCGACAGGGGGCGTTATCGCTCTCAAATAGACCATCGCATGCGTTCTAATCACGTGCTAACCGATTTTGTTTCTCGGGATAACTTTAATTCGAGTTTATCCCTCCGAAACTCCGAAACTTCAACAATAACAGGAGGATTTTCGGCGTAAATCCTGAGAGGACCGACGGTCCATGAAATTGCGCAGGTTGGAAGGCTCTTCTGTTGCGACAAAGCCAGATAAATATTCCGGTTACGTCGACGTGAAAAACGACCGCGTCCGATTTACTGCGAATTAATCAGTAATTAAATTACGTACACGTGTATCGATTTCGCTTTCTTGCTTATTGGATATCGTCCTGTCGTGTCCCGCGCCAATCTCGTCATCTTCAAATCTATCAATATTTGCCGAGTCATCTGGTCGGCTCTGTTAATTACGGAAACGTCTATTGTTCTTGACTAAATGAGCTGCTGATTTCGTCGACCCTTTCCATTTGGCCCTTACTCTTGATGGGCGACAAAGGATCATAGCAGGAGCGATATATACCGAATCCCATCACACACTAACAACTTTTATTTTGCTCACGAGCAACTGGAATTGGACAACAACGAGTTATATCATAAAAAGAAATAGAGTTTAGTTATTTTATTGGTACTCCAAATAACAGCTTTGGAGATTTGTGTAGTGTTGTCTAAAGCAGTCATTTATACTTTACTAATTAGTGTGATTATTTTCCGTTGAATTATTCCTTCTACCAATCCGACTATATAAAGCGACACGGACGAAAAGGGTAAGAGAAAGGGTGAAGATTTTCATTTTCTCTCCCTAATTACTCCGAGCCGACTATACGGTAATGAGTGTGCGCTGTAAATATTCATATAATGAAGACTTATGAGCACCAAAAACTGTTCGAGCCGTGTGTAATACGGTTATAATGAACGTAGTGCATTATAGCAGGCGATATTTTTATCGAAACTGTATTCAAACACCCCTTATAATTACAGAAATAATTATTTCCGTAACACAACCTTCTAAATTTGTGGCAGATATAAAATTCTGAAATTCTAATTTTAAAATTATTTTCCCGGGCGATTAACGAATAAAAAAAAAACTAGGCGACTTCACGTGACAAATTTTCATAACTTGCTCGAACAAGTCCGTAGGTAATAATTTTTCTCGGGCATCCACAAAATCTGATGTGTAGTAATTTTTAACTTGTTGTCGTGGAGTAATGAAGATAGATGGGTGCGCTCCGGAAATAAATCAGTGGAGGATTTTTTTCATACGGGAATATGACGCGAACTCCCCGGGTATTTTGACTGGTAGAAAATTTTATATTTAACGAGATTGTTATGAAAGGGATAATCCACTCCACGCGTTATAATCTATTAGTTTTCCGCGCTTCCAGCGAGCCATAAAATAATCTCTCCAATCGCGTTTAAATATGTTTTTGATATGAATCGGGTATCTTATCGTGTTCCTCCTCGAAGGAGCTCTATGGAGTTCGATCGTAAAATAACTCGTCGGAGCTAAGTTTCCGGGAACGACGTCGGGGTGTAGAGTCACGAAAGCAGTAACACAAAGGTGGAAAACGTGAAACACATTAGTTAAGATTACTTCCTTTTATTGTATTATTCCCGCTTCGGATGGGGGAGTTTCTGTATTTCGGATAATGACGCGGCTCCTCTACCACCTTTTGTGAATAATTCCGAGGGCTAATTCCGCAATTATGAGGTGTTCCGAGATGAAAGAGCCTGCCAGAAATTCGAACCTTGGACAAGATGAAATGTTTTTTGCGCTACATAATGAAAATTCAAGCCGTATAGAGCAGTGAATTAGGAAACATTGATTTGATTTGTTGAAAACACGAACCCAATTCAGGGCGACTCGATACGTGACCAAATTCCTACCGAGCCTCACATAACACTAATTATAACTTAAGGACCAAGTTTTCGGATGGCTCGGAAAAAATCCACTAAAACCAGCGAAAAACCCGTCGAACTATGAGACAGTTTGTTCGAATGAGCCCGTCGGATAAAAACCAATTTAATTGGACCGTTGGAAAGATAACGGCTTCGAATATCAAACGAAATTCGACGAAAGGCAACAGTGACGCGTCGCTTTGAACTGCGAGAGAGTAAGCTAATACTCGCCCTTAATTCGGGCGCTTCGCTTTCCCTACTTGCATTGTTCGCGGGTACTCGTTTGCACGAAGAAGGGTTGCGATCATACCGTCGCGACGCCAAATTGGTACTTGATTCGCGCCGTAACCAGAGGCTATTTCAAAAAGAACACTATACTCGCGGTAACTGCAAATAGACCATATTGCGTACAAATATGCACACATTCGTATATATTTCATTTGATAACCCGGTTTTTCTCACGTAAAAAGTCACGTTTAAAACACGAGGTGTCAATATGAAGGAGCTGGCGCCTTTTTCTTTGTTTTTTTTATATCTATTTTCGATTTTTATGTATTATAAAAACGTTGGCGCGAGGTATGAGATTCCTTTTATCGTCCCGTTTTCGCCGTAATATATATTGATGAAAGAGAAAAAAACGATAAATATTTTATTCCGAACCCGGCTCCCCATTTTCTTTGACAACGCCAGAATATACATCTGTGCTTCGTATCGTTAACTAATTTCAAATCAATCGACGAGACGCGAATTGAATGTTTTTTTATACAACGAAAAATCCCTGTGGATGACGAATTTATATAAAAATTTTGGACCATCTACATCCCTTATTTGGGCAGCAATCGCTTTGACCAATTAATATCGGCTGGTGGAATTATTTAATCGGGGGTACGCGAAACGGACTCATCGGACCCTATCGCTTTGTCAAACGTTGATTTAGTTTCATAATAACCCTATTAGAATGGAACTTTGTGTTAACAAACGCAGTGATCAATTGGGGATGCGATTTGTAACCAGTTATAGAGGTCGAGGTAAATTAATTTCGTTTGTTGTCGCCGGTCCCTCGGCCCCGCTGTACACTCATATTTGGGAATATGTTAATTTAATGTTATTGTTTGTCGAAGAAATCCAATGCGAAATGTCATTTGCGGGGTATTTTATGCATCAGGTAAACTTTGGTTTCACGGGTAATAAAGCCGAATCACAAATGACCCGTTCGGGGTGGAGAGGGCGTTCCGGTTCGTTCGGGAGGACTTCGAAGCAGAAATTTAAAGCTGAGGAAAACGTAATTTGGAAATTTTTTTA